CCTGATCAAGAAATGGATGAAAGAACATCTTCAAGAAGTCAATTCATGGGTTGAAGGAGATCCTTTATTTGTTTGCTTTATATTTTGACAGTAAAGAAGATGTGAAGAATGCATTGAAACATTACGCAATGAAGATTCATAAAGTTATTTTGTGGCAGAGTCTAAACCAACATGTTTGTACGTTAAATGCTTAAATCATACCTCTGGTTGTCCATGGAGAGTGAGGGCTTTATTGTTGAAGAATTCAAACAAGTGAAAAATTACTAGGTGGGGTGGTTCACATACATGTGTCAATATGAGAATTTCTCAAGATCATCAAAAGTTAGATTCTGATTTAATTTGTCATGCATTCTTGGTAAGTAAAATATCAAGTTTTTTATTTTATTTTTACAATGACATTGTTATTAACTTGAAAAAATTATTTTATGTAGGAATGGTCAACGAGGAACCGTCGGTACATATTTCATTGATACAAGAGCGAATATGTGCTCAGTTTGGATATAAAATTTCATATAAAAAAGTTTGGAAGGCGAAGCAAAAAGCCATTGTTAAAGTATTTGGTGATTGGGATGAATCATATGCTACCTTGCCTCATTGGTTAGAATACATGCAATTAAATTTCCTGGATCTGTTTATAAACTTGAAACAAAAGAGTATGTGGTTTGTCATCAAGTGAATAATAGGTATAGAGTATTTAATGACTATTCTGTCATTCGAACAATGTCATGAGGCTTTTAAATTCTGCAAACCTATATTACAAGTGGATGAGACGTTCTTATATGGTAAGTATCGTCATACGTTGCTCATTGCAACAAACTCAAGATGGAAACAATTGTGTTTTCCAGTAGCTTTTGCAATTGTTGAAGGAGAAACACTGTCAGCATGGGAATGGTTTTTGGCATTGATTCGTTTGCATGTTACAGATAGAGCAGGAATTGTTTGATATCAGATAGACATCAAAGTATAAAAGAGTTGTGTCAAATCCACACATTGGGTGGAACCTCCAAATGCGTATCATGTATATTGCATTCGTCATATTGCCAGCAACTTTAATCACCGGTTTAAGAATATAGCATTGAAGAAAGAGCTCATCAAATTGGGTATATTTAATTTTTTTATCTAGATTATGGTTAAATTATTAGATATCCATCGAATCCGTGGATAATATTTTAATGTTTTGAATGTTGTATATGTAGGTTATACACCATCAAAGTCATTTTTCAGCAAAAGTTAACTAGATTTCGCAATGAATATGAAGATATAGAAAGGTGGATGGACAGTATATCAAAAGAAATGGGCATTATCTTATGATGATGAAGACGCTTATGGACACATGACTACAAATCTTTCAGAATCAGTAAATAAAGTGTTTAAAGTGCTAGAAACCTACCCATATGTGCATTAGTTAAAGCCACCTATGGACGATTGTTGAATATTTTGTGAAGCGTGGAGAAGAGGCCATGTCTGACCTTCACAATGGAAGCATGTTTGTCGTAAAGTTATGTTGCAAATTCAAAAAATAACAAGAAGCTTCATACACCAAGTTCGTCGGTATGACATACAAAGAAAAATTTTTGAGGTTGAAGAAGCTTTTAATCCCCTAACACAAAGGGTGGACACAAATGACAGTTATATTGGATAGAAGATTCTGCGAATGTGAAAGAATTTCAGTCTTATCGATTTCCTTGTTCACATGTCATAGCCGCTTGTATAGCCGTGGAGTATCGATTTTTGGCAATATGTGGATCCTGTTTATTCAATGCAATATGTTGTAAATGCATACTCCCCACAGTGGAAGCCCTGAAAATGAATGCAACATCCTTACAAACTGCGAATGGAAGTTAATGCCTGATGTTGACAGAGCAAAAGGTAAAGCCGACCAAAATCAACTCGCATTAGGAATGAAATGGACTGGGTTGAGTCACAAACTAGACAAAGGTGTTTCAAGTGTAACAAAGTAGGTCACATTCACGTCATTGTCCTCAACAAAACAATGTTGGTTGACCAAATCATACAATGTTGGTGTTTGTATTTTTTTTTTTATCTTGTGATATTGTTATTTATCGTAATTGTCATTAATTATTGTAATGAAACCATTAATGTTATATCAAGTGAAGGCACAAACAAATTAATAATTACAGTAAGCATTAAAGTCACTAACAGTAATATATGTTAACTAAAATAAGTTGCTACATAAAAACATTCATTGCTGTCCCCCCCTGTGTGCCTCATGATGATGATCGTCTGGAGTCAAGATACATTGCCTCTGTCTATCTCGAGCTCCTCGATGAGGGTTCCGACGAACATATCCTAAATCAGCAACTGCACCAAACTCGGCATTAAGATCAATACTAACTCTATAGGATGTATGTCTGATGGTATAGGGTTCAAACTTGACTGTATGGGGCACCTGGAAGTCAAAAGCGGAATGGTGCTCGTGAGGAGGTGTGAAAAAGAAATCAGGTCATGGAATGTAATCTTCTGTTCCTGTAAAAGGTGATGATGGGTGTTCTGATGGATGGTGTGTACCCTGTGATGAATGGAAATAAGTCGGGGCTGTCATCAAACTAGATGGATGAAAAGGAAACTCTAATGGTATTGGAAAGACACCATCAGGTCGCTCTGGCATAACCGGGACAGCCCACTCTGCTGCCTGCACTTGTCTCCGTCGACGTGCCAAGCCTCTTCCTTCTCTTCGTTGATGCGGCTGATCTATGTGTAAGTCTGGATTGACAGGATTACCACTTTGTAGTGGTGGATCTAAGGTTGAAATAGGCTCTAATATGCGATCTTGCTCCTTCTTCAATGACAGAAGACTCTCAGACAAGTCCTTCAATTCATTAAAGGTAAAAGAATCTTGCCCATCAGTGCTCAAGTAATGCAATCTCTCCATCACATCACCCTAAAAATAGTCAAAAGTAACCATTACTGTAATTTTGTATATAAAACAGAAAGTAATAGTGCAAAAAGTATATATTTTTGTAAACATACCGACAAAGCTGATACTGCTGCCTCCCTGGTCATCCAACGACGAGTATGACTAACATACCATCGCATGTACTCTGAATTTGAGCTAAGTAAACCATACTGAGGCTCATTAGTCAAACCCAAAGTCGTCTACTCTCCCAAATTTCTAACATAGCACTGAACTTGGCTGACCAATCTTCTCCAGTCTTCCTTCTGAGGGTAAGGTCATGTAGCTGGTCAGGTTGGTAAGGAGTTCTTGGTATGTGTTGAACCATACCAAACTGACGCATTACTCTATCAGGTTGATGCCACTCACATACCTGAAAACATATAAGACCTCAAGTAACTTAAAACATTGTAAGGAAATCCAGCCAGTTCGTACTCTCGCCAAATCAAGCGAGCATTATTCAAATCTCTAGCATTGGCACAAGCACTTAAAAGAAAGTCAAGACACTGCCGTGAAGGCACAAGGCCAAGTTCATCCTTGATTGCCCAAAGCATGTCCAGCCCAATCTGTAAATGAGTGGACTCCGACTCTGCAATTAGGGAAAATACCTATACAAACAAAAACAAACTTGATATCAACAAGACCCTTTCCGGTGAGAAAAATTGTCACGATGAAGAGGAGGAAACATGTATAAATTTTGCCAGTCACCCATTTGACATTATTTATTAGTCCATCACAAACGGCGGCCCAAAAGAATTTTAAACTAGTACACAAAATGTATTAATAACCCCAGCACATTCAGTCCTATAATATTGATAGTTATAAAAATTAAGCCAGGAGGAAACTAGAACTCACAGCATCAAAGAGAGCCTCCATTACTATTTCATCACTTTCAAACTTATCCTTGAGTTGCTTGAACAAGACAATAGCAGAACTGACCCAGATTCAGTGGAGTATGAAGATCAGTAACTTGCAGAATACAATTTCAATACAAACTAATTCAATAAAGGACGGGAAAAGCCATCAAACCTCAAATGTTTGTTCCGTACACAATACATGATAACCCTGAAGCAGCCTTCAACCCAATAGTCCAGATCGCTCAATTCCTTAAGTAGAAGCAGCAGCCCATCCAACTCTCCGTTGAATTGAGTGAACTCCTCCTAAGAATGCCCAGTAATTAGTTATAAAGTTGAAGATATAAGAAATACAAATTACTACAAATACAAAACCATACAGTCAGGCTTAAAATGGCTTTCGGCTCCAAATTGTGTCCAGCTTTCTTAATCTCCTCATATACAAGAAGAGCGTCGGACAATTGTCCATGAGATGCAAGAGCTGAGACAAGGACACTCTTGATTTCATTTAAGCTCTTGTTTGGTATGTTTGGATCTAAAACTACCTGCAACAGGAAACACAACTCAAGCTCTATACCTGTATTCAAGAAAGAGGTGATTTACAAAATGTTCTGGTCTTTACAAACTCACTCCAAATGGGAAATGCAGAGAAGCATAGCATATTTACACAATGAAAAATTAATTAATTTTGTATAATTATAAGTATTAACTAGTAAAATTAAATTACAGGTGTGTAGCCTGTGCAAATGGATATTCACAGCGTTCATAATACAATAGCTGATTTAAGTTAAGAGTAAACAGAACTCACTTTAATAGTTTATTACTTTATTTCAAATATATCCTCTTCAAAATAGATTCATTACATGTCCAAGCTCATTTTTGTTTTTTATTTTTATTTTGCTATATTATAAATTGGTCTTTTTACAAATATGTAAAAGAGCATTCATAATAACATGCTGTCAACTTAATAACATGGAAGACTTGGAAGGCATGAATACTAATTATCAATAATCAATATATGTGTGGCATTTATCAGGTTTTGAGCCCTCCACCTACAACAGCTAGCTGTTGTGGTCCGGTTCTCCTGAGGTTCTTATCTATTGATATCGAAGTGTTTCACCATGTCTCTCAATTGCAAACTAACTAATGTGGGTAGTGACGGACAATATGGGGCTAATAAGGTCTTAGACTCTCCAACCACAACGGCTAGCTTTTGCAGTGTGATTTTCCCAAAGTTCTTATCAGTATCACAATCAAACTAAGAATATTTTGAATAAGAATGAGAAAGTTTTCATTGTACTTATAGCTGCACATGGCATTACAAAATTAGAGCAAAACCGAAGTTGGCTAAATTAGCAAAGTTCAAACTCCCCCAAAATAATCTTCACACTTTATTCCATAAAGGATTTCAACGTCAAGCCTAATTAGTGCCTGCTAGTTCAGAATTTAATTATGATTAACTATATCAAACTGGTTAGATAAAAGTTACTGTCAGCAATAACAATGTGACCATGACATTCTACATGTAGCTACTCAACAATATGCAAGTTCAATCAACTAGGTATTTAAAGCTTGCACAATGCCACAGCATCCCTTTTTGGTCCCAGTAAACAAAATGCCAGGCAGCAGTCTTGCTGCTTACACCCATACCTGTTTTGCCCTCTCCAAATTTCCACAAGCTGCATATGAATTAATGAGGGCCACAAAAATTTGCTTTGTAGGTTGGACTCCACATTGCTTCATTTCTTCGTAGTACTACAAGAAAATATTGTAGTTAGTGACTAAAAAATGTTGATACATCAAATCTTAAGGTCAGAACTTCTGTTAACAGAAAATCCTAGTTACAAATTCACCAGAACGGCATGAATGCACCTACAAGTATGCATGCATTAAACGAACAACTCACAGTTAATCATGTGAATATTTTGGGGCATGAATGGTTGAATGATTAATAATCAACAATTAACAGAAGTTCACTGATTTCAGCCCTTGCATTATCATGTGATTGGCATACATCAAAGCATATGAGCTTGATTGATGGGTTCAACACATCCACTTATCAGGAATTACTCAGAATACTTGATAGAATACATTCTATGCTGCAAAACTTCCAAGAAGAATCCCAACAATTTGTTAATAGGCCACGCTTCCAAATACAAAAAACTAGCAGAACAAATATAAGTAGAAACAAGGGTACAGATAGAGCTATACTAAACAAGTCAGCTAGTTGAAAACTACACAGGTATCAAGAAAGTTGAAGATCAAGAGGGCTAATCAGGGGTGATAACATGTCAAGGCGGGTTGTTTTTGATGGAAAAACCTGAACCAACCAAAATATAACAGGTTGGGTTAGGTTGATTTGCCTCATTTTTTGACATGTGACTCAAACCAACCTAGCTTGACTATGAACCTGTTGGTTTGGGTTGAATAATCAAGTCTGTATTTACAAAAGCATCTTTGTAAAGTAAAAATTATAATGATTATGAAATTAAATTAAGAAAACCTGTCAATCTTTAAATGGAAAATCTTGATTTATACCCAAATAATAAATCATTCATCAAGAATCATATTTTAAATTATAATTTAAATTATTTTAAAATATAATACTATATAACATTTAATATATATATATACACACACACATAGCCATGTCAAGTTAAGTTCATTGGATTGAAAAAATAAAACCCCATACACAAACCAAAAATTATCGAGTTTATTGTTTTGACCACCAATTATACCCAAACCAAGTCATTAATTTTGATTTGGTTTAGGTCAGGTTGATCAAGTATTCTTGACCCATGATCATTCCTAGAGCTAATCTTATTTCTTTTCCAATATGATATTTAGATGAAGCTTGGAAAGATGCTTTGGCCACTTGAAAATAGCATGAGTAATAAAAAATTTATTAAATGAAATTTGCCTCAAATTCTGTGCAATTAGTGTTGAAAACCAAGTGCATTATGCATATTACTAACATGCTAAGGTGAAATGCCCCATTTCACTTTAGGGGTTTAAGTAAAAAGGTTACACAAAGAGAGACACTCCCACCCAACCCCCTCTCTCATTCATCAATCTCTTTTACTCTTTTCTCCATGTGAGCATTCATTTCCTTGCTTTAACTCATTCTTTTGAAATTTTTATAATCCATGTATTTTTTCCGTTATAAATAGATAGCTTAGGATATTTTTTAAAAAAGCTAGGCATAGTTCCCTAAAGGCTGTCACTCATAGCAAAGAAAAATTCTATTTGAGTATTCAAGGTATGTTCACAAAAAGATTTGAGAAAATTGATCATTTGCCCACGCTCTCATTTTCATGGAATCTGAATTTTAGAGCTGAGAATATATTGAATGTTTTGTCTCTAAACCTATTTTGAAGTCTTGTTGAATATTATTAGTATTCAAATTTGTTCACTAGCTCTTCCCTCATAGTTTTGAAAGTCTTGGAGAGCAAGTTAAATGATTATACATTGTTGTGAGTAGATAACTATAGTGACTTATTTATTCTATAAACTTTTATGATTATGATTTTGATTATATTATCTTGATATTATTGTATAAATTTTATATGTTAGAAAAACAAGCCTTTATATTAATTATTAATTCTTCTGAAATCATTAAAAATGAATTTTATTTAATAGTGCAATTATATATGTCCAACGCAATGGTTGGTATGGTTACATATGTCCATCATAGTCACAATACTTAGAAGCTTTTGTGCTTCTTAGCAAACAATTACCACAAAATCAATATTAAAAACTATGTTTTAAACAATAGAGTTTAATTCATGGCTGTAGAATTAAGAGAGAGAGAGACAGATTAGTGTGCTAGAATTGGATACTCTACAATGTGTAGAGACCTTTATAAATATAAGGATACATATGTAACCCTACTAGACCAAGTCCATTATTATAACACTAAAATAAACCCTAATCCTAATATATTTATTATAGCTATTCATAACAATGACATTCAAGCATAGGTCAAAGTCAAACTCTGGGAATAAAATATAACTGCAACCCAACCTCAAATATATACAAGGAGATGGAAACATGTAAATTATTTACCCCATCCCCTGTGGGGAAAGTAAAATTCTTCTAAATTTCTTCCAAAGGCAAACAAATTGTTATTCTTGTTTGTTGCCAAAAGATAAGCATCTTTTTTATACATCATTTAAAAAAATTAAAAAAAAACCTAAAAACAATTTCTAATCAAACAATAAAAGACAGCATCACAATGTCAATATCAATGGACTAAAGGGAGAAAATGACATACTTAAATGCAGCTACAGCATAATACATTAGCTCAGAAACATATGTATGGGGAAAAAAGGGACCAACCATTATGTTTGTTATAGATTCTTTATTTCTTTACATAGGTGGGCTATGACTGAATAATACATATATTTTTCAGAAGGCAAATAATCTTGGGAGACTGTCAACTTTAAAAGTTACTAATCATATGACAAGAACACTCGACAAAAAACATCAAAATGACTTAAACATGAGTTTATGCCAAATTTAGAGTCATGTATTACCACATAGTTCAACACATTTACCTTGATTATATCCTCTTCCGTTTCACAATTGTAAATCAAATAGAAGAAAGTATGAGAATCAAGTTTTATGTTGGCATCTCGCATGTGCTTGAGGACCTTTAACCCACCACTGATGTTTTTCTACGAAATATAAAAAATGGTGAGAAAAAGAATGCATTATGTGAACCAAGCTCATATTTTATTTAAATATTTATTATTCAATACTTAAAAGAAAGAAAAAAGCTCATATATAAATATATATATATATATAGCGTGAGAGAGAGAGAAGATTTGTTAACACTAGATATTAAATTTAGGTACTAATACCTCTTAATAACTTCTTACAAAATGTAAAATTAATCAATCCAATTGTTAAATTATCTTATATCACCCTCATAATCATGCATGTCAAATTTTACATAAGTTAGACATTTGTAAATATGTTCCCTAAAGTTAATATATACTTATATTTTAAAAACATATTACACGTTGAAATAAAATAATACAATGAAATTCCTATCCTTTTTGTTTTTATATAAAATTTTATAAAATTAGTCTACTTGATAAAAACTTTCAAAACAACAGTTAAATAGATTATTCTCACATTTTATAAAATTATTAAGTGGTGTAAATACTCAATTTGACACCTAATGTTAACGGATCTTAACTCATATATATATGTTATTTAATTAAGTGTTTAGTCCCTACAAAAGGTGCATAATTTGAACTAATCCTTACACAATATTTTGTTATGATATAGTACTACTTTTTAATGAATAATTATTTTTAGTCCCTCTAACTAGTGTGATCCAACCACAAGCTAAAGCATAGTAGAATCTCAATGGTTTGAATATTTATATTGATAACAATAATATCAACAATGATTACTAAATAATTATATAATATATTGCTATCATTTACCATAATTATAAAGATACTAATTTTGTAAGTGAACAAATTTAACACTACCTCTCAAGTTGGAGTATATCATCATATGTAATAAGCTTGGTGAATACATTTGTCAAATAATCATTTAAATTGACAAAACTTGTGATGATTTTGCATAGGATCTTCTCACAAATGAAAGGACACTCTATCTCAATATGTTTTGATTTTTTCATAGAAGACCAAATTCGAGACAATGTGCAAAGTTGTCTAGTTAACACAAATATGTGTCATTTGTGTGACCCCTTCATATCTCAGTTTTTAATAAAATTGTTTCAGTCCAATAATTTCACACTTGGATAAGGTCATGACTCAACATCTTTCTTTTTACTCTTTTAAGAACTCAGATTACCTTCAATCAAAATACAAGAGCTAGAAATAGACTTATTATCCTAAGAGTTTGCACAACCTCCATCCGAATACCCTACAATTTGAGTGCAACCCTTGTCCTCGTACAAGAGACATTTTCATGGAGCTCTTTGATATAGTTTAAGATTCAAATCAATGCATCTCAATGTTTCACAAGAAGAGTTAAAGAATTGACTTATTACACTAACACCAAAACTAACATTTGGACGAGTGACAGTGAGATGGTTTAGCTTTCCCACCAATCTCTTATATTTCTTTGTATCAAAAAAGGCTCTCTGACTTAGCAGAAATTTAGAAATAAAATCCAGGAGTCTTTGCAAATTTTTCACCCACCAAACATGTTTCTTCTAAGATATCCAATGTAGTCAACATAAACAATCATCTAAATGCGTCCTATGGCTAAATGTCGGTAAAACAAACACCTGAAAGATCAACTTCACTCCAAGACATCCCAAAGGCTTGAACAACAATGCTGAATCTACCAAATAATGCCTATGGAGAAGAGTGTTTAAAGTCATTCAAGGATTTTCATAGATGAAAAACCTAATCTTAAAAACTCTCCCTGAGCAACAAATACAAGAGGTTACCCTATATAAACTTCTTTCAATAAAATTACCACAAAGAAAAACATTATTGAAAGCAAGTTGATGTAGAGGCCAATGGCGTGTGGCATAGTTTACGGAAAACCAAAATTGAAGCATAGTTTTCGGAAAAAATTTAACAATATATATATGGGTGTGTAAAATGTCCATGAATTCTACTATCTGAATTTGAAACTTTTTTGAAAATGACAAAAATTGCTACAGATTACATTTGAAACTAAAACAAAACATTCAAATCTGGTTGCAAAAAATAATTGAAGGTCTTAATGAGATCAGAGGTATCCTCAAAGTACAAGAAGAATGTCACCTCTCGAAAATATCCTGCCATTATAGCATTGTACATGCCTGACGTAGCTTTGAAGTTCATTTCCTCTAGGTCACCAATCATCTTGTATGCAGCTTCAAACTGCATTAAGGAAGTAATACAACATAAGTTTGCTGCACAGATGATCTGTTGTTAACATCAACATCAGACAAAACAGATTAAATTCCTAATAGGTCAGTTTAGGATTCCAGTTTCCTTTTCTTTGCTCTAATTTGTTTCTTGATATTTCCTAATTATTAGTTTCTTTATATACATGTAAATTATAACGTGTTGATACTGAATAGAATTCAAGATTTATAAGTTTTGAAGCATTGTATAGACAAGACAGGAATGGCTAACATCTACTCACTAACTTGATGAGGAGTGTTTGTCGACGTTAATAACTAGTCAAAGACAAATTACATTAGGTTGTAATTCTTCTTTCTTTTGCAGTAATTTGTTCCCAGCTGTTTCCATATTACTAGGTTTTACATCTTTCAATTGCCATTGATTATGTAACTAATATCATCATCTCATTACAGCTATAATTTAGGAGAGTTTGTTGTATCATAGAATTAGGATCAGTATCATATCTGCAACTTATCTCTTAGATTTAAAGATATTCTTTTGTCAAAGAGCATTATTCAAGTCAAGTGAAATCATAAATAATATTCATGTTTCAGTTTTGAGTATATCTATTGCAATAGGTCTTCTCTTCCGTTTTAGGGTGCTGTTTTAGGAAGTATGTTATGTATATATACAATACCAGCTAACACAAAAACTACATATCAGAGAATGGAAGTTTCTACGAGATAAGATGGAAGGAAACATATGTATGCAACCATGTAAACAAAATAAATACAGCTTACATCTTTCATCCTCACAAGAAAGTGCACCAAAGACCTGCATACTTCACCATTCAACTCCAAATGGTAGCTACGTATTATGGAATAGATTCGATGGACCTTGAATTTTTGTCAAGCATGGAAGAAAAAGAAAAAATAGATATCAGTATAATATGCAGAATGAGAAAGGTGCAAAAAATTAAACATCATTAAACAATTAATTTCAGGATAAGAAAATGAAGATCTCATGAAACATCAAAAACTAAAATAAAAAGAATTGAAGAATGCATTACTCTGTGCAATTTCATGAAAATACAGAAATGGAAAAGGGAAGCATAAATTTTATTCTGTAATTCTTATTGATATTCTGATATGATATAGACTTTTCCTGACCTCGGACATTTTAATAACCTTCTTTCCTGTATTGTATATACATAGAATGTTGTATAAATCACAAGCCTTGAGTCTTCAACGAAAGTATTGTATAAGTTGAGTTAGCCATTTCTAAACAATCCCACAATCCTAGATAACTATGGCCAGAAAGGGTCAAATTTTATGAAAATTGATCACTCATGATGTTGTGAACAAACCATCTCCTTTCCATTGTAATTAAGCAAGATTTCATCCAGTCTTGGACTTTCAGCTTGCATTTTAGAGACTCTATGACCAATTATTTCAAAGTTAAGTGATCGGCACCCCATTCTCTACACAAATAAATTTTGAGCACAAGGTAGTTTTGGCCTATAGTCTGTCCTCCCTTTGAGCCCAAAGGACTTTAAGGAATAAAATAATCCTTCAAACTAAGAATTTGCTTTCAGGTTAGACAGTTCTCTTTGTTTGACAAAAGGTTTGATAGTCCATAGATGCAACTCAAAATTGACTGCTTGAAGTTCAATAGTTTTAAAGGAAAAATTTGCAATATATGTTGTGAGAAGAGATGCATGGATTATAGTATATCACAGCGAAGAAACAGGGAAGCTGGTGCAAGGAAGATGTATTATACCAGCATATATTCATAAGATTCCTCACATTTTTGTAATATGGATTGTAACACCTCAATTGACAAGGTGAAGCCAGCTTCACACATTTTCTCAACAATATCAAGAGCTATGCCCACCTGCATTGAAAAATAAAAGGCAAATTAATTATATGCAAATGCAGTCTCCATGCTAGGCATAGGTACTGGAATAACTGATTTGTTTCTTATAATATAAAATAAATAGTATAACAAATCTAACACATTAAGATCTAATTGAATTGAGAATACACTAGACTAACTCAATTCCAAAAGTTAGCTCATGCGGGAAGGATTGTGGCAGATATAGTACCTGCTAGATGAAATTTAGCAATCTATGGCCCTTCAGTTATTGCTTTGACTTGTTTCCATAGAAAGAAATTTTTCTCATCCAAATACACTGTGACTGTGCGTGAAAATGTTACAGGAGCTACATCCAGAATTGAGGGAACCGAGGGTGGACAAACACCCGAATTGAGTGCATTTTCTAAGTTTTGAAAGGGATTGCCAGGGGAAACCATGGTTTTGGATTAAGTGTAAGCTCTTGATACCATGTTACTATTCAAGAACTGAGAAAGTGACAAATAATAAGAAAGGCAAAGAAAGTGAAGAAAGCATAAGAGACTTGCTCTGAAAGCTCCATTTGGTTTGTTATTCTACTATTCTAGACTATGCAGAGACCAAAATAGATTTAGCTAGAAGTTAGAACTACTTCTATATGATCGTACATGTGCACAATGCTGCTCGAACAACAGATTACTTACTACTATTATACCAAATTTTGTAGTGGGTAAGGCTGATAGAACATATTGAAAGGAAATTCAAAATAGTTTTAAAATTGACAATAAAGTTAGGCCTATTCACATTCAACAGCATACCCTGCAAAAGCTTTGAAGAAAGCACAGGCTCCACTGAATCAGAGTAGTAGTGTCAATAAGGGAAGTACAAATGAAGGAATACTTAGTGCACACTTAAATGCAGAACTAGATACTAGGACATGTCCATTTGATCCAAGAGAGAACAGGATAGTATCTTGTCCTATGATTACCCTTTTCAACTATCTTGTCCTACTTCTGTCTAGTTGAGGATACAGATATCTTTGTAGTGAGTGAAAAAATGGGGATGCCAAATTACTTTTTGGGAGAAGACCAACCTCTCCGGCAATAAAGGAATCCAGAAATAGCAATGCAATGACGGTCAGACCAAGAAATATTATTATATTCGATTAATTTAACTGGTTGAATCAATCAAACCACGACTGAGGTCTCACCAATTGAATCTTTGATTTGGTTTTCAAAACATTACAGCAAACAGTGTGTGAGGTTTCTATTCTCATAAATACAAACTATGAGACTAGTCAAGCCCTCAAATGACAATGGACAAGGCAATGGCTGTAGTTCTGAAATATTTTCTATCAGTAATGATTAATGTCAACGGTAGAAAAAGAAGAACTGGCAATCTTACTTATGGTGGGAAAATAAAAGGAATTGAAGAAACTTTAGTTCATGAATAAATCATTTTGATAGAATTTAAGCAATTATAGAGAATAATAAACAGATTACTATTTCTATTTGTCCAAAGTTTGTTCTTTAGACAATGGTAAGGGAAGTCATGGATGTACAGAGAAGGCTTTGAGTGTTCAGTAAAGACTCTGAAAGGAGCACTCATCATGTTATCATTTTCCATCTAGCTTTTTTCTTCTTTTTTTCCCTTCTCATGAACAAGGTTCTTGCAACCAATTGATACCCACAATATGAGGATGAATATAAAGAGAGTGTTATACCTTGTCTAAGCCACAGCAATGCAAAATGAGTCTTTCATAGGATGAGGATGAAGGCAACACTTCCAATAATTCATGCATATTCTTGACTTTTGAAACGATATCCTCAACCTTCCACATTACCAGCAACACACATAAGAAAAAACAAAAATAAAATCATTTTTTTTTGTAATATACAACTACTTTAGGCCAATATTAAGCCAAATAACATTAAAAAAAAAAACTTGCAGATATCTCTTAACTGTGGTCAAACTTTCAAGAACATTATGCACCTTCATAATATATGAGCACAATGGTTTAAAACCTCAAGTCAGTAAAGAATGATTAAGTAGTTCCTGCTTGAAACAAGGCAACCAGTAATCCACAAAGCTTTGAGCTTAGAAAGAAATATGCATCACCAACCACTTTGAAGAACATTATGCTACAGAGCAGTTTATCTTCCAATATTTTCAGCATATGGTTCTACAACATAACAAAATGATGCATACTAAGCATGCTTCAATGTGAGGGAAAGTTTAATATTGGTTTCTAATTCTATAAATGAGTATTTAAATCAAAATTAAAATATATTTTTCATACACACAAGTTTCTTGAACAAAATTATTATGCATTACAGATATAATACCATTCATGGACTTCAACCTTATACTTTAACCTTTTAGGAGAACTCATCCTTTACAACAATCTTGGACAAATGTGAAATTTTATGAGCAAGAGATGTAAGATGCATAACTCCTATCCTAACCCATGTTTATGAGCATTCTGTCAGGCAGGTCCCATGAACCTAAGTTGAAAGTCCAGTCCAACTCAGTCATGGGCCTTGGATTTGGAAAAAAAATGTAGCAGGAGAAACAAGAAGGGGCAGAATGGGAATTAACAATTAAGAGAAGAAAATCAGTTATGGAAGAGCAAATTGACATTTAATGCTTCAAGGGGAGAGAAAGAGAGCAGTTTTGCTTGCTTTCTGTTACTAGTGGGCAAGGGTGTGAACCTTTGTAGGAGCATTGCTCTGGGTATTGCAGAATTCATTCTGCAGTATTTTCTTCTTAATTAATAATACAATTCTATCTTTAAATTTTGGTCTCTGACACATTCCCTATTTAAACAATCCCCTGTTTGCCTGTTCTATTTGCAACAACTTCAAATAGTATGGCAGAGGTTTGCTAAAGATCTCTTAATGCTCCATTATGCTTTGTATTTAAAAACAATGATAAAGTAATTATCCATAAAATATATGCCAAGTTTCTAACAGAAACTAGCAAGATGGAGTTCAAGCAACATACATTGAGATAGAAGTTTCAAGAAACATTAAATGTGAAAGTAGAAACATGGCACAAGCAGAAGTGGCCCCCAGACCCCAGTATCACATAGCATCAAGGAGATTTACGGGCAGCATTCATGAGAAGTTCCTCACCGCTAAATTTGGAATGCTAACAGCATAACTAACAATGAAGTTTGAAATATTATCTGCATCGTGATCTGCATTACATATGAATATCTCATTAAAAAATACTTCGAGGGCAAATTTAGAGAGGAAGGTAACAGATTTCACCATCCATTACTATGCCAGATAAATATAGGCTTTAGAGTTTAGAAGAATGTAAATCAGTGCATTTGCAACTGCAACAAAGCTTCAAAATAAGATATAAGATATTCACCACCAACCTATTATTTCGAGCTAAGAAATTGATTCTTGGAGCCTTAATTTATGTCAAACCCTATTAGGAGGTAAGAATTGAGCTCAGAATTGGAATTAAGCTTCCAGTTCCAAATACTAAGCAGCACGCCATTTAGAAATAGAATTCTAATCCCACGTGACAATTTCTAGGAATTATAAAATAACAGAGTTAAACCCACACAATTCCCTAAATATAACAACCAGAAAGGATAAAACATTAAAGGAAAGTTGACTTTTAGAGTCAAAAATTTATATTTCTCTCTTCTCACATCTTCACTTCTATTCAAATCTCAAATTTTTAACTCTCCCATCACTTTCTTTCCATGTAAATAAACAGAGGGTACAACATGTTTGTCTCTCTTGTCCATCTCTCTTCATCTCTGTAAGGAATTTGAAGCTCCAAATGTCTCACTCCAGCCACCACCATAGGGTGTAACAAAAGTTTGACATTGGGCAAAACCAGACATGCTCTGCAACTAGTCCAACACACTGCTGTTATACACTCTCCATCTCTGCTCTGATGTATTTCTCTATTTTGATCATCCCTAAGTGTGTGTTTTGTTCATCTTATTTTGACAAAATAATTGCTTTTGGTCAGCTTATAATTTTGAAAAATTAGCGATTATCTCCAAAAATTTAACCTATCCCAGACAAGCACTTAACAATTCATAAACTCAATAAATCCTCCTCAAAGTTCAAAATCAATTACTTTTTGGTTATTGAGCATATTAGTTAACCCCCTCATGCTTTGAATACCAACTCATTCTCTGCATGCATTCCCTCTGTTCCCTACCATACTAACATTCATCAACTTTAGTCTTGATTGCATTGTTGCTATGGAGTACCATGATTTCCATGTTTTGTTCCTCTTGCCCATCATCTACAATTCAGAGCTCTGGGTAGTTATGGCTTTACAAGAAACACGTATGACCAATTAAAGCAAGTGCTTTTATAAGGAGAATTTCTTATGAGGTACAGGGATACAATTGTTTTTATTTTTTAAATTTTTCAACAACAATTAAACCTCTCTTCATGAAAAGAAAACACTAGATTCATACCCAAATTGTGTTACAATAAAGGAAGTTTTTTTTTTCAAAACCTTCTATATTGTGAAAACTGAAACTTTACTATAAATATAAGTGGAATTGTATTTTAACTCTTACAATGTAATTAGAATTACAATTTTAATTAAATTCCAATTCCTTTTAAAATCAGAATTGAATTTAAAAGTCTTATATAGTATGGATAATTCTACAAAACAGACAGTCACAAATCACAAGACGAACACAAGTTGAATATAAAGAGGAAAACATAAAAAAGTCTTCTTTTCAGAGCATAACAGTGTACCACCTTTAATACCACCTGCAAAGATGCTTAGACAATAAAATATGATCATAAACATACCGCATGCTCTCAAATCCAAAAGTAAATCGTCCACAACAGATTCCTGCGGTAGACTGCCTAATGATTGGAATATTTTCGCAATAGATTTTGCAGATGAAAACTTTGTGATGTCTATATTCTTTAGCACATCCAAAATCTGCATCTTCCGATCACTTTCACAAAGAGCCATTACGTAACTTTCTGCAACAGGAATTGAATTCAGCTCAGTTTCATGTACCACATGAAACAAGCATTTCTATTGCAATAGGACATCAAAGTACACAACAAGAAGAGTTGCATAACTAATTATGTTATCATACCAGATGCATTTGCTTGCCACAATCACTTCTATTATTAGGCACCTAGATGCTAATAATGGCTTGAATTCAGTTTCCTTACCATGTTTCTAACATATATAAAATGTGAAATATGAACAAATCTTGAACTGCAATACAAATGCATAAAACACCCATTTCCAAAGCAGTTATCCATTTATACCATGCACTTAGTCTTCACACTTCATGCCAAATGGTAGCACATCAAATGAAGAAGAATATGCCATGAAAGGCACTATCTTTGCCCCTATGTGAAAACATAAAGCAACTCCCAAATTTCCAACATGTCACTGTTGAAACCCTCTACTAGATGTCCAAAGTTGGACGAAGCAAATTGTGAAAAATTGATGCACATGAAAAACAGCTTCACCAACCTCGTAAAGCAGATGTGTCTTCACCATCTTCAACTGTAATATATTCACAAATATCCCGGATCATTTCTTCATTGTTAACTCTTAACCACAGCAACATTTCATAATAACCCAATCGAGGAGCAGAACTGGGGTTCCCAGCTCTGATAAAATCAGAGAAAAGTTGATATTCTTCAACCAAACCCATATCAATTATATACTGGAGAAGTGGGCCATATGTTTTCTCTTCTAGCGGATAACCAAATTCCTTCATTGATTTGACAAGGTGAAAAGCCTTACTCATTTCTTTTACGGCAATGAATTCATCGTCAGTTGCCCTAGCCTTCTCTACGCACATTTTTATTAATGCGTTGTACTCTTTCACTCCTGTTTGTCGACCCAAGTGACCAAACACATTGACAGTTTTTCTTGTTCCTAGTTTATTCGCACACAAATTTATCAACTTAGTAAAACGGATATCATTTGTGTATGTAAAAAACCACTTCTGTTTCCTCTGACGAGCTAACTCCTTCCGTTTTATGACCAAATTACCAGGAGGCAGGTCTGCTATCCATGGCATGTCTAATTTTTTTATCCCTTTTTCTTCATCATCAATTTCCTCTGAATCAGGCTTCTTTTCCTGCGTAGCTGCAAATAGAAAACAGCACATACCCAGCACTGATATAAGATAAAACACAAGCCAAAGCACATTTGAATTCCCTAGTTTCCACGTCATCCTAGAGAAAAACGCAAGACTAACTCTCACAGTAAATTTCACAAACACTTACGGCACAATATAGCAGAAAGCCGAAAAGTGCCCGCATCTTCATTAGACAAATCCCCTGCACCAAAACGACGTAAAAAAAACCGAGATCATTACACACCCAAATAGCCCAACAACACAAAAAATAACCACCAAGTACATAAAACAACCCAATCCAACGCATTTTGCAGCACAAAGCTCAATTCTTTTCACTCATTTAGCTCCAAAAATCAAAACCCATGAACACAATAAGGGTCATTTATAAAATACAGCCTAAATGAGAACATGGGTACGCGTAAAAATTGAAACTTGATTGGAACAGAATGAGTTTCTTCGAAACATGAGCGGCAGTTTCGTGTACCTGAGGTAGAGTCACGAGTGTGGTTGTGTTTTGAGAGGTGCAGTTGTTGGGTTTCAGAAGAGGAATCTATGAAAGGGGCAATGTTGTTGTTGTTATTGGCTATGCGGGTTAAATGTGGGCGGAAAAGGGTGCTGAGGGTGCATAGGTTTCTAACGGTGGAGCCGCGCATCTAAGCTCTGAAACAAGGTCCAAAAATACGAGTTTGTGTTGCTGCTTCGTTTTTGGTTTTTCTGTGGCTTAATGAATATTTGTTCGTTCTTCCAATGCGTTTTGTGTTGATTTGCAGAGTTGAAGTATCGGAGGACGTAAGAGTGTCCAACTACTGCATACGAACGATGAATGTGAATATGGTGAAGAATGACGTAAACGAGTGCAAAAAGAATATTTGGAGTGAAAAAATGTTGACAGAGAAATCATCCTATTTAGTATAATTTTTTATTATTAGTCAGTTTAAAAAAATATTTATCTTATAAATTAAATTTTTTAAACGTTATTTTAACTTTTTAAAAATAAACTAATGATATATAGAGTGCATTGAGTTAAATATTTCAATAACTTTGTTGGATACTTTTTTTAAAAAAATAAACTACTTTAAAAATAAATTTTTACTTTAATCTTTAAAATTAATGATTTAAAAGAGTCTTTTATCAAATTTTAAAATTTTAATAATTAAAATTAACTATTATTTAAAGAACAAAATGATGATTTATACATGAAGTAACATGTGACAAGTCATTTTAATCATAAAATAATAATATTTTATATTTTTTTACGAACAGTTATATTTTATTAACTTTTAAAACTTTTAACTAATAAAATTATTATTTTGATTTTTTTATAATTTTTTCTCTAATTGTTGTTGCTGATACTCTTTTTTTATATTTTTGTTTCTCTTCTTTTATAAGTTAGTTTTTCTGTTTATTTTTTTTCTCAATTATTTTTTTCAATAAACTTAATATTTTAATTTTTTTCTTTCTCAAATACAATCCAATAAATTTAAGTTCTCATTAATCTAAACATTCTCTTTCTTTACAATCATACTCACCAAAAATACTTTTTAATCAACTCATTCTACACCTTACATTTGTTGAACTCCATCATCCCTCAACCTTTTTAATGTTGCCATGTACGGTTATAAGAAATTATCATTAGACTTTAACAAAATCAATTCCTATTATTTCTTTTTGCTTGTCCAATTCATTTTAAACATTCACTAAGAGATTTGGATTTGATTGTTCAAGGAACAAATTTTGAGATAAAATAAGTTTACAACTGATAAGTCTGTATTTAATCCCTCTTTTTCAGCTCATATTTATATTTGATCTTTATTTTATTTAAATTTTATACTGATTTATAAGTTAATTGTGCAGTTTAATATAAAAAAAGTGACAAGTGAATTTTGGGTTTCAAAGCTTCACAGTAGTCAATACGGCCATACCCTTTCAACAAATACATGAGCGCTTCGAGTTCATGCACAGTCATGCCTATGGCCTTGCACGACCATATTCATCTGTAAAAAACTCAATTATGAAAAGCATTTAGGTTCTCAAACCTTATAAAAAGAGAGACCTCAAACATCCAATTTTTACATCTTGTCTTTTGCTCTTTGATACACATTTCATCTCGTCTCTCATTTTAGTCTGCTTTTTTTTATGACTTTATTTATGATTGTTTTAATTTTTTCATTTAGTATAAATAACTAAGTCTATTGCTAGAGTAATGAGAATACTCGTTCATGAATTTATAGAATTTTAAAGTTTAAATTTATGTTAGATTTTTGTTCGTGATTAAATTTTATCCTATTGCACTTCTTTATTAATCATAATTAATTATATCGTCAGGACGATTGTATATCGGTTAGTTAATTGATTTATAGGATAAAACAAGACAAATAATTAGGTAAAGTAAATTAATTTTTCTCTTCAAATCGTTATTAAATTAACAAGTTCATATGTATTTTATGTTTTATTAAATTGATATCTTGTATAGCCATTTGAGACATTAATTTAGAGAAAAAATATTAATATTAGAAACCCTTGAATATTAATATTAATTGTATGAATGGTTGGTGATCACAAGAAAATCGAACTTATAATTAAACGAAAAAATAACATAAAAGATTGAATGAGAAAATTTATATGCCTTATATTCTTTTTCTATAAGTTCAATCAAGATGTGTGTTGTGTTATTTACTCTTATTCATAATTGATTTTAAATTATTATTCTTGTTTAATTTTACATCTTTAGGTTCAAATAATTGAATTAAAAAATTCTTAGTGATTGAAAAATAATCATTGTAGGACAATGATTTAGAAACTTAATTTAAGAATCATTTATTACTTTTTGATAGGTACACTTGCTCATTGAATAAATACCATTGAAGAAGTGCTTGAAAGAAGGAAAATAATGTCATGACAAAAAGATGAAGCAAAAAGTAAAAAACAAAATCTTATTGACTAAATAAAAATATTAAACATTAAAAATAAACATGAATAATTTTTAAAAGATTATAAAATAACATTATTTTATATCTAAAATAAACTAACATATGTTATTTATTGTGACATATTATTACTTTAGTTATTTTTAACATTTTATAACGATAAAGACTAATGTAATTAATGATTGTTAATTTTATATACTAAAATTTAAAATTTATAAAATTTAATTTAGATAATTATACATATTTCAAGAATTAAAGTAAATATTTACTTTAAAAAAAATATTGTAATCACAAAATTATAATAGTTTAGCAAGTTGGAGTTACGTTTAATGTATATTTATTGTATTTTTTTTCACATTTGAAGTTTTATATGAAATAAAAAGGTTATCAATATTTTAATTTAAATTTTATTATGCTTAGTATTTGTTTTATTAACTTATTATACTTTAAATATTAATTATTAAAGATAAAATTATAATTAAAATATTTTTTATTTTTTAAAATGACAATAAAAACTAACCTTAAAAATTGAGAACGTATTAAAAAAACAGAAAAAATATGTTAAATTACTTTATCAGTAATAATTTATCCAGTAAAATTTTAATATTATCAACTTTTTTTTTTTTCCAATTTTTTACTTTTTCTTATTGTTCTTTACTTTCACTTTGAGATATCAACACAATCATGTATTGAGATTGAAAAAAAAAGTTAAGGGAAAGAAAAGTAGGAAAGAAAAAAATTAACGTTTCCTTAAAATCTAGTAAATGCAAGTAAAACAGTACTTTAGTCTCTAAAACAACACAAATATTTTTTCACCCATGTTTTACTATATTGCAACTTTTTATATATATTTTTTTGTTAGTTGAGTTTGGCCTTCGTGTGATATGAAAACAATAATGTTGAAATTACACAATAATCATGGTTACCATCACTTTCACAGCATTTAAGAACACATAATAAAAAGAAAATATAATAATTTTATTTAAAATTGTAAATTTAATATATTAATAATATTAAATATGATAATATATAGTAACAATTATTATTTATTAATACTTTCTTACGTGCTTTTAAACATAATTACAAAAATTAAAATAAATCTACTAAATAAAATAGTTTGAATATATTCCATGAAGCTCCAATTGTTTTTCCATTTTGACAGTCTAAATAATAATAATAATATTCCATTTATTATTATTATTTTAAAAATAATTTACTCAAAAATGGAAAAAGGAAAAAAAAAAAAAGTAACTAACGTACGAAGAAGTAACATGGAAGCTGCATAGCTCTCTTCATCTTGGCACAATCTAACAAAGAAAAGAAAAAGCAAAGAATTTGGAACAGCAACACTCCAACAAAGATTCTCCATGTCATCTTCTCAAATTTCATAAAAACAATTCACTCTTCTTCTTTAGCAGTCACATGAATGGCACCTGAAAGTGGCAACTGCTGCACGTGCTGCCTCAGTTCCCTCATCACCATGGCCATCACCGCTATATTCCTCTGGCTAACGTTCCGCACCAACAAACCCAAATGCTTCATTGAATCCCTCTACGTTCCCTCCCTCCACCACCACAACAAAAACGACACTCTCGTCTTCCAACTCAAGCTTCAAAACGACAACAAGGACAAGGGGGTCAAATACGACACCGTTTACCTCACGTTTGGCCTCTTCCTCGACAACACCACCACGCGCCCCCTCGCTAACGCCACCTTCGACGCCTTCTACCAGGGGCACGGCAAGACGGCACACAAGTGGGCCTCTGCTGTGGCGCGCGGTGGCGGAGTGAACCGCACTGCGGCGACGACGAATGGAACGGTGTTCCTGCGCGTGGATTTCACGACCAGGGTAAAGTATAAAATGCTGATGGTGTTTTTCACGAAACGGTACCGTTTGTCCGGAGGGGCCAACGTGGAAGTGAATGTTAGCTCCGGGGAGAAGGTGGAGCCGAAGGAGATTAGGCTCGGGGATGTGCCGCCCAGGCTCGTCTCCGAAGCTACCGGGGTTCAGGGTCGCTCCGCTGCGTTTCTCGGACTTTTTGTCACTGGCTGGTTTCTCACTGCGTTTACTTGAGTTGACAATTATTATTATTATTATTATTTGGGTTGATTGTTTTCTGGTATTTGAATGGTTTGTGTTCTTTGATTTGTTGAGTATTTTTTTTGGTTTCATGTTATGTATACCATGGGAATGGACCATTTACAAGATGTATACTGCGTAAAATTTCGTCAGTTCAAGAGATGGTGTGAAATTTACACTTTTTTTGAAATATTATTTTTTTTATCTGTCATTTCTAACAAATATTTATTTTGTTTATTTGTTATTTTAAAACTTTAAAATATCATTAATTATTTTTTAATTATATTTTTATTAAACGGGACAAAAATAATTATGTATAAAATGTCTAAGTAATAAATAAGTAAGGTAAAAGATGTGTAAAGGAGATATACCAAAAAAAAATATATATATTATTCACACAAAGTCTTTTATCCGGATGTTATGAAATAAGAAAGAAATAAATAGAGGAGAAAAAAATATGAAGATAAGAAATGTAGTAAAAAATTAAAAAGAAATTAAATTAAATAATAAAATAAAAATGAAAATACATATTATTTCTGTGCGTAAAATAAAATTTTGGGAAGAATAAGTTTGTCGCTCATGTTTTTAATAAAAGAATACATATAATTAAAAAAATAAAAAACATGGGGAGTTAACGAGAAAAAAAAAATTGAAAAAAGGAAAAACAAAGGGCTAGGATTTTTGCGGGCACTGTGTTGATATAAAATGGAGCCGTTATCTTCTCGCATTGAGCTTAAACCTCCTTCACAAAGGTAATCTATCGCCGTGAGAATGGGAATCAACGTAATCTATGTCTCAGCTTCTCCTTCTATATATTCGCCTTTTCCTAATCCACAGGTACTTTCTTCCATTCTTGTGTTTTGTTATGTATCTTCAGTCACACTCACACCCACTCATTATTCATTTTATCTTCATTCTCTAATTCAGGGTTCATTGCATCAAAATTGGAAGCTTCGAAAGCACAAGCTGAACTTGAGGCTTTCACCGTTTCCTTTGAATTCGAGTTGCAGCAGGAGGAGGTAGTAACCACTGTGCTCGTTGTCGCTCATTATTATTCATTAACTATCGTATCATGTGATTTGAAGGTTTATTTCCATTTCAATTGTTTTGTTCTAATATTTGACGAAGCTATCACCATTCAAAATAGTGAATTGGCGTGTTTGGATCTAAAAACAGGACAACTTTCATATGTGCAGCCAATCAAGAAGCTGAGGAAGCTTTTAAGAAGACTGTTGAAATTGATAGGCTCATAGATATGCTTAGAGAAGCTAATCCTCACCAGGTAAGGTTCTTTTAATCAAATTTCATGGTAGATGTGGTGGTTCATGATGTAGGACTCAAATTTTATGTATTAGTTGATTGATTTTGCATTTTCAATAGTGTTGATATTGTTTGGCTTTGTAAACAGCTTCAGAAACTTGTTGTTGAAAATATCCTTGCTTTTAATCCAAGCTTTTGGGTACGGCTTGCGGCAAGAACTGATACTTGCAAGTCTGAGGATGATAAAGTACACTTCCAAATTTATGAAGATGTTTGTTTAGTTGGTCACTGTCAGTTTTTTGGTTACACTGTTTGCTTTTGTTTATTGTTGATGTGCAGAAAGATTATGAAGAATTGGCTGCGACGGTCATGAATGTGGTGGATCGTGTGGTGCATAAGACTAACGTGGTTCCCTCTCTCTTCGCTTTGCTGAAAATTGTTCAAAACTTGTTGGATTATCTTTGTGACTTCTTTGGATGATAATCTTGTTATTATATACCTGCTTTACAGGAGAAGATAGAGTCTGCCACAGATGTCCTGAAGGGAGTACTAAAACCTGTGGTTGATGATGAAGGAGAGATTCCCTGGCCTCCCAGAGATCCTAGGGCACTCACATTGATGGAAAAGGTGAGTTCTGTTTCTCACTGATTCTATAAAGAGTAGCATATTTTATTGGAAGGGCTTTCTTTTCAATTTTAAAATATGAATTTTTTTTCTGCATTTCTATATGTAGTGAAGCGGAAAACAATACACGATTTGTGTCAATCTGCTAACATCAAGCTTAATTTATACCTTTATGCAAAAACTCATCATTTGATATATGCTTCAGCCTTCAATCACCTTGAATATGTGCATGACATCTTCAGAGGGTCTTTCATTCATCTTGAGGTTTTGTTAAAAATGATTTGGATTAGAGTTGAGAGATCAAATGACTACAAGGTGATGCATAAATGATTGCATATCTGTTATTCTAATCTTCTGTAATGTGTGTTTAACTGAGACGAGCATATATAGACACTCGTGAAGGAAAAGTAAACAGTTATCCACAGAATTATGGATATTTGTTTTTCCACTCTTTCTTTCTTCTAAATAAAGAACTTTCATTCTGGTTAGCTATTCTAATAGCCTGTGGGTTGTTTTGGTTATTCATGTATATTTTCAGCAACTTCTCCATCTATTTAAATTTTAAGTCCCAATCATTAGGAAATAAGTCAAAGGGAGCAAGAAGGACAGTTGGACGAAGGGTTCCTTGCTGAAGTTAATGCTCAGCTACGACAAGTGAGACTGGTTTCTGCTTTTACTGCTTATTTTTAACTGACAGTAATTTTCAATCTTCAGTACTATGTAGATACGTATACTTTAGTTACAACATTGCCCAATGCCCACTATTTTTATTATCCTTAAAACTCTCCTTAGTTACTTATATGTCAAAATGATGCCAAGTGACCCAAAAAAAATAAATGATACTGTGTGAACGAGTTGGATAATTCATAAGGCTTGTTAATTTTGGACATTCAACGACTTATATTTCACAACAATTTTTGTCTTGTATGTATTCACCTTTGATATAGCTGAGATTTCTAATTAGCTTCCTGCTCTAGTTGAATATCTTTTGGGATATTTGCATAGATGCTGCTATGTTTGGTTTGATGTTATTTTGTATATAATGCACACTTTACTTTTTCCCCCTTTTCCATTGTCATATATTACTTATTTGAGACCTAATGATATCTTGCCTGTAACGAGCAGGCAAAGGAAGATGGTGATAAACCTGGGCTCGAGGCTATGTTGCAAAAAGTATTGCAGCTCTATGCTTCCAAAGTTCTCTCAAAACGTAGTTATGCCATGAAAGGTGTGTTTGTTGTTGACGTACCCTGTGCATGAAATTTATGTCTAAATAGACAAGTATTTGTTTGTAGTTAGATTTTCTGTTTATTTTTATTTAGTCCTTTTGAATTTTTATATTTAATTTGGAAGGTGCTGTATTATTCTTGCAGGGAAGGAAGTTTTGAAGGATGAGCTGTTCCTTGAAATCATTATCCAAGGTGCCTTCATCATCCTAATCTTTTACGTTGTAGAAAAACACTCAATTGTAAATTTAAAATAAGAATTATATCACTGGTTCTTGAGAAAGAATTGGTTCCTAATTTTCAAGTTTAGGTTTAATTTGTTTTGATTATATCCTCTTAATGTATCAGTGGTGCTTGTGATGAGTACCATGGCAGGATTTCATTTTGTTAAAATATCTTTTTATGGATTGTTCATTTCATTTCATTTGATAGTAAAACAAGTTGTAATCAGTTTGAAATAACGAAAAAAGATAAGTCATAGTTATAATTATAACTTCTGATTAAATGAATAATAATTTCATTCTTATTTGAAAACAATGGGACTTCTGATTAATGGCCATTGAGAGTAGTTTATATGACAGGAATTTGGCAAACCAAATTGGTAAAATTACTATTTATAATGTCCCAGTTCAGCGGTTTATCTTTATTTCTGTCTATCTAATCTAGATCAATAGTCTGCCGCCTTTTGTCTCCAACTTTTAGTACATGGCTAGCTTCAATGATCAACCAATTTTTGGTCCCTATCAGCTCCTGAACAAGAATGGAACAATATTTTGATCAACGGATTGACAATTGGTGCTGGGGATATTTCACCAGAGGAGCTCTTCACTGTCATAAAGAAAAGAATTGAGCGCATTTTGATTAGAACTGTGAGACAAAGCCATACTCCTACATTTGGTTCTTATTCTTTCTCTGTGTTCTACTTAACTGAAGTTGTTCCTCTGATTTATCCATACTCTTTCTCCTCACTGCATACTGCTGAAAAATAAAGGAGGGAGGTTCTTACCAACAGCGGATTCTGACAGAGTATCTGAAAGGCATTGAAACCAGAGCAGAGGAGATAATTCAAGTGCTTCAGGGGAAACCATAAGAGCATTTTCTTCATACCTGAAATGGGCGTGGCAGTTGAAATGTCATAAGCCATAACAATGTTCTGCGTGATGCTAGAAGTGGTTTGTTATTTGTGGAGCAGATCAAGCTAATACACAATGAGCTGGAGAAATTTAGATGATCACATCTTCAAGCAGGTACCGATATACCCACGCGGATCGACCGGTTGGCTTTCAGAATAGTATCTTGGCTACTTTCAGCTATCTTTACGCAGCAGGTTAAGTAGTTTCTCCTGTAGCCAAAAATTGAAAGAAAATATACAATATTCTTGTAGTATTGGAATCTAGCAAAATTATAAATCTTGCTGACCAGTGTTTAGGGACTGGTTAAAGAGCAACTAATATATTACATTTTTCAATTATTGTAAAAGGTAACCATTAATCGTTTTGTGTTGTGATTTGATAAATAATTTCTTTTTATTTTCCTTTCCTGAAGGATTTTGTTTGCTACTCGTCAACATTCTCTTTATGTTTATCAGCGTATGCATATGGAGCTGCAATACTCAGTTATACGTTAATTGTTTGGAGTGAATTACAATTCCTTTGAATCGTACAGCATGAAATTTGAAACATGAAAGATATCTATTCATGAAAAATATCTCTTAAGAATTTTCATCACGCTTGAAATTTTTTTTTACTTTTTAAGAATTACCGAGGAATCAGCATGCGCATGCATGATACAACTCATTGGCAAAGAATTGCAGCTTCTATGAAGAGCCTTAAACTCAGTTGTTACAGCTTTAGCACCGTGTGAAATTAATATCTAATCACATATAACCCAACAGTTAGCATCACAATTGGTGAGAAATTTAACGTGTAATAGTTATCTTATTTGAATTTTTAAAATTTGATATCGTATGTAATATTATATGATATTATTTTAAGGTTTTTGTTATATATATATATATAAATCTCAAAATATATTTCAAATATAAAGGGTGACTTTCTTAATGGTATAACAGGTATTTTCGAATAGCATCGCCATTCTCTACCCAAAAAAATAAAAATATAGTATCACAATTTCCTCTGATCCACGGAACGGCTCGCTAGTTCTGGGTTTGGTTTTCCCTGTTCGGTACTCTCTTTTTTTCGGTCTAATCCCTATTTGGTATGATTTCATCACATTAACACCTTTCCTGCTTGTACCAGGCATGGAATTTAAGCTGACTTCCTTGTTGCTGCCCCTGAGCCAATAGATCATGAATTTGGTAGTTTCAGTCAATTTAACACATTAATTACAGCCAATATTTAAATGATTGTTTTGCTCAAAGAACTTAATTACACTTTTAGTCTTCGTAGTTTAGTTTATTTGTGGTTTTAGCTTATCTAAGTTTAATTGCTCATTTAATTCTTGTCGTTTTTCAGATGTTAAAATTAAAATTCTTATTCCAAAAATTTAGTCAATAATTGACAAAATATAACAAAGATGTGATATATAATCAAATTATATAATTTTTTCTGAAAAAGTATATACAATAATTAAATAAAAATAAAAAAATGTTTTTATTATATTTATACATGTTATTTATTATTTGAATATTGCATATTTTCCTTTATTAATTTATATAATTTATAATATGCTATACCTGTATTATATTTTTATTAATTATTGAATGTGATTTTGAAGTGAAAAACTTAATTTAAACAATTAAAAAAATTAAAAGAACTAAATTTGAACAATTAAAATCGAATAGACCAAAATTATGCATAAATTAAAACATGAGCATCAAAAGTGTAAATAAACTAAAAAAAATATCATTTTTGAATGACTATTTAAGTCAGTTATATAAAAAAGTATTAACCTCTAATTAGAATTGTCGTAACTAAATCAATAAATAAGTCTGCATTTGAATTAGTTTGTAATATTTTTTTATTGAGAATATAAAAAAGACTAATATCCTAACCGTTAAAAAATATGTAATAAAAGGTTAAGTGATTGTGACTTAGGGTTAGGGAATGGTACTGATGCAATTAATCCACCAGTGTTGATGGTCAAGAAAATAAGTCAAACGGTAAGATTTAATAAATAGTACGCGTGAATTGATATGAAAACTCTTGCTAATACTAAATGCTTTAAGTAGTTTATTTTGGAATTAGTACAAAACTCTTGTTTTCTATGAAGGGACCATACACAAAATAGTTTCTCTATTATAAAAACTATTGAATTTGGTTTTTCTAAATCTATCATCTCATTTTATATTATCACAGTGATGCTTGACAGCATTGGATATATTATTTACTTTGCTACTCCCGAATCTAACGGTCTTGTCCTTAAAAAGATGTCTTACAGAGCTAAGAAGGGTGCTAGTTTATAAACTACTCTTGGCCTCAACTCTTATTCGATGCGAGACTTAAGTTGTGGAAGTGCAAAACACATTCAAGGTTCTTCTTTGTACCAAGAAGGAAATTCACCATCAAACCCATTTTGCATCCAAGTTAAGTTATTGGCGGGGGCAAATTAAGCCTAAAGATAAGTGCATATTCATGCCACTCTGCACACTTTAATTCTAATCTCTTCAGTTTCTAACCTTTATAGATCCATTCCCATCAACAGATAGAACACGAAGTATTCTAAAAGGGGGAGACATGTAGTTTTTGGCGAATGCATACATTGTTAATGCATAAATTAAGATGCCAATTCCTTCTATGGTTCCACATTAGAAACCAGTATGAATATAAAGCTACATATCCAATTGAACCATGAGTTAGAGGTCTTTCGATTTTCATCTGGGCATGGCGGCCATGACTTGTATTATATGTTATAATATAATTTATCTAGTACTACCAACTATCTAGGAAATACTCCAAACTCGAGGGAAAAGAAAAGTAAAGAAAAAAAATTAAGTTGTAATAAAACCATTAGTTTTTTTCAAAAATACCAATTTTAACTTTTCATTTCACAATTCACATCGTATTCAAGCATGCAAAATGGAAAATTTACCCTTAAATTTCATGAAGGGCAGCCTCCAATTCTATGATAACATGTACTACTTTATTGTCTCATAAAAGAAAAAGAAAAAAAGTCTACCATATATTACAACTACTAAGCTTACCTAGGGGAGCTACCACTTTGAAGTTTAACAAGAGAATAATATGCACCATCACGTCCAAGGGAAATCAATTCATTATGTGAACCTTGTTCCACAACCTTCCCATTCTTAATCACAGCAATGGAGTTGGATTTCTGTATTGTGGATAGCCTATGTGCCACTACTATGCATGTTCTTCCAACCATTATCTTTTCTAGTGCTTCTTGAATCAAGATCTCAGACACACTATCGAGTGCACTAGTTGCCTCATCTAAAAGTAGTATTGCAGGATTCTTCAGTATGGCTCGAGCTAAGGCTATTCTTTGTTTTTGACCACCGGATAGCTGAACACCTCTTTCGCCGCATTGTGTCTCATACCCATCATTCATTCCACTGCCACGACAAACACCAAGAAGACAAAAAAAATGTCAGTGCCAAATGAAGGTTTCAAGATCTAGTTAGTTTTTCCTGTAGTTTAAGGAAAAACTTCTGCTAGCACCAAACTAGTGTCTAGATAATGTTTGGACTAACAGCATGTTTGGTTCAATTTGATTTTAGAGAACCAATAGTTTTTTTTTTTCAATGCTCTCTTTGGAAGCTGAAAGAATAAGTGATTATTTTTTCGAAATAAGTTAAATCAAACATATACTATTATTTTTAGTTTCTCTAATTCTTAAAAGGGATAATGTGGCCCCAACACGATCTTAGAGAACCTCTGAAAAATGAAAGTAACCTTTTTAGTTTCTAAGCAAAAAGTGCTTTTACTTGTAAGGAGAAGAGAAGTCGGAAAAAGCTGCAAACACTAGCTTGTGTTTATTTGTTTACTCTAGCAGCCTGTGCATGTCAACAAAGCTGATTGTAATTCTTGTGTTTTCTTAATATTGCATTTTGGAAAATGAAAGAAAATATTTTGACAACAGAACCAAAAGTGATTAAAAAAATGATTATGGAAGAGAGTTTTTTTCCATTATAATTTTCTTACCTTATGAATTCATGAGCATTAGCCAGAGCTGCAGCCCTTCTTATCTCAGATTCAGTTGTGTTTTCTTTCCCATAGGCAATATTTTCTCGAATGGTTCCGGCAAAAAGGGTTGGTTCCTGACTTACTAATGCAATTTGTGACCTCAGCATTCTCAAATTATAGGACTTGATGTCTTGTTCATCTATGCATACTGTTCCCTTCACAGGATCATAAAACCTCTCAATAAGGCCAATAACGGTTGATTTACCGCAACCACTGTGCCCCACTAGTGCCACTGTTCTCCCGGCTTCAACTTTAAGACACAGACCCTTGAAAATCATTTGATCAGGTCTAGTTGGATATGCAAAGAATACACTTTTAAGCTCCACTCTGCCCCTTATTCTCCTTTTTTTCTCAGCTCCCCATGAAATCTCAGGATCAATCTCACTTTTCCTGTCTAGGATTGCAAAAACTGATCCAACTGCACTGCTTCCTTTGGACAAGTCAGAAGTCATGCTTCCAGCATCTGCAATAATGTAGGCAGTGAAGAGTAATATTAAAAATGCTTGGAATAGGTGCTTTGGTTCTATGAGACCATCTATGAGGAGCCTCCCACCATACCAATAAGCCAGTGCTGCTGAGGCAGTGTTAAAGAACTGGGAGCTAAAAAGACCAAAGCCTGAAATCCATGACTGCCTAATACTCTCCTTTTTAGGCCCCACCATTGTGGATTTGAAAAGTGCCATCATTCTTTTCTGAGAGCCGAAGGCAGTTATGGTTCTGTGGTTTATAACAGCTTCACTTGCAAGTTGGCTTCCTTCCCTTTGTGCTTTACGAGCTTTTTCTGCCATACTCTTCATCAAGACACTTCTTGAATAAAAGCTTCCAATGACTAATGGCTGCACTGCAATCATCACAAGGGAAAGCCTCCACGTGAGCACAAGTCCTAGAGTGTAGGCAAAGACAGATCCAAAAACTGCTTGTGCCAACAAAGACATCCGATCGCCAACAAGGGAACGAACCAAGTTGGCTTCCGATGATAATCTTGCACAAATGGATGCACTTGTGTTTTCTTCATGATCAAACCACCCTATCTCAAAAGTCATCAACTTCTCTAGTATCTTCTCTCTTATTCTCTTAGTCAACCTTTCTCCCATTACTGCAAAGTTATAGTGTTGGAGAATACTAGTAAGGAAGTTAAAAACACCAATTCCTAAGAAAATGAGGGCCAGGACTTTAGTTTTAGACTTCATCTCAGAGCTATCAGTTTCAAAATAAACTGATATGAGTGTTCCTACACAGTATGCATTTACAGGTTGTACTGCTCCTGACCCTATTGCACCTAAGATTCCTAGCACTGCGCTTCCCCACTCGGGTGCATTCATTTTCAGCAAGCGCCCCTGCGAAGGAGCTGGATAGTTTGATCTTTTCAAGCTATCTTCAAAACTATCATCATCAGGATCATATTGGATAGAATAGGAGTAAGGTGTTCCCATGGAAAATCCTTGACTGAAGGGATACAACATTGGAGTGCCTGCAGTGCTTGATCTCAAACTTATAGCTGGACTTTGAGGAATGCTCATCCTGTAGGAGCTCTTTCCTTCTATTTGAAGAAAATTGGAATGCTTTGATTCATCATTCTGAGTTGTTACTTGTTGCAATTCTACCATGCGAGCATACTCCCCATCATTCAATTCCATGAGCTCATTATGAGTACCTGATTCAATCACTCTCCCTGCTTGAAGGACTGCAATCATGTGAGCTGCTCGAATTGTTGACAAGCGGTGAGCAATGATGATTGTTGTCCTTCCTTTTGAAGCTTGATCAATTGCAGCCTGTACCACTCTTTCAGATTGAGCATCCAATGCACTTGTAGCTTCATCGAGCAAGAGAACCTTTGGATCCCTCAGTAAAGCTCTTGCTATGGCAATGCGTTGCTTCTGCCCACCAGACAATTGAAATCCAAACTGCCCAACCTAGGAAAACGATCATGGTTTGCAATAACAAGGATTTAATCAAATCCACTTACATATCAAAGATTTAATTAAAAATGTGGTCTCTTCATCTCACTATTTTTCTGTTTTAGTTTTATATGAAAAAAAATTTATATTTAGGACCTTACACGAAGGAAAAACACGTTTGCAAATTGATACTCGCTGTTTGCTTGACCATGACAGTGTTGATTTTGCTGAGTTGTTTGCTTACTTAGATAGAATGATGTCACAAGGATAAGATGTTAGTCAATTCTGCAAAATCTAACACCTTAATAACTTTGATAAACAGTAGGGATCGATTTGTAAATGCGTTTTCATAGAATGACCAAAATTGTAGAGTTTTCTGATGTGGAGACCAAAATGAAAAGGGGTATAAAGTATTGTTCCCTTGATTCAATACTAAAGATCAAACTATTTTGATGTGCTCAGGTGCTATGAGGTATTAGTTAGAAACTTTCAAATATGATAACAAGATTTCAAAACAAGCATACTCAAAGCTATTGAAAAAATTGACAACCAAAAATAAGAAAAAATTATAGATTTTCGGTTCTGTTTCCTTCTTCTCTTCCATGTATAATGTTAATTTGTTTTCATACTTTTTTTCTGATTAAAGGAGTTGAGATCAACTTACTTGAGTTTCATATCCATCTGGTAACTTGACAATGAAATCATGTGCATTAGCTGATTTAGCTGCACTTATCACACTTTCCATTGAAGCCCCTTCCTTTCCAAACAATATATTCTCTTTTATGGATGTGGCGAAGAGAACAGGCTCTTGATTTACAAGGCCAAGTTGAGATCTCAACCATTTCAATTGAAGCCTATTAATCTTGTGACCATCCATGAGTATTTCTCCCTCAACAGGGTCATAAAACCTTTCAAGCAGTGCTATGACAGTGGATTTACCTGAACCACTACCTCCCACAAGGCCTACCCTCTTGCCTGCTGAGATAGTGAGATTCAATCCCTGCAAGACTTGTGTGTCTGGCCTAGATGGGTAGCAAAAGTAGATGTCTTTGAATTCAATTTCTCCTCTCACATATGATAAGGCCTTTCCTTTCTTATCTTCGGAATCTATAGTTGGCACCCGATCAATCATTTCAAAAAGACGAGTGACAGCAGCAGTTGCCTCAGTGATGGCAGTTAAATTTGGAAGGGCGCTTAAAATGCTCCTGAAATTCAAGAAGGCCCAACTTGGGTAAACTTCTTCATACGTACTTATAAGAGAAGAAAATAAAGAGATAAGATAAATGAAACTTTTCACAGAAGTTAAAATTAACTTATAAGTTGATCTTAACTTAAGACAAGGATTTGATTCATTTTGCTTTCTTATTTTTGTCTTCTATAAGTACTTACTGAAAATCTTGTCCAAACTGAACCTAAGTTAAACATATTAGTATTACAATGTCATGTTAAAATTGTGCACTATATGATATAAAAACTTGAATATAAATGATGAGAAGATCACTTACAGCCCTCCCATGAGGACATTGAAGCCTGCTACAAACACATGGCCACCTTGTTCTCCCTTTTTGGTTATCAGAAAAGTTCCAACCCAAGCCTGAAAACCCCAGCTTATATAAATAACTCCCATACTTCCCAACATCAACCCCTTTGCAAAACCTTGCTGTATTCCAAATTCCATAGTCTTTTGAAGTGCACTGCTAAATCTGTTTTGTGTTTGATTCTCCCCAACATAAGAATAAACAGTTCTTATTGAAGATATTGCTTGTTCAGCAATCCCACCAGCAACTCCGTAAGACTCAATCATTTTCATTACAAGATCCAACATGATCTTCCCAAATATAAGTGCTGGAACAATGAACATGACAGAGAGTGGTATGGCTGCCAATGTAAGTCTCCAGGATAGTACAAATGCAAAGATGTGGCAGAATAAGAATGTTGACATGTAAGCCAGGCAATCAGGTATCTACATTCAGCAGAATGTAATACATTAATAAAGCATAAAGATAAAGAATTTTATTTTATCATATTTTGGAATACATATGATGAAAATGCCACCAAATTATAGTATGAATAATATGAACATTCGTATCTTGTGAAATCAATAACAAAGATTTTATACTTTCCACTCTATAAAGACAATGAAAGTAGGTGATATTCAATGAAATATATCTATGATCATATAATTGCATTCAAAGTAAGTTTGAGGGAAAGGCATAACTGCAGACGAACCTTCTCACACAAGGCAACTTGGATTGTATTTGCATCTGAGGAGATGAGTGAGACAACTTGGTAGGTTGTTGAAGACCCAGCAGTCTGAGTGTCAAAAAAACCAACTTCTTGTCGTAGGACTGATTTTAAGTATTCTATTCTCATTCTGGAAGCCTGTCTCTCAGAAGTTCTTGCCCAACATATTCCTTCTGTAGTAGCCAAAATCATTTGGTATAAAGGCATGAAAATTGAAAAGTAGTTAGACTTCCTTTTTCTAATGCAGGCCATGCTATTTGAATAACTTTAAAGTTGCAAGGAAAGTAACTGAGAGAAAAGGTGTGCAGCTAACCAATAAAAGCTGAAAGTCCAACTCCAATTGCAGCACAAAAAAGCCTTAATGCATACTGAAAAAAGGCAAGTGAAACGGCAATCTCAAAAACTATTAAGCGGTCATGTCCCGAAAATCAAATTGTGGAAAGAAGTGGGATTATATATATTTCATGCCTGTTTAGAGAAAGTAAAGAAAGATGCTATGTTGTTACTAGAAACTGAGGCTGGACATTTTCCAGTCTCTTGTTTCTTAGTTAATATAAAATCAATATTTTGTAGCAAAGCAATGAGTATGCAGTATAATTTCTCATGACCTGGATAAAATAGAATTAGATTTTATTTTCATTTTTATAACTACGTGATTTGGAATGACATTTTTCTCAACCTTGTGAATTTTGGTCTTTGCATGTATGGAAGTCATATTACTGAGAAAGACGTTGCATAAGTGGTCTCCTTCCTTAGATGCATAAATCAGTTTCTACAAGCATGCTCCATTCGCAATACCAGTGACTTTATTAAGTTTCACGATTGCTTAGTGTTAGAGAAAAATAAAATTGTTTTCTGAATTTCACTTGACAACTTAAAAATAACTACAAAAAAGTTTAAGGACTATTTGGTTTGAGAAAATACTTTATGTCTTCACTTTTAATTACAAAAATAGCACATTGCTTTTTTCATTTTTCTCCCTATTTTCAAATATTTGTATAGGAAAGTTGTGCCCGTTTGGTTTAAAGTTGAGTAGAATTGATTTTGAGCTGTTAAATGTAATTGAGATACATGCATAAATTAATTTAAACCATACATTTTTATTGAAACGTGTGAGAATTATTTTCCTACTAAATTCCAAACAAGCACGAAAACAAGTTTTTATTGTTTTCACTATTTCTTGTACAAATATTTGAAAATAGAAAACAAAATAACATATCATTTTTATAATTAAAAGTAAAAAAAGAAAACATTTTCTAACAAAATTGCTCCTAACAAAGCAATTTTCAGGAAAATTGTGTAATAAACTAGATAAGGTATTGTGGCTCACGAATTGCACCTGCAGTTTATATCAGAAAAGGTAGAGATTTTATTGAGCAAGCTCACCTTGTTCACATCATGCTTTGTCAAATTGCTATTCTTGTCTCCATAAGCATTGATCACATGACTAAGAATGTACATCATGAGAGGGGTTTGTAGCCCATCTCCAAGGCTTCCCAAGGTCCCAAAGAACATCAACAACTTGTCCACTCCATCCGCATAACGAAACATACTATTGTTCCCCATTTTTACTTGACCCTCCCTACGGAGAAATACCCTCTTATTTTTTCAAGATTCAGTAAGCTTTATCACCAATCTCAGTAAAAACACTTAGAAAGACTAATATATACTCAGTTAGATTCTCTTATCTAAGCAAACATTCAGCAGCCACCAAATGGCTCTTACCATTGTCTTTTTACAAACAAAGCCGGTATTGATACAACATGCAACAGTGGATTTGGCCGGGCTAGTACATTATTCAAACTTAAAACATCGTTTTTGTAACTTGATTCGCACCTAGTTAATTAGCCAGGCACATAACTCCATTAGGGTCACGGTTAATTTGTCTTCTTGCAGTTCTAGATACATGCAAAGAATCATTCCCCTGTTATTATCATGGATATGATGTGTAGCCAATTGGACCTAGTCAAGAATTGTTGCCAACTTTTTAAGGCAATGAATTGATATTTCCAAGGCACGTTTGTTGGAGTTGTCTTTCTGCCTTTGCATGGTTATGTAGGGCCAGCCTTACATGAAGGGTCCAAAAATATACTCATATCATCCTAGCCTAAAAACTACCAGGAGATTATCAATTATTCAATCAAATGATATATATAAAAAAATTCTCTTATCTTAAACAATTATGAAAGTGCATACTTCGTTCTATGCAGCTACCATAATCTCTACTTTTTGGCCATTTGGCCAATTGTAATGAGAGAACGTACTGTTTTAGATTTAGTAGTAAAATATGCTGCCGGCCTTACTCAGCAAGAGGTACAAGAGTCAATGTTTGTTGCATATCATATTCTCTGTTTTTCTACAGTTTCTGGTTCAGTACAAGGCAAATTTGCATTGGAAGTCTCCCTTAACATCCACTTTCACCATTTAATATGTATAAGCTTCGTAATTTGCTCCTTTGAGCTACTTAGAAGGATTAAGTTTTGGTGCCTTGTATTTCCTTAGGGTTAAATTATAATTTAGTCATTCTCCTCAACTTACTTTTTTTTTATTCATATACAAAAAAAAATAAAATTATATTTTAGTCTCTATATAAAAAATATTACGAATTAGTCTTTATTAATTATTGAAGTTATAACCATATTAATGTATTCTTACACACGGTCAAGGCAAAATATTGTGTCATGTGTAGAGACCATAATGTAGAATTAATAGGGAATAAAATAAAAGGCAGTGTTAAGTATAGAGATCGATTTTAACATCATTCTAGCTTTGATAAATAATAGGAATAATTTATAAATATTAAGTATAAGGAACAAATTAATAATCAAAATATTTTTTATTATGGTCTAGATCATGTTTCGTTGTTTGGAGGGTAAAATGGTTTGCTATTTATTAGTATCAAAGAGATTTGCTACTAGACTTTCTAAGTTGAGATTTTTTTTTTATTGAAAAGATACATTGAAAGTTATGACGTAAATAAATTAATAAATATTTTAAGAAAACAAAATTTAATAAAATATATCAATTAATGCCCTTAAGGTACCAACTTGTATTTGTCTGTATTATGCTCGTGTGCTCGGGGAATTTCGTTCTTTACCCGATCAAGTGATTTCAAATAAACAAATTTTGTGGGGATTTTCATTAGCCAATTAAGTCCCGTGGAATACAGATTTTTTTCCCGGCACACTTCGTTGTCTAAGTTTGAAAAGAATTATTCTTGACATTCCTAAAAATATCATAAACAAATTATACTGAAATAAGCATAAACATAAATATAATTAATTAAGCTTAATACAATATAAAATTGTGTTTTATTAATCAAGATATCCTTAACCTGATCATCATAATAATGTAATTCTTTTATTCTGGAATCTTTCTTTGATGTCCATAGCTCAGAACCATCCCAACAACAAATCGTGCAACACCAGGGTTGGATATGAAATGGACAGTCGGTTCCAAGCTGATTTCAAACGCAACTAAAAATTCATCTCAAGCTTTCAGCCAAAAGGGTGAAAGATGTTAATGCAGAAAGTAGCTTTGTCATTTAAAATTTGTCAGAACATTTACTAGGATGCTATCAGCAATTTCGTATAACTTAAAACCCTTATTTGTTAAATTGTGTACCGTACACAACTTTATGAAATTGTGTACCCTATAACCCATCATAATTTACACCTTTCACATTTTGTAAGATATTCGTTATCTTTAGAAAAGTAAAATCTGTACTCGACAAACGACATCTCTGATGCACCAAAAGTATAAAAAATTAGATGCCTTAAGTTTATATTAACAAGATTCAAAATACCGAGAAACATTACAATTCACAAGGAGCAGAGGATTCAAATATCATGACCACCGGCAGTACACGGATATCAAACTTGAATCAGTTTTTTTTTCGGGGGTCATTAAAAAATCAATTTGAATTATGAAATGTGTTTGACAATTCTTATCTAATGGGTAAAAGATCTGTATCCAGCCCATAATAATATATAATCAGGAAGATGATAAAAACAACTTAAAATCTAGAGGGCTCTCAGAAATCATGACAGATTGCAGCCCGCTGTCAAAGCCGTCATTATGATTTAACCGAAGATTTCTATTGTATTTAGAGTTTCATCAAAATACACACAGGACAAGTCAGAAAGATGATAATCTAAAACTTGGGAAAAGATTAAGTAATAAAAACCTCAAGTATACAACACTATAAAAAGAGATGTCACTCATCATCCTTGTATGGATACTCTTCTGGAACTTGCTTGAGAAGTTTTACCTGCAACTCAAACACATCATCACCCCGAAGCACATCACGGATCCAAGTTACCTCAGTCTTCATTGACACCTGTAGATGAGGATATACAGGAATCAAGTTGACAAAGAAAAGAACGACGCATACAGTTTTAAAAAAAAAGCTATTATGCTTCACCAGGATACTCAATCCCCAAGATATCACAGGAAACAGAACAATGCATGTCATGCTTCATTTCTGTCTACATCTCTACAAAATGGATTGAGCCAGAGATATTGCATTCATAAATACTGAATGATTTATAAAGATTAAAGACAAATTGCAACTCAAAGCAAAATCTTTGCCATTTTCATGTAAGGCTATGCTTTACAAAATAATATGAGTAATCTATATCATGTTTGAGAAAAATAATAAAATTTCACAGGGCCACAGCAGAAGGCTGCAGCAAGCCAGCAATCAAACTAATGTTGGAGTCGTAAAGTCATTTTGTGGCATTTGAGTTAATCATAGTCATAAAAAGAAAAGAAAAGAAATTTATGTCTTATATTTCCTATTAATTTGCAACCACAACTTTAGGAGAGATTATGCCAAGAAGTCCTATTTCTATGGAAACACCAATGGTTATAGAATGAAACACTTACATATAAATATATGTATCTTTGTTAACTTAATCATTCTATTTTCAGGGCATATTTCATATTTCCTAGAGAGAAAAAATAATAATAATGTTTCTCCTGTGAGGTTCTTTTAGTATTGTTTTCTCCTATTATTAAGAGAGAGTATTATTAATCTCTCCTTATAATTAGAGAGAAATTGTACTTTTCTTCCACATAGAAAAGTTCAGTTTCAGCATTTCTTAACTCTATTTTAGTTGCAAATATTTATTATTATATATACTCTGGTACCTAACAACTAATACGTTTTCTTAGCATCCAAAGTGTTCAAAGTGAAAACAAAAACTGATAAAGTAGAAATAATAAGTCAAATGAGGTAGCAAATAGGAACAGAAACTTACCATATCTAAGGCCCCTCTAATGACTCCACTTAAGATATTGCAATAGTACAGACCTTGGCAGGTGTCAGGAAGCTCAACAAAATCAACCAATGGATTATCCTCCAAAACAATACTACAACATGTCCCATCCGCATCCCAATTGGTCACAGATGCAGTAACACCAAGGAACATTTTAAAACCAACCTGTATAAAAGCAAGATTAAAGTTCATAAAAATGAAAAATAACCTTCTCCTCTTAATATGCTTTACTAGTAACATGATTAATGAAAAACAAGAAATGTTGTTGATCACATCACCAAGAAGCAATGCTTAGCCTACTCTTGCAAATTTCATACCATCGAAAATGTGGTACAGTCACCCAACTGTTTCATAGTGAAATTAAGCATCAATAGCCCAAACTAATCATAACATGTGACAAAATCCAGGAAAGTATAGTAGAACAGATGGCAAACAAACTCAATATATGATATCATCTTATAACACTTAGCCAAAGTGAGTTTATATTGACAAAATAGTTGACAATGACAAACTTATGTTGACAATAATAGTCAATCAACATGCCTAAAATGTTTTGGAATCAATTGTTTTGGAAAGGAATTTATTTATTTTCTAGAAAAGCTACTGCAGGTAGTTGCACAGAGAGAGTTTTATCCCCCAAAACGAGCAAATCCAAAAACACACTCAATGAAAGTATGGGAATGGTCAAGTTGACACACTATATTTGCAAGGAAAAGAACACGTTACTATATCAAATGCTCTAAGTCATAATTCTTTGAAATGGTAGCAATTATAATGGGTATTTGATGCACTCCATAATCATGGCAGTTCATAAAAAAACTGTGTTATATTGGGATCATAGTTATCAACCTCCTCGGACAGTGGCGCATAGCAGCCAATGCCAAAAATGCTAAAGCGGAGATAGCACATAGCAAGGATGGCGCTATTTAGAAATTTTATATCCAAATTAAAAATTTATGCAATAATATAAATAAATGTCAAAACATTATGAGAAAAAAAAAAAATCAATAAGAATGGATTTTGTAACTTGTGTCCAGAAGCACACAATAAGAACCCATATTTAGTCAACTTTATTGAAAATCACAGGATTCAATACAATGATAATATTAAACGCTGTAATTTCTAATAAATACTTAATATTTATAGATTTTTTATTGTGTCCATGGCCAAACATTATAACAACTGACAAAAGAAAATGAAAACAAAAATGAGGAACTTGTCCATTTAAGTTCTAGCTTCATTTAAATATTATTATTTTAATACCAACAGCATTAAAATGCAAATTACTTTTAGTAAGTTGCAGATTAAATTAGCAGAATAGCAGAATCTCCGCATACGCTTCAATGCTACAAAGGCAAATTTTCAGACATTTTTTCCCCGGCATGTAAAGACACCAAAAGGCAATACAATACCTTTGCAATTACATCAGTAGTCTCTCTGAAATCAACGCACCTTGAGACATTAGATTTTGCTAAAAACTCATCAATCAAACGGATTCCAATATTATAACCCCTGAAAAACCCAACCAAACACCAAAAATCACATCGGTATAAACAAATAACCTAAATATAAATATACACTTAACTAACCGAGGAAATAAAAACCTCCAATTACACTAGAAAAAACAAATTTTTTACGAAATCAGAAAATTCAAGTAACAAAAAACTGAGATATTCAGAATTGTACATTTGATCAAGCTGCTTGTTAACCTCCTCAACCTCTTCCAGATCTGTGAGCAACTGACGCACAATCGCACCGTACGTCAACGTAAACAGCTCCGCATTCTGCCAAATACAAAGTAATTGAAAATTTATGAACTCAGAAAAACGATTTCATCAACTTCACAGCGAAATTTGACAATTTTTATGTATAATCGGGGATACAGAGCATAAAATTGGGGGAAGTGGAAATTTCAGTGGTTTTGTTTAATCGGAAGCCAAACAAGGCATAAAGCGGGTTTTGCTTTGGCTTTTATTTGCTTACAACGCGTTCGACGTTAGCGAATATCGCATCGCCGGATCGAGGAACGACGGGAGCCATTGACGGAGTTCACTCAGTTCAGCTTTGCAGCGATCTGCTGAAGCGATCGCGAGTGAAACAAAGATGTGACTTTGGTTCTTGGATCAAAGCCCACGGGCCCAGTGGGCTTCGGCTTGCGTTTGGACTGACTTTAGCCATTAAGTAATCATTTATGATTCATGAAAAAACAAAACAATTTATGATTTTATTTTTCTATCTTGTTAATACATTTCATCAAATATTTTAATTATTTTAAAAATTAATATTGCATATTTTTATAATTTTAATGTATTTTTTAAATTTATTAATCAATGTCCCTAAATATCAACTAGTAATTAGTTCATGTGGTAAATATTAACTAAATATAATTTTAAAATTTTATTTATTTATAAAATACAATAAATTTATTGTAATATACCGTTTCAAGAATTAAAATTAAATAATTTCAATTTATGTTATTAAAATTTATAAATAAATAAAAAATTAAATTTCTATAAAAAAAGTCATATACTTAACAAATAAGTGAATGACTCTTAAACTTATTTAAGAATGTAAATTCAAATCTATATAATTAATTATATAAATCTATAAACATTTAACACAGTCATTATCTAATAGACTAATATCTAGTTCTTTCCTTTTTTTTTATTTTAAACAATATATTTTATTTCTTTGAACCTAAAGGGATTGTCTAATATCTAACCTAAGACTAAAATAATAATACAAATGTATAAGTGAAACACCACTGAAATTATTCCATCCATGATTTTGTAATGATAAAATAAATAAATAAATAAATAATTGTACGTAGGATGTGCCATCATAAACATACCAGGGAAGTTCAAATCGCTTCTATATTCATATGGACATATTTGACACAGTAACTTTAAAATGATTAGATTACATGTAAAAGAGAGCTTTTAGAATATTGCAAATTTTAATTAATTAAATTTTATATTAAATAAAATTAATTTCAAAAGATATTTTTTTAAGAAATATTTTCAAATTCTTTATATTATGCTTAATTTTTAAAAAATATCATTCAGGACTTTTTTTATTTTATATTTGACTCTTGAATCATTTTTTTTTTCAGTTTTAATTTTATATTTACTAAAATCCTCTCTCTAAACAGAGGATTGCTTTCCAATAAACAAGTTCTGAAAACACCATATACCACTCGAGCACTCGAAAAAAATCGCTCCCTTTGTTTTTCTAGTAATATTTCAACAGTTTTATTTTCTTATTTACTTTTTGATATTACTTTGTAAAATTCATAAATAGCTAATATTTTATTTACAGTCTTATCTTTAATAATTAACATTAATTTAATAAAAAATAATAAATAAGTGAGATAATTAACATAATAAATAGAGGTGTAATAAAAAATTAAATAATATTTTTTTATAAATTTTAAAATATTAATAATTTTTAATTTTTGTCCAAAATCTTAAATATCAAATAAACAAACGAAAAACAGGCACTGTACTTTTGGTCAAACTCCCTATCAAGACCTGGGATTATATGCATTAATTTACATGGACCTACGTTTAAATAGGCCACATATTTTAAAACTGAAGTCCACAAGATTGCAAGTATAAAATTACATGAAATAAAAAAAACATTTCATTATTAGATTTTGTTTCATTTTATTCTATACAATCTAAATAAAAATAATTAATGTCTACTTTACTTTATTTTATTTTATCAAACTAAACTTTATCCTCTCAGGTATTTTATAGGGTTTTCTTTTTAAATGTTGATAATTTTATTATTATTTCATTTTATTTTTTGTGATGATTAAAATTGGACATAATTAGTATATTTTTTATTAATTTTAATTTAATTTTTAAATTTATTTTGATTCATTTTAGTCTTTTAATTAATTTTTTAATTTTTTTAGTACGTTTTATCTTTCTAGATATTTATTTTATTTGATTTTTTTTTTCACTTCTATCTTCCTCTTATCTCTTTTTTAGATTATTTTTCTTTGAGGGAAGACAACATTAAAAGCAAAAAAAATATAAAGAAAGAAGAAGAAAAAATTAAGTAAAAAAATATATAAAATTAGAAATACAAAAAAAAAGATATGGACGATATAAAAAAAAATAAACAAGTTAAAAAGTTTATCATTTCTAAGAGAAAAATACTCATTCAAAACACTTTAAAAAAATTAAGGACAAAAATTAAATCAAAATAAAGTTAAAAGCAAAATTAAAACTACTTTAAAGATAAAAAAATAATTTTACTTTAAAATATAATAAAATATTAATAATATTATTTATTTAAAGATACAAAATAAAAAACTAATAAACAAAAATTTTATTAAAATTTTTAACACACATTAAAAATTATATTGCGTACAAGGGCGAATAGACTCGTGTCATCTACGCAACTTTTCGTACTTGCACGTGTGGTGTGCGTCACATGCACCTTGCCATTTCTCTATAAGTTTCGTTTCTGCCAAATAAAATCACACCTCACCGAGTCGCAGAGAGAGAGAAAGCGATCAAGTTTTCACTTCAGCCTTATCCAGTTTAGGGTTTCGGTTCCTGACCCTATCTTTGACGTATTGAAACCCTAAATTTAGGATCAGGTAACCCCGGATCATCTTATTTTAGAATTGATTTCTCTTCCTCATCAATTTTAGGGCTTGGCTTCGCTTATCCCCACTTTTCTTTTAATATTCTGAAGTTTGACTCTTTTTTTTCCTTTGAGTTATTTTTTCTCGAAACCTTACAATTTTTGGGGGTTTGATATAGTTTTAATCAGATCTTTCAGGTATAAGTCGTGTATTTTGTTTTAAGTGAGAGATGGTTGTGGTTTTTTGTTTTCAATTCAATTTTGGCGTTAATTTTGTTGTGCAGTTATCATTGGTAGATTGTTACTATGGCATGTTTCAAGTAACGACGAGTTGTTTTATCGCTGCCATTTTTGAATCATTTAGTTTAATTATTTTTGGTGTTTTAATTTTAAAAAAAGCAATCTTTTAATACATGACATGGTCATTGCTGATATCTTCTTTTATTAGGTTTGTGGAAGATTATTTTGATGTGAAAGAGATTATTAATGACAGTGGTTTTGCTTTTGTATTTTTTTGATGCGTGTTATCGTAGTAATTCAGCTAACCTGTTGATTGAAAATTCAGGTCTGAGCAATCTGGTTTTTGGAATCTTCTGTCTTGGAGAGTTAAGTTTTATGTCTGAATTAGACGCTCAGATTCCTACTGCCTTCGGTATGTTGTGACTTCTTGACAAATACTTTACTCACTTTTGTGTTCAAAGGAGGGGAGGGATTTTATTGTGGGGAGGGCCACCTCGTTTGGTTAACGAGGAGAAGGGAAGGGGAAGTAAACAAATTTGCTATTTTGTACTTAGAATGGTAAAATTGTTATGAAGTTAAGGATAAGTTAATCTAATTGGTGTAAAAGTTTCTCTCCTCTCCAAATCCCCTCCCAATTTGGAGGTGGGGGGAGAGCTATGATTGAGTGAGGAGTGAGGACGAATTTTAGCTCCTTTCCTCTCCGTTTCTTTCCTTTTACTAAACCTATGTTAGTCTTTGGATTAATTGTCTTGTCCATGATATTTGGTATGTGAATTTCTCAAGGAAATAAAATTTAAATTACTTGTATGTGCATGATTTACATAGCATGGCTTTTTTTTTATGTTTTCTCTCTTAGAGTTCTACTGTGGTATCTTCTTTTGCATAGGGGGGGCGCCTATTGTATGGCTACATAATGTCTATGTTAAACTAGTCTTTCTTTTATGTCTTACAGTCTATGTACTTTGTGTCCGATCATCTTTAGATTTCAGTACATGATCATCTAACTATGATATTTATGCACTTTTTCCATTTAAATCTTGAAGTTATGTACATTATACAGTTCAGAAAACAATTATTTGCATACTGCTTTGTTTTCATTTTTACGTCCTGGGTGTGGAATTTGACACTTCCCTTCACTTCTGATTTTTATTTCAGATATTTTATTTATAATATCAATTAGATTATATTCCATGATTGAACTAAACTGTATTCCTGTACAGTCAAAGGCAACCTTGTGTATTAAAATTTTTACAAATAGGAAATTATGAGGGTTAAAAAAGACCCGCTTGCGTGATGAGCTTCTGAGTGTTGGTTTGGAATGAATTTTGCATTTAACTTTTCATCCATCGATACATTTTAGTTTTAACATTTGTGAAAGTTTGTCATTTGAAATGCTCACTCACTATTGCATATTGTGTGGAACACTTAGTTGCTGTAATTAGCTGACCCCTTCTTAGTTGGTTGAGGCCTTGTTACTGTTGTCCTAAGTTACTGTGATTACGTCAATTGTGTTTAATGATTGTAATCCAACAAATGATTTGTTTGCTGTGTGCCCACAAATTGTAGATCCTTTTGCTGAGGCAAATGCTGACGACTCGGGTGCTGGGTCAAAGGAGTATGTGCATATTCGCGTACAGCAGCGAAATGGTAGGAAAAGCCTGACAACTGTTCAGGGATTGAAAAAAGAATTCAGCTATAACAAGATACTTAAAGACCTTAAGAAAGAGTTCTGTTGTAATGGTACGGTTGTTCAGGACCCAGAACTAGGACAGGTCTGTGTTGACATCCTCTTGTGAAACCATGATCTGTCCCTTATTGCTTCAAATAACACATGCTTGTGGTTGTAGGTTATTCAACTTCAAGGTGATCAGCGGAAGAATGTTTCTACCTTCCTAGTCCAGGTATAACTATAACCTCATCTTTATGTTATGCAGTCAGCATTTTTTTTCAAAGATTTTTCCTTGAAATTATTGGACTCTGGGATTCTCTATCTAATTATCACTGCGATTGTTTTCACTTGTGAATTTGAACAGGCTGGCATTGTGAAGAAGGAACATATCAAGATTCATGGTTTCTGAGTGACTGGAATCTTGTGTCAAGTCTTACCTGCCCGAATATGAGTTGGGAATAGATAATCTGAATTCTATATGTGGTTGTGGTACTGTGTCGTGTTTTTACCATGTGATGTGGGATTATGGATTTTAGAACACTGTGTGTTGTTTGCTTCAAAGACATATATAAAAACAGTTTAATGGAGTCCTATGCGAGATCTCATTTCATTTAGGGGGTCCATGAAAATCAGGGGTAAACTAATACATTTTGAATCATCTTAATGTTCGAGTAATAGTAAAAAAAAATTGTTAAGAGAATTGCCATGGTCAGTTTGAATTCCTTGTCAAGTTTGTTTCGTTGTTATAACGTCAATATTATTAACAACATAGTTAGCAGAATTTGATCAGCTAGTTTGATTGGTCTAATTGGGAACTGGCCCAGTTATTTGGTTCGGAGTAATCAATGAATTGGCAGACTTAAAAATCTGTAAAATTTAGAAAGGTAGGTGAAAAAGGGTCAACCACGAAAACTGGAAGTGTAAATGGGGCTAAACGGTTCATGTGTAAATCGTCTGAAATTACATCTTCCATAAAATATACGTACCTAGAACCCTAATTCGACATTGTCTATGTCGGTGATTCTGATTCTTAAACTACGCCCAAATTTGGAAATTTTTCTTGTATCTGGATGTTTGTGTTTCTCTTGGTTTGCCTGGTTCTAACAATTTCTAATTGTCAGTGATAAAACATTTTTAGCCAACTATAATTTAGGGTTCCTGATCTCAAATTTTGTACAAATTATATAAGATTTTTTTCAAAAAATTTGTTCAATAAATTTTGTATGATTAGGAGTATTAAAAAAAAGGAAAAGAAATTGAAAAAAAAAAGTAAAAGATTAACATTTTTTATTTACAACTATTAATTAATTTTTAATTAAATTGAATGTTAACAAAATATAATTTACACTCAAATTTAAAAAAGATATTGACATTGTTATCTAATTATTAGTTGTCATAGTTATAAAAAAATTTAATTTTTGTAATAATTAATAGAAAAATCACATCATAATTTATTAGAAATTTTAAAATAACCGTGTAACAAAATTAAAGTCATCTTATATTTATCAATTAAAATAGAAGATGAGAGATTACATTCCCGGACGTGTGTATAAGAAAACACAGAATATAGACCGCAATAGGGTCAACTTTTTTTTTCTCTTTTGAATATAAAAGAAAAAGGGCAACTGAGAAATAAGGGGTCTTCACAGTACACACCCCTTCTTTGATACACACAAACACTTGTCCTTGTTTTGCAATGGCTTCCAACTCTATCATCCCATACACTTCTTCTTCTTCATCATCTCATGAAGTTTTCGTGAGCTTCAGAGGTGACATTCGCAACAACTTCGCTGACCATCTTTTTGGTGGTCTTGGTAGAAAAGGCATTCGTTTCTTCAGGGATGACTCAAAGCTTGAGAAAGGGAAACTTATATTACCTGAACTCCTGCAAGCGATTGATGGGTCTCACATTTTGGTTGTTGTCTTCTCAGAGGAGTATGCTTCCTCAAAATGGTGCTTGCGAGAACTTGAAAGGATTGCCGATTACGTTGATGACCGAGGCAAGCACGTTCTGCCGGTTTTTTATAGAGTTGATCCATCAGACGTGCGAAAACAGAGTGGGCAATACAAAAAAGCCTTTGATGAATACAAACAAATATTCAAAGAAGATGAAGAGAAGATGGAGGAAGTGCAAAGATGGAGAGAAGCTCTGGCACGAGTGGGCAATCTCTCTGGTTGGCACATTACAAATGAGTAAGTAATTAGTATTCTCTCGTTTCATATTCTATGGATCTGAATTTATTACATACATATTTGTTATATTTTCACTATTCCCTAATCATTCGATTTTCTTGAATTTACTATCCCTTAATTTGCAGGTCAGAACATTCAATGATTGAAATTATTGTTAAAGACATACTAAAAAAATTGAGTCAGAGTATTTCAATTCTTCCAAATCAAGATTTAGTTGGAATGGAATCTCGTGTTGAAGAAATAGAAAAGCTTCTATGTTTGGACTCAGTTAATGATGTTGGTGTTGTCGGAATTTGCGGGATGCCTGGAATAGGAAAGACAACTCTTGGCCGTGCTTTATACAAAACAATCTTTCGTCAATATGATTTTCATTGTTATATTGATGATGTAAGCAAAATTTTTCGAGACTTTAGTACGTTAGGTCTACTAAAACAGCTACTTCGTCAAATTCTAAATGACCGAAGTCTAGAGATCTACAATGTTTCTGCTGGAACCGATTTGGTACAGAGAAGGCTGCGCCACGCAAGGGCACTTATAATTCTTGACAATGTTGATAATATTGATCAGCTATATCAATTGGCTTTGAAACCTAATCAGCTATGTGCAGGGACTAGAATTATCATAATTTCTAGTGATGAACATATTTTGAGGGCGTACAAAGTGAATCGTGTTTACCGAGTCCAGCCTTTGACTCGGGACAACGCTATTCAATTGTTTTGCAAATATGCTTTCGAAGATAATTATATTATGAGTATGTTTGAAGAGTTGAAATATGATGTATTATCATATGCTGATGGCCATCCACTAGCAATTAAAGTGTTGGGCTCATTTTTGTTTGGTCAAGATGTCTCGCAGTGGAGACGTGCATTAGCTATGCTAAGAGAAAGTCCAGATGAAGACGTTATGAAGGTGTTAAGAATAAGTTTTGATGGGCTGAAGCCAATACAAAAGGAAATATTTCTTGACATTGCTTGTTTTTTCAGTGACGACTTTGAAAAGGACTATGTGGAGGAAGTTCTTAATTTTCGTGGATATTATCCTGAAATTAACCTAAGTGTTCTCGTCCAAAAATCACTTATAACCATTGAGGAGGGGCGAATATATATGCCGACATTGTTGAGTGATTTAGGCAGGTGTATTGTTCGAGAAAAATCACCTAAGAAGCCAAGAAAGTGGAGTAGGTTGTGGGATTACCAAGATTTACGGAAAGTTATGTTAGACCATAAGGTAAGATAGTTTTTGAGTAGAAAAGTACTCTCGGTTGGCTTTTTTTTATTATAGAATCTGTAAATACTTGAAAAGATCTAAGTTTTTCTTTCTTCCTTGCAATGTTGTAGGCAGCAAAAAATCTTGAAGCCATAGAAGTGTATGGTGATGATGAATTTGATTATCAAGAAACAACAATCACGGCCGATGCTCTATCAAAAATGCGTCACCTTAAGTTGCTTGAATTTCGTAATGTGAATTTTTCCGGAAGGCTTGATTTTCTTTCCAATGAATTAGGATATCTTACTTGGTGGAAATATCCTTTTGATTATTTGCCATCAAATTTTCAGCCAGACAACCTTGTTGAGTTGATCCTGAGAGACAGTAACATTAAGCAATTATGGAAAGACACAAAGGTAGTGGATGTAACTATTCTTTTTTTTATTTTGTCTTCTTCACATGAACGGAAAAAAAGGGAAACTATAGTATGCTATTTCCTTTTTCTCTTATTAATGAAAAACAAAACGAAGGTGAAGTATTATTATTAATTTTGTCTCCCACTGTTGGCCCTTCCCTGCAGCCTCTACCCAATTTGAGACGTTTGGATCTCTCCTACTCCCAAAGTCTTATCGAGTTACCACATTTTGGAGAGGCCCCAAAACTTGAGTGGCTAAATCTTGAAGGATGTACCCAACTCAGTGAGATCCAGGCGTCTATTGGTCTTCTAAGAAGGCTCACTTTTTTGAATTTGAGAAATTGTACAAATCTTGTCAGCGTACACTGCAGCATATGGGGCCTCAATACTCTTGAATATCTGACTCTCTCTTGTTGTTCAAAACTGTGTAAGCTATTAGATGAACCAAGGGATGGAGAGCATTTGAAGAAACGTTGTATAGGTGAAGCGCCTGTTCATTCCCAATCAGCATCCTCCATTGGGAATCTACTTCAAGAAGCTTTGTATAGTATCTCATGTTTGCGTCAACTTGATCTCAGTTGCTGCAGTTTACTTCAAATCCCTGTTACTGTTGGAAATTTACATTGCTTAGAATGGCTAAATTTAAGGGGAAACAAATTTGGTACACTACCGAGCCTGAAGGAGCTTTCCAGACTGTATTATATAAACTTGGAGCATTGCAAGCAGTTGAAATGTTTGCCTGAGCTACCTTCACGAACTCACTTCTCTTCACAAACTTTCCGGTCTCCATTTCCAAAAAGTGTCCTTCTAGAACACAAAGAAGTAGCAGTGTTAAACATTTTCGACTGCCCAGAGTTAGCAGACAGGGAACGGTGCAATAGGATGTGTTTTTCATGGATGATGCAAATTGTTAAGGTGTGCACATTCCTTCCTTTCTTCACCCATCTCTATCTCTTTTGGTTTGAGTAGGAACTAAGTTATAGCTGTGCTTCTGCTACTAGGCTATCCATCAATACCAATACAATCCCCTTACAGGTTGGTTGGATCCTTGTGTTGAAAGTGTTATTCCAGGAAGCGAAATACCAAGGTGGTTCAACAATCAGAATGTGGGCATGGGCAATTTAATGAGCATAGACACACCTCCCCTTATTCAGCATGACAATAATTGTATTGGCATTGCGTGTTGTGTAATATTCAGGTTTCATGACGAAAATATTACTTGGGAGGAGCTTCCTCCAAGAACAGGACCACCACATACTGTGCCTATTGAAATTCCGGTGGATCTTTTCAATGAAGAATATATGAGCACATCAGATCACATCTGGCTATTCTATTTCACTCGACAACAATTAAATTTTCTACGTGATAGTTGGCACATGGCTGATCGTGCTGACTTCAAATTCATATTCAAATTTGAAATACTACAAACCCAATTATTTAAGGCTAAGGTGAAGGAATATGGATATCGTTGGGTGTACGAGGAGGATGTAAAACTTTCAAACGTCACAACGATGCACAGCGGAAATTTGTTGCCTCAGAAGCGCAAGCTTTTGGCAATTGAAGAAAATAAGTAGCAGTCCAATCCTCTCTTTATAGGTTCCAATCATGGCAGAGTGAATTCCACTTTTAAAAAGGTTAGAGTAAATGCTCATTCTCTTTCTTTTTACTTTTTCTGAATCAGCTGCTTCATCCTTCACACACTTTCTCACCTGCCATTTTATTTTTCAATTTACCTTTGCACATTTTTTGGTTTCGAAAATTTATTTAGTTTTTTCAAAATTATTATATTTAATGAGTGTTATTAATTAGTTGACTCCATTTTTATTAATCCTAATATTTATTCTAATTGATTGATCCTTATTTTAAAAAAATTATTCTGCTGTCACATTCATTCAAGGTGAACATTGTGACCTGTAATTTGATTTTAGTAAGTAAATAGTAATTTGTATATCTTCTACCTTCCAGTTTATAACTACTTACCAGACAGTCATAGGAAGAGTTCCCTCATTCAATAGAGTTGGATAGGCTGCTGCTTCTACTTAACACATGGAGTGATGTAGAGTCTAGATTATTGGGTTGATCATTGCTTCAGGGTTATCATGTATTTTACTAGGAACAAGCATTTGAGTGGTTTGTATTGAAATTGTATTAGTTACTAATCTTCATACTTCATTGAATTTGAGAATAATAAAAATTAAGTTTGATAACCAGCTGCATCTTGACAAAATCATGGGATGAATCACATGTTCAACTAGCTCATCCTTTAAGCCACTTTACTAAGAGATCTTTTCACTGCATGTTTTGTTAGTTGTTATTTCCCAACACTAGGAGGAGGAGAACATAAACAACTCGGGAAAAAAAAAAATTGTATTCTATCTTAATATAGTCACACAAGGTAAAATGCGATTTGTGAAGCCAAGAACATGTAATCTATAATTTGAAAATGGGTAACTAAATTAGGTGATAACAACCTAAGCATGTTTGAAATGTGTGGATCACCTGGTTTTCAAGAAGCAGGTGAAATGGGTAAATTCACGTTAAATTTTGGTAACAGCACATTTAATCGGAAGAAGCGACTTTGTAAAGCTTTAAAGTTTAAAAATATGCACGTCTCGAGTGTTTGAACTGCAATCCAAATGCACACATATTTTAGGAGAGTAGAGCCATGTTCAAGCTTTAAAAAGAAGATTTTTATTTACAATTTAAAATATGAAATCGAGATGTATTTGTTATGCTGAAAACTGAAATTTTTTGAGTATTTCTAAATTTTAGTAAATCTTATAATTAAAAATAACTTAAAGAGAAGAATATTTTTTTAATTTATAAATTATAAATGTGAGTTCTTATTTTAAATAAGAATGATTTTAGAAATATTTTTCATTAATTTATGTGACTTTTCATGCATTGAAAATTTGATTTTTTTTATTTATAATCTTTTCATGCATTAAATGTGTATAAAATTTATTTAAAGTTTTATATCATATGAAAATAAATTATTTAAATTTTAAATGTCTTTTATTTTGGAAAATATATTTTTATTTTTTAAATTTTAAAATGCAATAGTTTTTTTCTTAATACAATTAAAAAATGCAGAATTTATTAATTTAAATAATTTTAAGAACTAAAATTTAAATATAAATTAATTCAAGAAAAATAATATTACTATGAAAAAAACATATTTAAGCTATTTTCTAATTAGTGGATAAAAGCTTCACCAAAGAAGACAAATGAAGATGCAAGGTATTGATCTTATAAATCAGCAATCGTTTTCATGACATCACAAACTCTAGTTGTCGATTGCATGCAAATAAAGGATATTCCAACCGAATCGGGACCTTAATCACCATAATGACTCATCTTGCAAGAAGAGAAGGAATGTAAGAGAGTAATATATTATTTAATATATTTTTAAAAAATTATAAAAATATAAATAAAATTTACAGAATCAAGAATAAAATTCATATAATTTTAATAATATTAACTAATCATAAAATATGTATCTTAAAAAACAAACTAAAAATACAATTCTAACATTTCTTCTTTGCATGAATGATAGAAAGGACACGAAAGAGATGGCGATGAAAGATATTTGCTTTCTGAAGGCACTTTGATGATTTCCAACGATGAGAAACGACAACACCTTCGGTTTGATTTTGATACGCAAATGAACCTTTTATTGATCCACCAAAAGCCTGTGGAAGATGTTGCCCCTTAAATAAGTAGAACAAAGCCCCACTCAATGAACCCTACTTCTGAGTTCTGAATTTGGAAGATGTTGCATGAATGACACTCGATGCGTTTACCAGATGATAATCCATAATCATCCATTCATTTTATGACACAAATTTTAATCTGGACTGTTATATATTCATAATTTATGCTCTGTAATTCAATTAACACAGATGACTCAAAGAAATAATACACTGTTTATGCATTGAATATAAAGAAATATAAAGTAAAGTATAATAATATAAGATATAGATGAAATTTCAGTACTTTTATAATTTATTTAAATTTTATTTTAATAAATTTTTTATTCTTAAAATATGACATCAACAATTATATATAAATTTTAAAATAAAAAAAATTAATATAATTTAAATTTCAAAAAATTATTTTTCACTTTTGATATTGATATTTAGTATATAAACTGAAACTATTAATTAATATCATTTCATGTTAATAAAACAATTATATCTTTCTTAAGTGATTTGTTTTACTATGCAAAATATAGTATAACATAAAAATATTTTTTTCAAATAAAAATATGAAATAAAATTAACCAAATTTTTAAGTAAATACAATTTAATTAATTTTTATTTATATTTATTTGAGAGACAGGAAATATAACGTTTTTAAAATCACACCAAAATTTATTTCTACCCCTTTGACCAAAGTAATTGTCACTATAAAAGAAATAAATTTTATGTATACAAGTTAGAACATGAATACTTTAAATCATCTTGTTTTTTAATATTTGTAGTCTTTTTAATTATTAAATAAATAATTATCAATATATTTCATATTTAAGATAGTAAATAAATTATTTTTTATTAATTTTATTAAAATAATAAAATTATAAAAATACTTCTTAATATTTTAATTATTGATAAATTTAAGTATAGTATTATAAGTATTTTTACAATTAATTTTTAATTAAAATTAAAATTTTACATCAATAATACCGCCAATAATAACCTTGAACGAATTCTTTAAGTGAAATGTATTAAATAATTTATGATATTATACTTAATTTTTTATTAATCAAATTAAATTAATAATATAATAAAAAAATTAAATTCAGTTTCTTAACTACTGTTAACCATGTTTTATAATTAAAATTTTATTTTACTAATATATGATAATTATTAAATATAAATTTTGAATTAAAATAAATTTTAATTTTAAGTAATAAATAACAGTTAAATTACAATAAATAAAATTTATTTGTTAAAAAACATAAATCATACTGATCAATACTTGTAAGACACTGTTTAAGGAATTAATAAATATTTTCGTACATATATATTTTTTATAAGATTCAATTATATTTGAGTTGGATAAGTTACTTACAAAACTATTTTTTTGAAAAAATTAATATAATTATTCTCAAATTTGATGTCACAATTTATATAATAATTAATAAATAAAATATTTCTTTAATTTGTATATATTGTACAAGATAAGTTATATATAAATTTTTCTATTAAAAAATATAAAATTTAACATAATTTAATACATTAACAGTATTAAATGACAATTTTATATAAAAATTTATTATATAGAATTTATTATCTGTGTAATATTAAATAAATTGGAAAGATTAATATTTTAACTAATATTCTTTGCTGGATTGAAAATTTTTAAAAAAACATTTAAGTAAACTTAAAAACTCTCTTAAATAAGTAAATAGTATTGATTTGGAGTGATCTGGCACGTGTCATCCATGCATTCTCTAGAAAATTGTTGTAATAAATAATAGTTTTTAATTAGTCCACTCTGAACCCCACTCAGTCCTTTCTGTGTCCATAAATATCTCACACTGCAATCACCAAATGGAAAACAAAACCACTAAACAGCAGCACCATGGCTTCAACCCTCACACCCTCATTCACAGCAACCCCTTCCTCTCTCTTCACCACACCATCCTTCAATGTCACCACTCATAGCCTTCTCCTTCAACCACACGCCCCACGCGCCTCCATGTCAGCATGGTCCCCACACACTCCCTACGATCTTGCCTCCTTCAGGTTAGATCCCATAAAGGAGTCCATTGTGTCTCGTGAGATGACCCGCAGGTACATGACCGACATGGTCACCCATGCTGACACCGACGTTGTCATCGTAGGTGCAGGTTCTGCAGGACTCTCATGCGCCTATGAACTCAGCAAAAACCCTGCTGTACAAGTTGCCGTCGTTGAACAATCTGTTAGTCCTGGCGGTGGCGCTTGGCTCGGTGGCCAACTCTTCTCCGCCATGGTATTTGCATATTTTCTTTCTCATATCTATTTGTTGGAACTGTGTATCATTCAACTGTGTCTATTTTCACTTCGGTTTAAATGTTTTTTTTAATATCCCATTATATATATCAGTGAGGAAATTTTTTTGACAAAACTTAATTTAAATAATAATAATAAATATTCAAGAGTGACAATTTTTTTTCTTTACTCAACCCAAATCAAATTACAGTATTTTTTTAAAGTTTCTCTTATCCGCAATACTTGAAAAGAGATACAACTTTTAATTCTATCTTAGATTAGTTGCAGATTGATGAAGAAATGCTTTTTTAATATACCCACTTCAAAAAGTTAAAAATTAATAAGTATATTCTTTTATAGTCTTTAAATTGTTTATCATTTAAGATATTTAAAATATATTAATTTTTCAATAATAATTTTATTTATTAGAATAGATGTTATCAATTAATTATTATAATAATTTTAAAAGTGTTTTTATTAATTAATTATTATTATTATAAATTTACCTCTTTTGACATAAGTATTTTAGAAATTTTGATTTATTTTATTGTAAAAGATAGAAGTATAATAGAAAAAACTAATTTTTTTTTAAAGTGACAGGTAAAAAGGAATAAACTTTTTCTCAATAGTGACAAATAAAAAAGAAAGAATGATTGAAGGACTTGTTAAAAATAAATCTCTTTGTGTTATATTGGTTGTTATTTATTATTAATAGACACATTTTAAAAAATAATTAATTTTATTAAAATATTTGTATTAAAAGCATTAATAATATAAGGATATTTTAGTTGTTAGTTAGCAAAATATTATATATAATAAATAAGAATATTTTTTAAAAAAAGTACTCTCTATCTCTGAAAATAGTTATTTTAATTAATTTTATTTTTTCAAAATAATAGTGATTTTATAAATTTTAAATAAAATTAATATTTCTTTTAATTTTTAAAAGTAATTACTATGTTAAAATGTATTTTTATTTTTTCTTTGTCTATTTAGTATGTAAATAAATTATAAAAATAATATAATAATTTTTTTATAATACGCTTAATAAAAACAGCACATTAACAACTGTATTTTAAAAACGGAAAAATAATAAATAATTTATTCATCTTTGACAAATAATTCATGACAATTAGAAAGTCTTGAAGTGACAATTAAAGAGGGAGTATGACGTATTAAATTATGTAATATTATACAATTTTTAATAAACTTTTATTATTTGTATGTTCATATTTTATGACTCCATAGACATATTAAATAAGTAATAAATGATTGCTAACTCCTATTATACTAGAATTTTTTAACCTGAATAATATAAAAAATGATAAAAAGTTGTGCATGATAAATTTTTTAGTGTAAATTGTAGAATTTAATGTTATTTAATGTATTTATAATATTAAATGTTACAATTTTTTATTAATGTTTATTTTATATAACTTTTTAGTTGAGCAATATTGCCTAAATTAGACAAATATTATATATTAATATGCTTAAAAATTTTAGGTGAATATTTAATGTGCTTCATTGAATATTTTATAAAAAAATTAAATTAAAACATAAATGTATTTATTTATTTTTATTATAAATATTTAATAATTTTTATTTAGCAGTTAAAATCTGATTGAATTAGTCTGGCAGATTGGATAATTTCTTCTATGAAAATAAGTTTTGTAAATTTTGTTGTTGTATGCTGCTGATTGATCACACCATTTTAAAGGGTTGAACTAATTTGACCTAAAAAGTGTTGTGGATTTGGTGGTATGTGTCATTTGAATGAGAAGAAGCAAACAATAAAAAATCTGTAGAAGATACATGATTAATTAACAAACTTACGATTGTTATAAATTTAATAATTTTTCCTCTTATTTTAATAAAAATTATGATTAATTTTATGAGATCCAGATTTTCTAATAGCTAGAAAAACATCTAATGATATGTGAATGTGAGTGCAGGTGGTGCGAAAGCCAGCACATTTGTTCTTAGACGAGCTTGGTGTTGAGTATGATGAACAAGACAACTACGTGGTGATCAAGCATGCTGCTTTGTTCACTTCTACCATAATGAGCAAGCTCTTGGCTAGGCCTAATGTAAAGCTTTTCAATGCTGTGGCAGTGGAGGACTTGATTGTGAAGGATGGTAGAGTTGGTGGGGTTGTGACTAACTGGGCTTTGGTTTCCATGAACCATGACACTCAATCATGAATGGACCCTAATGTCATGGAGGCTAAAGTGGTGGTTAGTTCTTGTGGGCATGATGGACCTTTTGGGGCCACTGGTGTGAAGAGGCTCAAGAGTGTTGGGTTGATTGACAGTGTCCCAGGAATGAAGGCCCTTGACATGAACTCAGCTGAGGATGCTATTGTGAGGCTCACTAGGGAGGTTGTGCCTGGCATGATTGTTACTGGGATGGAAGTTGCTGAGATTGATGGTGCTCCAAGAATGGTAATTTCAAAACTCACTTTATCAAATTTGTATCAAGTGTTTATTTTTATTTTTATGTCTTTATTTTATTTCAATTTAAGAATTTTTTATTTAAAATACTTTTACTATTAATATCATTATAAGAAAAATTTATTTTAGACAAAAATCGTTTAAATAAAATTGACACAGACTCACTTAAATTTGTGGTATCTTATTTACCTTAGACACAGAGATATTTTTTTTGGTCCAAAGAGACACTTTTCTACTAGTCTGCTAACATATAATAACTTCTACATATGGGTTGAAGTTGAAAGCATTAAATATAATATATTAATATTTTAACTTGTTTTAAAGAATAACTATAAAATTTTTATATTTTAATATTACAAATATTTTCTTTTATCAGTTGGCGAAACTAATTGTTTGGGCCTTGGCCTAATGGAAATGCAGGGTCCAACATTTGGAGCAATGATGATATCAGGGCAGAAGGCAGCACATCTGGCTTTCAAATCATTGGGCCTTCAACAATGTTGGAAAGATCCATCCTGAGCTTGTTCTAGCTGCTTCTGATTCTGCTGAAATTGCAGATGCTTAATTAATGTTGCATTAACTTTCAGTTAATAGTAGTAATGCTTCCATTAAGAAATAAAAATACTTGTTGTATGGGAATTAAGGTTTGAAGGTGTTGGTAGGGATGGATGCTTTGACGTGACTGTGTGTATTAAGTTTTGTTGATTTCAACATGAATGTGATTATCAATCCCTTTGTGTCTCACTCTCCTCCATGCCCAATTCGGTTGGCCTTATTTTCAAGCACAAAACTCAAAGACGGTAATATAGGTATAATAAAAATCAGCATCAAAAGACAGCATGTTGATATTAAAAGTAGGTTCATGTTACTAATGTAAAGAGGCTATTTGATAACATCCACACCTCTGTAATATTTTTATAATTTTTATTCTTAATCAATATTCTAAAGGGATTTTATAATGTTTTATTTTAAAACAATCATTTAATTTGATAAAAGGTGAAAAAAATAGTAAAACATAAATTAAGACAGAGAATTAAAATTAAAAAATGTTAATTTTAGGATTTAAGACTAGTAACTAATATAAAAATATTTATTATACTTTTATAATCTTAATATAATAAATGCATATGTTTTTTCATATTTTTTTTTATTTAAATGTCAACATTAATACAAATTAATAAAAACATAACTTATGAAGAGATAATTTTTTTATTAGCTTTAATATTTATTTATGAAATGGTTTGGTAGATAAAATAATGTAAATAATGAAATAAGTTTAACATATATATTTTTACTCAAATTATGTTATTCTATTTATAATAAAATAACCTAACTAATTAACTATATGTATTATTTTAATATCGTTTTAATAAAAAATAAAGTAAGTTTTTAATAGTTATTCACAAATTAATCTTGATATTTTTAAAATTTATATGCAACCACAATTTTGTGATAAAAAATAACGTGAATGTGAAATAATTAATAACACAGTTTATAGCAAATAAAAATTAGAAATTATATTCATGTGGAGGATACAATTTTTTATTAGCCGAAAGTGACTGTTTCTTCGCTAATGAAACATGGTAAAGTAAAATGAATATGAAGAAAACACACCTCCCAAAGGTATAATGAATCACACAAGGAGCATGTGAACCCAACTTCACTGCACAAGGAAGCAACATGGAACTAAGTGGTGGAAACGTCAAAATATTCGGAAGCTGCCAAGAAATTACATAGTAAGTGCTTCTTTCTACATTAGATTTTGATACATTCATTCAACCCACGGCATCAAATCTCAAACCACAAAGACTTGGATCATCTTATATTTCTTCACAGTACACACGCCTTCTTTGATACACACACAAACGCCTGTCCCTGTTTTGCAATGGCTTCCAACTCTATCATCCCATACACTGCTTCTTCTTCATCTCAGACTTATGAAGTTTTCGTGAGCTTCAGAGGTGACACTCGCAACAACTTCACTGACCATCTTTTTGGTGCTCTCGGCAGAAAAGGCATTCATTTCTTCAGGGATGATACGAAGCTTAAGAAAGGGAAACTTATATTGCCTGATCTCCTGCAAGCGATTGATGGGTCTCAGATTTTGGTTGTTGTCTTCTCAAAGAAGTATGCTTCCTCAAAATGGTGCTTGCGAGAACTTGAAAAGATTGCCGATTACATTGACGTCTCCGGAAAGCACGTTCTGCCTATTTTTTATCGCGTCAATCCTTCAGAGGTGCGAAATCAGAGTGGGAAATACAAAGAAGCCTTTGGTGAATACGAAAAAAGATTCACAGAAGATGAAGAGAAGAAGGATGAAGTGCAAAGATGGAGAGGAGCTCTGGCACGAGTGGGCAATCTCTCTGGTTGGCACATTACAAATGAGTACGTAATTAATCTGAGTTTATTACGTACATATGCAATCAGTTATATCTTGTGTATATATTTCACTATTAATTTCCTAATCTTTTGATTTTCTCCAATTTACTATCCCTTTCTAAACTAGAGCTGACACAATTATAATCTGTTGAGGAGGGTAACATGCAAATTTTGTCCAAATTTCTGTGTGTTTAATGCAACTATTATTCATAAAGTGAATGGAAGAATTACTTATATCATGTCCCATACCCATTTTCTGTTTTTGTTTTCATCGGTGATATTGGCATTCTTTGTCTTCTTTAAATTTACAGGTCACAACATTCAATGATTGAAAATGTTGTTAAAGACATACTAAAAAAATTGAGTCAGGGTATTTCAATTCTTCCAAATCAGGATCTAGTTGGAATGCAATCTCGTGTTGAAGAGATAGAAAAGCTTTTATGTTTAGACTCAGTTAATGATGTTGGTGTTGTCGGAATTTGCGGGATGCCTGGAATAGGAAAGACAACTCTTGCTCGTGCTTTATACAAAACAATCTTTCGTCAGTATGATTTTCATTGTTATATTGACGATGTAAGCAAAAGTTTTCGAGACTTTAGTACATTAGGTCTACAAAAACAGCTACTTCATCAAGTTCTAAATGACCAGAGTCTAGAGATCTACAATGTTTCTGCAGGAACCGATTTAGTACAGAAAAGGCTGTGCCACACAAGGGCACTTATAATTCTTGACAATGTAGATAACATTGATCAGCTATATCAATTGGCTTTGAAACCTAATCAGCTATGTGCAGGGACTAGAATTATCATAATTTCTAGTGATGAACATATTTTGAGGGCGCATAAAGTGAATCGTGTTTACCGAGTCAAGCCTTTGCATTGGGACCATGCTTTTCAATTGTTTTGCAAACATGCTTTCAAAGATAATTATATTATGAGTGAGTATGAAGAGTTGAAATATGATGTATTATCATATGCTGATGGCCATCCCCTAGCAATTAAAGTGTTGGGGTCATTTTTGTTTGGTCAAGATGTCTCGCAGTGGAGACGTGCATTAGCTATGCTAAGAGAAAGTCCAGATGAAGACGTTATGAAGGTGTTACGAATAAGTTTTGATGGGCTGAAGCCAATACAAAAGGAAATATTTCTTGACATTGCTTGTTTTTTCTCGGACGGTTATGAAAAGGACGATGTGGAGGAAATTCTTAATTTTCGTGGATTTTATCCTGAAATTAACCTAAGTGTTCTCGTCCAAAAATCACTTATAACCATTGAGTTGGAACGAATATATATGCCGACATTGTTGAGTGATTTAGGCAAGTGTATTGTTCGAGAAAAATCACCTAAGAAACCAAGAAAGTGGAGTAGGTTGTGGGATTACCAAGATTTGCGGAAACTTATGTTAGACCATAAGGTAAGATAGTTTTTGAGCATAGAAGTACACTTGGTTTGCTTTTTTTGTATAATCTGCAAATACTTGAAAGGATCTAAGTTTTTCTTTCTTCCTTGCAATGTTCTAGGCTGCAGAAAATCTTGAAGTCATACAAGTGTATGGTGATGATGAATTTGATTTTCAAGAAACAACAATCACGGCCGATGCTCTATCAAAAATGCGTCACCTGAAGTTTCTCCAATTTCGTTATGTGAAATTTTCCGGAAGCCTTGATTATCTTTCCAGTGAATTAGGATATATGAATTGGTCGGAATATCCTTTTGATTATTTGCCGGCAAATTTTCAGCCAGACAACCTTGTTGAGTTGATGCTGAGTTGGAGTAACATTAAGCAATTGTGGAAAGACACAAAGGTATTGTATATAACTATTCTTTTTCTATTTTGGTTTCTTTAAGAAAATGAAAAAAAGGAAAACTATAGTATGTTATTTCCTGTTTCTCTGATTAATGAAAGTGTTGAGTCTCATGATGTGTAGCTCTAATTTCTTTATTTTATTTTAATAATGTATTATGTGGCTATTATTTAGTTTAATTTTTAGTCACAATTTAGCTTATGATTTACATTCATTCTTGTAGGCTATATAAGCATTTGTAATGTAGTTTACAAATTATTTTATTATTCAGAGAAACAATTCTCATTGTCTCGTCTATTTTTATGGTTTTCTTTTTCTTTTCTCTTTAGTAGAGAATATAATTTATTTCTCATAATTCTTTAATTGTTTATGATTTTGTGCTTCCGCATAGCTCATAAACCTTAACAAGTGATATCAAAAACACTTATTCAATTAAAAATTTATTATATCAATTGTTACCAAGTTTGATATTGAGAAGTTTGACAGTAAAATTAGTTTTGCTATTTGACGAGTCTAAATTAGAGTCATTCTTACTCAAAACATATTAAAGAAAGCATTAGATGAGAAGTCAAAGAAACTGGCTTCCATGACTGATGGGCAATGGAACGAGTTAGATGAGAAGGCGCTTTCGGCAAGTCAACTTTGTTTGTCCAAAGAGGTTCTTTATAAAGTAGCTAAGGAAACTATTGCTACAACATTATGGACCAAATTGAAATCTTTACATATGACAAAGAGTCTTGCAAACAAGCTTTGTCTTAAAGAGCGTTTGTATACTATCTGTATGCCTGTAGGTACTCCTATTCATTGGTAGTTTATATGTCTTGCAAGGTTCTGTTGTGACAGGTTCATTGGCTATAACTTCTTCATTGTCAGATTCAAATGTCGCCAAATTATGACACATGCGTCTTGGCCATATGAGTGAAAAAGGTATGCACTTTCTAAGTAAGCAAGGTTGTTTTTTCAAGCATGACATCAGTAAATTAGAGTTTTGTGAGCCTTGCATTTCTGGGAAGCAGAAAAGAACTAGCTTTTATACTGCAACTCATTGCACCAAAGGCATCCTTGAGTGACTATATTCACTCTGATATTTGGGATCCTTCTAAAGTTCCCTCTCATGAAGGACGTTATATGATGACAATTATTGATGATTTTTCTCGTAAATTTTGACTTTATTTTCTAAGGCATAAAAATGACGCTTTCTCCACTTTTAAGAAGTGGAAAACTCTTGTTGAAGTCCAGAAAGGAAAAATTTAAAAACTCAAGACAGATAATGACTTAGAGTTTTGTGAAAGTAACTTCAATGATTGTTGTGCAGAGCACGGTATTACTAAGCATAAAACTATTCTTGGAAAGCCCCAACAAAATGGTCATGAACATGACTCTACTTGAAAGAGCTCGTTGTATGCTCTCAAATGCTAGGTTATGGCATCTGTGTGAATTTTGGACTAAGGCAGTATCAACTGCATGTTATTTAGTCAAACATTCTCACATATATCACTAAATTTCAAAGTCACAAAAGAAATTTGGTCAGGTAATGCTGTTGATTATTCAAATTTGATGATTTTTGGATGTCCTGCATATGCACATGTCAATGATGATAAATTAGCTCCAAAAGCTATTAAGTGCATATTTCTTGGTTATACATCTGAGTCAAAAGGATACGATTATGGTGTTTTAATCCTAAGTCATGAAAATTAATCCTTAGTAGAGATGTGACTTTTAATGAGGATGCGTTATTATCCTCTAAAAAGTAATCTCCTGTGCTTCTACTAGTACAAATAATTTGCAAGGTACTAATAAGAAGGTGGAGTTAGAATTGAAAATCCAAAGTTCTTAATTCTGATATTTCATCTACTACTAATGAGTCTAGCATTGATGCTCAAGACGATGATCGTGATGAAATTACCACTTCTCCCATGCAACTGTAAGAAGAAGAGTATTGCATTGCTTGAGATAAACTAAGAAGACAAATTAAAAGACTAGCTAAAAATGTTGATAGTAATTTAATTGCTTATGCATTATCTATCACATAAGAGGTAAATAATGGTGTTGAACCAGCTAGATATAATGAAGCGATTTCTTGTGCTGATTCTTTAAAGTGACTAGTAGCTATGAATAAAGAAATTAAAAATCTTCATACAAATGATACTTAGGCTTTGACAAAGCTTCCTAAAGGCAAGAGACCATTGGAATGTAAATGGGTCTATAAGAGAAAAGAAGGCATTCCTAAGGTTGAAGATCTTTGATGCAAAGTACGGCTAGTTGTGTAAAGCTTTAGTAAAAAAGAAGGTATTGACTTTAATGAGGTTTTCTCACTTGTTGTTCGTTATATCTCTATTTGCACTTTGCTTGCTTTTGTTGCTTTATTTGACTTGGAATTGGAGCAACTTGATGTTAAGACAATTTTTCTATATGGAGAGTTGGAAGATGAAATCTATATGGAGCAGCTCGAGGAATTTGTTGTTACTGATAAGAAGCACTTAGTTTATCGGTTGAAGAAATCTTTATATGGCCTTAAGCAAGGTCTTTGACAATGGTATAAAAGATTTGATTCTTTTATGGTTGTGCAAGGTTATTCTAGAAGTCAATTTGATGACTATGTTTATTTAAGAAAATTTCTAAATGAATCTTTTATCTACTTGTTATTTTATGTTGATTGTATAATCTAAGAAAATTCTTGGCATGGAGATTTATAGGAATCGTCAAGCAGGAAAATTATTCTAATCACAAAAGAAATATATTAAAAGAGTACTTGAAAGGTTCAATATGAGCAACTGTAAACTTGTTTTTACCTGGCTTGCTGCACATTTCAATTTATCTTCAGACCTTTGCCCATAAATAGAAGAAGAGAAGGAGAAAATGTCAAGCATTTCTTATGCTAGTACAATTGGTAGCCTTATGTATGCAATGATGTGTACTAGACCTAATTTAGCATATGCTGTTAGCATGGTTAGTTTGTATATGCATAATCCTGGCAAAGATCATTGGAATACTGTGAAATATATTTTTTGGTATCTTAAGATTACTTCTAATATTGGCTTGGTATTTTACAAAAGCAAGGCTACAATCAATGATGTTGTAGGTTTTGTTGACTCGGACTGTGGTGGTGGTCTTGATCGGAAAAGATCTCTCTCGGGTTATATCTTTACTCTCTGTAATGGTACTATAAGTTGGAAAGTTATACTTCAGTTTATTGCTGCATCATCTACGATTGAAGCAGAATATATTGCAGCAATAAAGGGTGTGAAAGAGAATCTTTGGCTTTGTGGTTTGGTCAAGGAACTTGGTTTAACACAAGATATTCTTGTGGTGTTTTGTGATAGCCAAAATGCTATTGATTTAACCAAGAACAATCGTTATCACAATAAGATCAAACACATTAATGTAAAATATCACTTTATTCGAGATATTGTAGCTATTGGTAAAGTTGTAGTAAAAAAGATTCATACATTTGAAAATCTGACAGATATGCTTACTAAGCCTCTTTTAAATGTCAAGTTTCAATATTACTTGGATTTGGTCGGTCTCTATAGTCTTTAAAGACATGATTATTGACAACTAGTCAAATTTAAACTAAGGTAGAGATTGTTGAGTCTCATGATGTATAGCTCTAATTTCTTTATTCTATTTTAATAATGTATTATGTGACTATTGTTTAGTTTAATTTTTAGCCACAATTTAACTTATAGTTTACATTTATCCTTGTAGGTTATATAGGTATTTGCACTATAATTTATAAATCATTTCATTTTTTAGAGAAACAATTCTCATTGTCTTGTCTATTCTTTTATAGTTTTCTTTTTCTTTTCTCTTTATTAGAGAATATAATTTCCTTCTCGTAATTCTTTAATTGTTTACAATCTTGTATTTCGCATAAATCTTAACGGAAAGAAACAAAAGGAAGGTGAAGTATTATTATTAATTTTGTCTCCTACTGTTGGCCCTTCCCTGCAGCCTCTACCCAATTTGAGACGTTTGGACCTCTCCCACTCCCAAAGTCTTATGGAGTTACCACATTTTGGAGAGGCCCCTAATCTTGAGTGGCTAGATCTCAACGGATGTATACAACTCAGGCAGATCGATGCATCTATTGGTCTTCTAAGAAAGCTCACTATATTGAATTTGACAGATTGTGAAAATCTCGTAAGTGTGCCCAGCAGCATATGTGGCCTCAATTCTCTTGAATATCTGGGTCTCTCTGGTTGTTCAAAAGTGTGTAAGTTTTTAGACGAACCAAGGTATGGAGAGCATTTGAAGAAGCTTTTTATAGGTGAAGCTCCTATTCATTCCCAATCAGCATCCTCCATTGGGAATCTACTTCAAGAAGCTTTGTATAATATCTCACATATGCGTCAACTTGATCTAAGTTGCTGCAGTTTACTTCAAATCCCTGATACTGTTGGAAATTTACATTACTTAGAATGGCTAAATTTAAGTAGAAACAAATTTGGTACACTACCGAGCCTGAAGGAGCTTTCCAAACTGTATTATATAAACTTGGAGCATTGCAAGCAATTGAAATGTTTGCCTCAGCTACCTTCAAGAACTGACTCATCAATAACTTGCCTGTCAGAGTCACCAATTCTATCTGACGACGGAAGAGCAGGAATAAACATTTTCGACTGCCCAGAATTAGTTGACAGGGAACGGTGCAATAGGATGTGTTTTTCATGGATGATGGAAATCGTTAAGGTGTGAACACTCCCTCCTTTCTTCACCCATCTCTATCTCTTTTGGTTTGTGTAGGAGAAGTTACAGCTGTGCTTGTGGTACTAGGCTCACCATCAATACCCACGTCTTCGTTTTCGCCTTCGCCCTCCGCATAGTCCTTGTGTTGAAAGTGTTATTCAAGGAAGCGAAATACCAAGGTGGTTCAACAATCAGCATGAGGGCATGGGCAATTTAATGATCATAGACACACCTCCGCTTATTCAGCGTGACAATAATTGCATTGGCATTGCGTGTTGTGTTATATTCAGGTTTCAAGACGAAAGGATAACAGTTCGGGATTATTTTTCTACAAGAATAGAACCACCGTACAACGTGCGTGTTGATATTCCGGTGCATCTTTTCAATGAAGAAGATATGAACACATCAGACAACATCTGGCTATTCTATTTCAATCTACAACAATTAACTGCGAAATGTTATATGGGGCCCAATCCTGATACTGCTGAATTCAAATTTAAATTTAAAATACGAAACGGCCAAGAATTTGAGGCTGAGGTGAAGGAATATGGGTATCGTTGGGTGTACGAGGAGGATGTAAAACTTTCAAACGTCACAACGATGCACAGCGGAAATTTGTTCCCTCAGAAACGCAAGCATTTGGCAATTGAAGAAAATAAGTAGCAGTCAGTCCAATCCTCTCTTCAAAGGTTCCAATCATGGCAGAGTGAATTCCACTTTGAAAAAGGCTAGAGGAAATCCTCATTCTCTTTCTTTTTACTTTTCTAAATCAGCTGCTTCATCCTTCACACTCTTTCTCACCTGCCATTTTATTTTCCAATTTACCTTTGCACATTTTTTGGTTTCTTAAATTTATTTAGTTTTTTTCAAAAAGTTTAACTTTTACTTTATTTAAATTTCAAAATCATTATATTTAATGAGTGTTATTAATTAGTTGACTCCATTTTTATTAATCCTAATATTTATTCTAATTGATTGATCCTTATTTTAAAAAGATTATTCTGCTGTCACATTCATTGTTATTCATTATAAATTATATATAATACTTAATATTTAATATAATATCAATTTCTTTTCTCATGACTTTGTAAATCATAATTCTAACCTAATCAAAGCTTAGTGGAGCCTGACACTTTGTTAGTTCCAGTAATAACAGTGAAATTGCTGAAAAGGAATTTTCCGAAGCTGAAGAAAACTTCAATGTTATTGCCAGAAATATTATATCAGACATTTTTTATTATTTAATTATGTAAAATCCACATATCAATTAATACAAATATAATTTTGTATTTACCTAAATGTGAAGCATTAGTTGCAAATGACAACGTATGACTATGTCTGAACTTAACAAGAGAAATTGTATTCATACATCCTTTTTATACTTTTTTTACAAATAATAAAGAGATCAGAAGAGAGCGAGATAAATATAAAATATGATGAATGACGTAAAGAAAAACAAGATAAGAAAAATAGCAATATCGTGTAACTTGTTATACAGATTTATTGTATGGATAGAGTAACTCAATTAAGAGTTGTACGAGTAAATGGTAGGGAGGAGGCGGTTTAATTTAATTGATACACCCTCAGATGCATACAATTCCTTGTTTGATATTTGGAATCTCAATTAAGATTCATATTTCTAGCCGCAGCGTATAGTATATTAATATAAGACCTTGTACTTGTCAATATTCTTGACAAAGATTGTAGATTTCCACTATGCGTCAACTCAAGTTTCTGCAGTTTACTTCAAATCCCTGATACTGTTGGAAATTTACATTGATTAGAATGGCTAAACTTAAGGGGACACAAATTTGGTACACTGCCGAGCCTGAAGGAGTTGAGATATAAACTTGGAGCATTGCAAGCAGTTGATATGTTGGTAAGCACATCATTCTTTTCTTTTGGTTGTAATGGTTACCCTCTGATGATACAATTTCTAATCCTTTTTAAGATAATCCAATTTCTATTCTGTTTTTGCCTAGAAAGTGCAGACAGGACTTGAGATACAGATATAATGCGACGTCGACACGGTGAGTATAGGATATGACATGACAGAGATATACCTTGAAATAAATAAAATATCTTTACCTTTTCCTTTGGCGGAGTTTCAGTTCTGCTAATTTAGCAACTTGGGTTCTTCATTTACGGTGAACATTGTGACCTGGAATTTGATTTCAGTAAGTAAATAGTAATTTGTATATCTTCTACCGTCATGTTTATAACTAATTATCAGACAGTCATAGGAAGAGTTCCCTCATTCAATAGTAGAGTTGGATAGGCTGCTGCTTCTACTTAACACATGGAGTGATGTGGAGTCTAGATAATTGGGTTGATGATTGCCTCAGGGTTATCATGTATTTTACTAGGAACAAGCATTTGAGTGGTTTGTATTGAAATTGTGTTATGCAGGTTACTAATCTTCATACTTCATTGGATTTGAGAATAATAAAATGAAGTTTGATAACCAGCTGCATCTTGTCAAAATCATGGTATGAATCACACGTGCAACTAGCTCACCCTGTAAGCCACTCTACTAACAGATATTTTCGCTACATGTTTTGTTAGATGTTATTTCCCAACAGTAGGAGGAGAACATAAACAACTTGGAAAAAAAAATGTACTCTATCTTAATATAGTCACACAAGGCAAAATGCGAGTTGTGAAGCCAAGAACATGTAATCTATAATTTGAAAAAAGATAACTAAATCAGATCCTAACAACTTAAGCATGTTTGAAATGTGTGGATCACCTGGTTTTCAAGACAAAAATACTTGAAATGCAGAATTTATTAATTTTAATAATTTTAAGAACTAAAATTTAAATATAAATTAATTCATGAAAAAAATTATTACTATGAAAAAAACATATTTAAGTTATTTTCTAATTACTAGATAAAAGCTTCACTAAAAAATACAAATGCAGGTGCAAGGTATTGATCTTATAAATCAGCAATCGTTTTCATGACATCACAAACTCTAGTTGTCGATTGCATGCAAATAAAGGATATTCCAACCTAATCGGGACCTTCGGTTTGATTTTGATACGCAAATGGTGACAAAAGAAAATGAACCTTTTTGTGATCCACCAAAAGCCTGTGGAAGATGTTGCCCCCTTAAATAAGTAGAACAAAGCCCCACTCACATGAACCCTACTTCTGAGTTCTGACTTTGGAAGATGTTGCATGAATGACACTTGATAATGCACAATCATCCATTCATTTTAGGACACAAATTTAAATTTGGACTATTATATGCTCTGTAATTCAATTAACACAGATGACTCAATGAAATAATACACTGTTTATGCATTGAATATAAAGAAATATAAAGTAAACTATAATAATATAAAATATAGATGAAATTTCATTACTTTTATAATTTATTTAAATTTTATTTTAATAATTTTTTTATTCTTAAAATATGACATCAACAATTATATATAACTTTTAAAATAAAAAATTTATTTAATATAATTTAAATTTCAAAAAATTATTTTTCACTTTTGATATTGATATTTAGTATATAAACTGAAACTATTAATTAATATCGTTTAATGTTAATAAAAGAATTATATCTTTCTTAAGTGATTTGTTTTACTATGCAAAATATAGTATAACATAAAAATATTTTTTTCAAATAAAAATATGAAATAAAATTAACCAAATTTTTAAATAAATACAATTTAATTAATTTTTATTTATATTTATTTGAGAGACAGGAAATATAACGTTTTTAAAATCACACAAAATTTTATTTCTACCCCTTTGACCAAAGTAATTGTCACTATAAAAGAAATAAATTCCATGTATATAAGTTAGAACATGAATACTTTAAATCATCTTGTTTTTTAGTATTTGTAGTATTTTTAACTATTAAATAAATAATTATCAATATATTTCATATTTAAGACAGTAAATAAATTATTTTTTATTTTTTATTAACTTTATTAAAATAATAAAATTATAAAAATACTTCTTAATATTTTAATTATTGATAAATTTAAGTATAGTATTATAAGTATTTTTACTATTAATTTTTAATTAAAATTAAAATTAAAATTTTACATCAATAATACCGCCAATAATAACCTTGAACGAATTCTTTAAGTGAAATATATTAAATAATTTATGATATTATACTTAATTTTTTATTAATCAAATTAAATTAATAATATAATGAAAAATTAAATTCAGTTTCTTAACTACTGTTAACCATGTTTTATAATTAAAATTTTATTTTACTAATATATGATAATTTTGAAGGTGTTGGTAGGGATGGATGCTTTGATGTGACTGTGTGTATTAAGTTTTATTGATTTCAACATGAATGTGATTATAAATCCTTTTGTGTCTCACTATCCGCCATGCCCAATTCGGTTGGGCCTTATTTTCAAGCACAAAACTCATAGACGGTAATATAGGTATAATAAAAATCAGCATCAAAAGATAGCATATTGATATTAAAAGTAGGTTTATGTTACTAATGTAAAGAGGCTATTTGATCTACGCCTCTGTAATATTTTTATAATTTTTATTTTTAATCAGTATTATAGAGAAATTTGATAATGTTTTATTTTATATTTATAAAAATAAAAGTATTCAGTGATAACTTATTATTGCATATACTTCACACTACTGAGAGAAAAAATTACACATTAATAGAATGATTAGATTCATGTTAAAGGAAAAATAATTATCAAATATCTATATACATTCTTAACAGATGTTCAATTAAGGCTGTTGAAGATAAAATTTCAATTAAAACTTGGAGCTGAAAAAAATTAATAAAATATATAAAAATTTTGGATCAATTTGTTATTTACACGTTCTATAAAAGAAAAGACACAAATTAGAAGATAAAACTCATGACTTGCAGGTACATGACTGAGATGGTTACCTATGCCGCCGACCGTTGTCATCATAGGTGCTCGTTTTGCTGGACTCTCATGTGCTTATGAACTCAGCAAAAACCCTGTTGTACAAGTTGCCATCGTCGAACAATCTGTTAGTTTTGGTGGTGGCGCTTGGCTCAGTGGTCAACTCTTCTCCGCCGTGGTATTTGCATCTTTTTTCATATTTATTTGTTGAAATTGTGTATCGCTCAATTGTGTCTCTTTTCACTTTGATTTAAATGTTTTTTCTTAATATCTCAAAAAAAAAATAAAAAAATAAAAAAAAAAAAATATATATATATATATATATATATATATATATATATATATATATATATATATATATCATCAGTGACAAAAAAATTGACATACTAATTTAAATAATAATAATAATAAGTATTCAAGAGTGACATTTTTTTTCTTTCTCAACCAAATTACAGTATTTTTTAAAATTTCTCTTATCCGCAATACTTGAAAAGAGATACAATTTTAAATTCTATGTTATCCGCAATTAAGCTTTGGAGGTGTTGGTAGTGATGGATGCTTTTATGTGACTCTATTAAATTTTGTTAATTTCAACATGAATGTGCTTATTAGTCCCTTTGTGCTCACTCTCCTCCATGCCCAATTTGGTTGGGCCTGGTTTTCAATCACAAATCTCATTCACGGTATTATAGGTATAATAAAAATCAGCATCAAAAGACAGCATGTTGATATTAAAAGTAGGTTCATGTTACTAATGAAAAGACGCTATTTGATAACACTCCATACCTCTGTAATATTTTTATAATTTTTATTCTTAATCAGTATTCTAAAGGGGTTTGATAATGTTTTATTTTAAAACAATCATTTAATTTGATAAAAAGAGAAAAAAAAATAGTAAACCATAACATTAAGATAGAGAATTAAAATTAAAGAAATGTTAATTTCAGGATTTAAGGCTAGTAACTAATAGAAAAATATTTATTATACTTTTATAATCTTAATATGATAAATACATATGTTTTTTCATAGTTTTTTTTAAATGTCAACATTTATGCAAATTAATAAAAACATAACTTATGAAAAGAAATTTTTTTAATTAGCTTTGATATTAATTTATGAAATGTTTTAGTAGAATAAATAAAGTAAATAATGAAATAAGTTTAACATTTATATTTTTACTCAAATTATGTTATTCTATTTATAATAAAATAACGTAACTAATTAACTATATATATTATTGTAATATCGTTTTAAGAAAGAATAAAGTAAGTTTTTAATAGTTATTCACGAATTAACCTTGATATTTTAAAATTTATATGCAACCACAATTTTGTGATGAAAAATAAGGTGAATGTGAAAGAATTAATAACACAATTTATAGTAAAATAAAAATTAGAAATTATATTCATATGGAGGACACATTTTTTATTAGCCGAAAGTGACTGTTTCTTTGCTAATGAAATATGGCAAAGTAAATGAACATAAAGAAAACACACCTCCCAAAGGTATAATGAATCACAGAAGGAGTATGTGAACACAACTTCCCTGCACAAGGAAGCAACATGGAACTAAGTGGTAGAAAAGTCGAAATATTCGGCAGCTGCCAAGAAATTACAAAGTGCTTCTTTCTACATTAGATTTTGATACATTCATTCAACCCACGGCATCAACTCTCAAACCACAAAGACTTGGATCATCTTATAATAAAATTGTTTGATAACCAGCTGCATCTTGTCAAAATCATGGGATGAGTCACATGTTCAACTAGCTCACCCTGTAAGCCACTTTACTAAGAGATATTTTCGCTGCATTCTGTTAGTTGTTATTTCCCAACACTAGAAGGAGAACATAAACAACTTGAAAAAAAAAATGCATTCTATCTTAATATAGTCACACAAGGCAAGATGCGAGTTGTGAAGTCAAGAACATGTAATCTATAATTTAAAAATGGATAACTAAATCAGATGCTAACAACCTAAGCATGTTTGAAATATGTGGATCACCTGGTTTTCAGGACAAAAATCCTTGAAAGATTAAATGGGTAAATTGACGTTAAATTTTGGTAAAAGCACATTTAATCGGAAAAAGCAACTTTGTAAAGCATTAAAAATATGCACGTCTTGTGTGTTTGAACGTCAATCCAAAATTCTAACTGAATTTTTGTATTTGTTTTAGGTGCATATGATTATTTTTTTCCTTGTCTGTCACCTTTTCTAAGTTATTTGCGACAGAAAAGTTATTTGCGACAGTGTTACCATTGGTAGTATCTTGAGGTACAATCCCCCCATTTTCTGGATTATTTTCTAATAAAACCAATGGATCTTGAATTGGTGTCCCATCTTCAGTAATTACAGGTGCTGTGATAAATCTACCACTTCCCACAAGAGGAAATAATTGACAACATTCGTCCTTCCATGTTGCATATTGCTCTCTAACAATATCAACATAAAAAGTTACACAACTATTCAGGTATTAAATTTAGAATTAAAATGATCGTAATCCCAAATTATAAAATAATTAAATAATCCCTATTTAATGGAGGTGCAAGTAATTCTTACTACGTTTTTTAAGATATATATGAAACTTGTAGTTGCATATATGATTATAGTAGTCATTCCATTTTTCATTTTAAAAAGAAAAATAGGTCTTGGAGGTTGTGGTGACATTTTAAATGTTTTATAAGATGAGAAATATCATAATTGAAGGGAATGTTTTATAAGATGAGAAATAATAAGTTCTCTCGATCAGTTTGTGCTTTCTGAATCTGGTGATTCTGATTCCCAAACTACGCCCAAATTTGGGAACTTTTCTTGTATGTGGATGTTTGAGTTTCTCTTACCCAATATCAGTGTCATTTTTGTTGTGTGGCGATACTTGGTGGTTTGCTTGGCTCTGACAATCTCCAATTGTCAGTGACAAAACACCTTTGGCCAACTAATTTAGGGTTCCTGGTCTCAAATTTTGTACAATATTACATAATATTTTTTAAAAAAATTTGTTCAATAAATTGTGTATGATTAGGAGTATTAAAAAAAAGGGAAAGAAATTAAAAAAGAAAGTAAAAGATTAGAATTTTTTATTTACAGCTATTAAATAGTTTAAAATTAAATTGAATGTTAATGAAATTTTAAAATAACCGTGTAACAAAATTAAACTCTTCTTATTATTTATCAATTAAAATAGAAAATGAGAGATTACATTCCCAGCCGTGTGTATAAGAGAACACAAAATATAGACCTCATTAGGGTCAACTTTTTTTTTCTTTTTTGAGTATAAAAAGAAAAAGGGCAACGGAGAAACAAGGGGTGTTCATATTAGCCTTATTGAAAAAGACTGGTTAAATTTCTGAACCCAACTTCACTACACAGAAGCAACATGGAAATGGTGGAAAAGTCAGAATATTCGGAAGCTGCCAAGAAACTACAAAGTAAGTGCTTCTTTCTACATTAGACTTTGATTCATTCATTCAACCCACTTCATCAACTCTCAAACCACAAAGACTTAAGTCATCTTATATTTCTTCACAGTACACACTCCTTCTTTGATACACACACAAACACCTGTCCTTGTTTTGCAATGGCTTCCAACTCTATCATCCCATACACTACTTCTTCTTCATCTCAGACTTATGAAGTTTTCGTGAGCTTCAGAGGTGACACTCGCAACAACTTCTCTGACCATCTTTTTGGGGCTCTCGGCAGAAAAGGCATTCATTTCTTCAGGGATGATACGAAGCTTAAGAAAGGGAAACTTATATTACCTGAACTCCTGCAAGCTATTGATGGGTCTCAGATTTTGGTTGTTGTCTTCTCAGAGGAGTATGCTTCCTCGAAATGGTGCTTGCGAGAACTTGAAAGGATTGCCGATTACGTTGACAATGACGTCTCCGGAAAGCACGTTCTGCCGATTTTTTACAGAGTTGATCCATCAGACGTGCGAAATCAGAGTGGGCAATACAAAGAAGCCTTTGATGAATACGAACAAATATTCAAAGAAGATGAAGAGAAGAAGAAGGAAGTGCAAAGATGGAGAGGAGCTCTGGCACGAGTGGGCTATCTCTCTGGTTGGCACATTACAAATGAGTAAGTAGTTAGTATTCTCTCGTTTCATATTCTATGGATCTGAATTGATTACATACATATTTGTTATATTTTCACTATTCCTTAATCACTCGGTTTTCTTGAATTTACTATCCCTTAATTTGCAGGTCAGAACATTCAATGATTGAAATTATTGTTAAAGACATACTAAAAAAATTGAGTCAGAGTATTTCAATGCTTCCAAATCAAGATTTAGTTGGAATGGAATCTCGTGTTGAAAAGATAGAAGAGCTTCTATGTTTGGACTCAGTTAATGATGTTGGTGTTGTCGGAATTTGCGGGATGCCTGGAATAGGAAAGACGGAACTTGGTCATGCTTTATACAGAAGAATTTCTCATCAGTATGATTTTCGTTGTTATATTGATGATGTAAGCAAAATTTTTCGATACTCTAGTACATTAGGTCTTCAAAAACAGCTACTTCGACAAGTCCTAAATGACCAAAATCTAGATATCTACAATGTTCCTGCAGGAACCGATTTGGTACAGAGAAGGCTGCGCCACACAAGGGCACTTATAATTCTTGATAATGTTGATAATATTGATCAGCTGAATAAATTGGCTTTGAAACCTAATCAGCTATGTGCAGGGACTAGAATTATCATAATTTCTATTGATGAACATATTTTGAGGGCGTATAAAGTGAATCGTGTTTACCGAGTGCAGCCTTTGACTTGGGACAATGCTATTCAATTGTTTTGCAAACATGCTTTCAAAGATAATTATATTATGAGTGAGTTTGAAAAGTTGAAATATGATGTATTATCATATGCTGATGGCCATCCACTAGCAATTAAAGTGTTGGGCTCTTTTTTGTCTGATAAAGATGTGTCGCAGTGGAGACGTGCAATAGCTATGCTAAGAGAAAGTCCAGATGAAGACGTTATGAAGGTGTTACGAATAAGTTTTGATGGGCTGAAGCCAATACAAAAGGAAATATTTCTTGACATTGCTTGTTTTTTCAGGGACGGTCATGAAAAGTACTATGTGGAGGAAGTTCTTAATTTTCGTGGATTTTATCCTGAAATTAACCTAAAAGTTCTCGTCCAAAAGTCACTTATAACCATTAAGAGCGGGTTAATTTATATGCCGACACTGTTGAGCGAATTAGGAAGGTGTATTGTTCGAGAAAAATCACCTAAGAAGCCAAGAAAGTGGAGTAGGTTGTGGGATTACCAAGATTTGAGGAAGGTTATGTTGGACTATAAGGTAAGATAGTTTTTGAGTATAGAAGTACCCTTGGTTGGCTTTTCTTATATAATCTTCAAGTACTTGAAAGGATCTAAGTTTTTCTTTGTTCCTTGCAATGTTGTAGGCTGCAGAAAATCTTGAAGCCATAGAAGTACATGTTGAAGATGAAATCGATTTTCAAGGAAAAACAATCCCGGTCGATGCTCTATCAAAAATGCGTCACCTTAAGTTGCTCCAATTTAGTCCCGTGGATTTTTGCGGAAGGCTTGATTTTCTTTCCAATGAATTAAGATATCTTAGTTGGTGTATATATCCTTTTGATTATTTGCCATCAAATTTTCAGCCAGACAACCTTGTTGGGTTGATCCTGAATGACAGTCGCATTAAGAAATTGTGGAAAGACACAAAGGTATTGTATATAACTATTCTTTTTTTATTTTAGTTTCTTTAAAAAAACGAAAAGAAGGGAAACTATCGTATGTTATTTCCTGTTTCTCTGATTAATGAAAGAAAGAAAAGGACGGTGAAGTATTATTATTAATTTTGTCTCCCACTGTTGGCCCTTCCCTTCAGCCTCTACCCAATTTGAGACTTTTGGATCTCTACCGCTCGGAAAGTCTCATCGAGTTACCACATTTTGGAGAGGCCCCAAATCTTGAGCGGCTATGTCTCAAAGGATGTATACAGCTCAGGCAGATCGATGCATCTATAGGTCTTCTAAAAAAGCTCACTGAATTGGATTTGAGAGAATGTGAAAATCTCATAAGCGTGCCCAGCAGCATACTGGGCCTCAATTCTCTTGAATATCTGAGTCTCTCTGGTTGTTCAAAACTGCGTATGCTTTTAGACGAACCAAGGGATGGAGAGCATTTGAAGAAGCTTTGTAGAGGTGAAGCTCCTATTCATTCCCTATCAGCATCCTCCATACTTCCAGAAGATTTGTGTAGTATCTCACGTATGCGTGAACTTGATCTAAGTTACTGCAGTTTACGTCAAATCCCTGATACTATTGGAAATTTACATTGCTTAGAATGGCTAAATTTAAGGGGAAACAAATTTGGCACACTACCGAGCCTGAAGGAGCTTTCCAAACTGTATTATATAAACTTGGCGAGTTGCAAGCAGTTGAAATGTTTGCCTGAGCTACCTTCACGAACTCACTTGTCATCAGAAATTTACCTGTCGCCATTTCGAGATGTCATCGGAAGCCGAGGAATAAACATTTTCGACTGCCCAGAATTAGTTGACAGGGAAGGGTGCAGTAGCATGTGTTTTTCATGGATGATGCAAATTGTTAAGGTGTGCACACTCCTTCCTTTCTTAACCCATCTCTATCTCTTTTGGTTTGTGTAGGAACTAAGTTATAGCTGTGCTTCTGCTACTAGGCCCACCATCAATACCCACGTTTTAGCCCTTTGCGTAAGCCTTGTGTTGAAAGTGTTATTCAAGGAAGCGAAATACCAAGGTGGTTCAACAATCAGCATGAGGGGATGGGCAATTTAATGATCATAGACACACCTCCGCTTATTCAGCATGACAATAATTGGATTGGCATTGCGTGTTGTGTAATATTCAGGTTTCATGACCGAATGATAACAACTTTGCCGATTTTTCCTCTGAGAACAGAACCACTACATACTCTGGGTGTTGAGATTCCATGGGTACCTTTCAATGAAGAAGATATGAAGACATCAGATCGCATCTGGCTATTCTATTTCACTCGACAACAACTAATCAGCCAATGTTGCGTGGGCCGCATGCCTGATCGTGCTGACTTCAAATTCAAATTTGAAATACGACGCACACCATTATTTGAGAGTAGGGTGAAGGAATATGGGTATCGTTGGGTGTACGAGGAGGATGTAAAACATTCCAACGTCACAACGATGCACAGCGGAGACTTGTTGCCTCAGAAACGAAAAGCTTTTGGCAATTGAAGAAAATAAGTAGCAGTCAGTCCAATCCTCTCTTCATAGGTTCCAATCATGGCAGAGTGAATTCCACTCCGAAAAGGTTAGAATAAATCCTCATTCTCTTTCTTTTTACTTTTCTAAATCAGCTGCTCATCCTTCACACTCTTTCTCACCTGCCATTTTATTTTTCAATATACCTTTGCACGTTCTTTTCCTTAGTGGAGCCTGACAATTTGTTAGTTCCAGTAATAACAGTGAAATTGCTGAAATGGAATTTTCCGAAGCTGAAGAAAACTTCAATTTTATTGCCAGAAATATTATATCAGACATTTTTTTTATTATTTAATTATGTAAATCCACGTATCAATTAATACAAATATAATTTTGTATTTACCTAAATGTGAAACATTAGATGCAAATGACAACGTATGACTATGTCTGAACTTAACAAGAGAAATTGTATTCATACATCCTTTTTATACTTTTTTTTCAAATAATAAAGAGATCAGAAGAAAGCGAGATAAATACAAAATATGATGAATGACGAAAAGAAAAACAAAATAAGAAAAAGAGGAATATCATATAACTTGTTATCATGTATTTTACTAGGAACAAGCATTTGAGTGGTTTGATGCTTTTTTCCCTCCTATATTGAATTTGTATTGAAATTGTATTATGCAGGTTACTAATCTTCATACTTCATTGGATTTGAGTAATAATAAAATTAAGTTTGATAACCAGCTGCATCTTGTCAAAATCATGGTATGAATCACATATTCAACTAGCCACCCTGTAAACCACTTTACTAAGAGATATTTCACTGCATGTTTTGTTAGTTATTATTTCCCAACACTAGAAGGAGAACATAAACAATTTGGAAAAGAACAAAATGTACTTAACATAGTCACACAAGGTAAATGCGAGTTGTGAAGTCAAGAACATTTAATCTATAATTTAAAAATGGATAACTAAATCAGATGCTAACAACCTAAGCATGTTTGAAATGTGTGGATCACCTGGTTTTCAAGACAAAAATCCTGGATAAATTGACGTTAAATTTTGGTAAAAACACATTTAATCGGAAGAAGAAACTTTGTAAAGCATTAAAAATATGCATGTCTTGTGTGTTTGAACGTCAATCCAAATGCTAACTTAATTTTTGTATTTTCTTTTAGGTGCATATGATTTTTTTTCCTTTTCATAAAACCCAAGTTTAATACCTTAAGAAAAATCAAGCTGCTCACTCCGTGAACCAACAAATATTGGTTTATCTTATTTAATTTAATCAATGAAGTTAGTTAAAGTTTGAACACTTATGAGAGAAAATTTTGTCTAGCTTTGTAACAAACATAGATAATTAATAGATGTTTCGAAGCAACGGGTATATATAGTTTAATTACGTTTTTTTTTATATTTTAATTTATAATATTGTTTAATTTAATTGAACATTCTATGATAATGATACATTATTAATGGCATGAAATGAAGGTCAAAGTTAATTTCACTGACATGGACAACTATATTTTTGCTTTTTTTGTCTTCTTTTTCTATATAAATATCTTACAAAAAATGAACAAATGATTGTATGTAATAATTTCTGGTACAACCATTGTTACTTCAGATGAACTAAAAAACAATTTTAATTTCACATACAACCATGGTTTTTCAGCTTACACTTGATTGTTGGAACCTTTTTTTACACATATTTTGCATTGAAATCTAATCCAAATTTTACAAGGAGTTCCAATATTGTCTCCCATCACTTGATCTGCATGAAAAGAAATATCTTGGGTTCTTTCTTGTACTAGGGTTTCTTGGCCTGCAACAATTACAAATTATTAGAAACAAAGAAAAAGCAAAAAAAAACCAAGCAAACGCAGTTTGCTGGCATATGCATTGCTGAGCCATAATAATGGCATATGTTGCACATTATTGTTGCATGAAAGCATGAGAATATAGAAAACCAAGAGAGAGATGGTTGTAGTTGTAGTACCTTTTTTAAGTATTTCTTGTGAAGTTTTAGAGCTGTCATGCAAGCCTTTTTGGCATCAAGATTTCCATTTACATCGTTCAATATCTAAGGAGAATTGTGTTAGAGGGCCGAAGAGGAAGGTTAAAAAACATGAAAATGAAAACTAAATTTGGTAAAGAATATTGCCAATATTGAGACAAATTTTATCATAAACTAAATGTATGCCCTAAAAATAAATAAATTATTCATTCAATGAAATTGTTTTTGTCCCTTTTATTTATATTAAGGTAATTGTTCTTTCCAATTAGTGTCAACCTAAACCCGAGAAATCGTACAAATAAGACAAACCTTGACAACATCATCCAAGCCTCGTGCTTGTTGAAGTAATATTGCACTTTTTTCTTTCAACACACTCGCAACAAGGAAAATAGATATAGGAAGAGGAGGAGTTTCACTGCTTTTTGCTCCATTTTTCATATTTTCTCTCTCGTATTTTCCGTAATGACGAATTGACTTTAATCTTCCTTTAGATTCCTCAGATTTGTCATCAGCTTCTTCATACATCCAGAACAAGTCAGGATCATATTCAAGAGCCCACATCATCTGTTTAATATATCAAATGATTAGTTGTCATAGCCACCATATAAAATATTTTTATTAGGGACAAATTCTTCAAACATGTAAAGGAAGGATCAAATGAATCCAGAAAACATGTAAAGGGTGAACTAACTTTTAAAAAAGTAACATATACATAATTGTGTTAATAAATTATAAGACTATAATTTTTTGTATATAAAAGATTTGAATTTATATATACAATTTTTCTTTTAAAAATTAGGAAAGGATGAGGCTCATACTTGCCTCCTTAATCCATCCCTAATATCCATTGAGAAAGACCAATATGTAAATTGGGTCCAGATTAGATGATATAATTAAGTATCTAACTTAGTAAAATATAATCCAAATAATAGTTATTTGCTTATATTTTAAATAGTATATCATTCGTTAAAATATAACAAAATGATAAAATATTTAAATTATGTAAAAATTTAGTCTCAATTTACATTATACGAACTTTAAATTAAATAATCAAATTAGGGGTCACCACAATATATAATACTTTTAATTTGCAATCGTGGCCTACTAGTGACCATCAAAATTGAAAGTTTGCGATAGCATTACGTGATATGACCCATGATTTAAAATATCAAAGGCAACCACAATTTTGTGATTGTGAAAGGATTAATAATACAATTTATAGCATAATAAAAATTAGAAATTATATTCATATTGAGGACATATTGTTTATTAGCCGAAAGTGACTGTTTCTTTGCTAATGAAATATGGTAAAGTAAATGAATATAAAGAAAACACACCTCCCAAAGGTATAATGAATCACAGAAAGAGAATTCTCGACGAAATAGAACCATTAGCATTCGAAAAGCGAATAGATAGTCACCCCCACCAAGATGCTCTGTGCTCCAACATTAGAAAATTACTCTATTACTTTATATTTCTCAAACAATATCAATTCAGAATAGGGGCATCAAAATACAAAAAAGTATTTAATACTATTCGAACGAATGTGTAATAGTGATCATAATGAAAGATGCATTGTTGAAGAGATATAACATCAATTGGCCTAGGTATTTTCCTGTCATCATTTTTTAAACACGAACACAAAAAAATTACATGTTTAGTAATATGTTTTGCTTGACCATAAATAAAAAGTAGATGCAAGAACATACCTATATGTTCATGAAGTTTTGGATCAATTACTTGAGTAATTTCAGCCAAATTACTTAGTTGAGCCTCAACCCCAACAGAGCTATCAGTACATCTGAAATTTCCTCGCTTTAAAATTAAACAACAAAGATCGTGAGAAACAAAGACGTAGTCAACTGTAATAAAAAAAAATTAAACACAATTTTTTTCCTAATCCATTGTTATCGTATATTTATGGAAAAAAAAATAAGTAAATTGTAATTTCATATACGTAAAAAGTTAATTCCATTTGTTTTAAATAGGCAATAGGGGGAGAAAAGGCACATTGACTTGGTTTTGTAATAGTTGAGAGTAGAGTTTACCAATCTACGCATGAGACGCTCAAAGCACCAAAACGCATCTGCTTCATCATTAAGAAGCATTATCATAGGAGAGCACAAGTCACTCATTCCTACAAATGTTATAATCATAAAGCAAAACTTACTTTAGTTGCAAATGGTTGAAAACTTGCTCATTTGATTAGGGAGATCTAAAACAATTTATTAGATGAAGAAGATTAAGGAATTATTATCTCCATTAAGTTGGGTGGAAAGTAATTTGAAGGGTTTAATAAACAAGTATCGATTATCCACTATAAAAAGAAGTGACAATGTGATTATCAGAAATGAAGGTATTCTTAAGCTATTTAAGACCCATTGTACTTGAACAAAACAAGAATTATGTTATTAAGATGAGTATGATTTCAACAAACGTCAGTAGGAGTTTCTAAGTATAATATTGGCCAATGTATAAACGAGCGAGGTAGTGTATAAAATATTTAAGATTCAAAGGAACTCACTCACCTTGACAATAGCCCACATCTGTATCTATTCGAGCATAAACAGCAAGAATATCCCATAGTTTTGACAAATTCTCCTTTTTCTCATAAAAAACCAACGTCCTATCAGTGCGTTTCACGTCAAGACCTGAAAATGTGTTTGCTCAAGAATTAGGATCATTTACATAAACTTTAAAATTAATGCTGACAACTCATACCCATGTCAAGAAATCAAAGCCAAAGTACAACTTAACCAAGCCAAACAATTGTAACCCGAAATCAATTTAAATTTCTACAATACTGCACTACATGCATAAATTGAAAAATATCACGGGAACATGGGCAAATGATTAGAAATTACATATATATAAAACATGCAAAATGGATAATGTGTTTTCAATATATGCAATGAGAGGGTGCCCAACTATCTCGTGGAGCATTGATTATAACAATAAAGTAGAACTAGCAAACTATAGAACATAGAAATCTTGAAAATATCAATTGAGAATTACTTAAAAGTGTGTGCATGTGCTTGCTTACAGTTAGATTAAACAAAAATATTTCAGATTGGAGAAGAGTGAGGTTGAAATTTTTTTAAAATGATTGAAATAGCTGTACCTATTTGATGGAGCGTTAACATCCATTCAATTACTGCCTTGTCTGTCACCTTTTCTAAGTTATTTGCGACAGTGTTACCATTGGTAGCATCTTGAGGTACAATCACCCCATTTTCTGGATTATTTTCTAATAAAACCAATGGATCTTGAATTGGTGTCCCATCTTCAGTAATTACAGGTGCTGTGATAAATCTACCACTTCCCACAAGAGGAAATAATTGACGACATTCTTCCTTCCATGTTGCATATTGCTCTCTAACAATATCAACATAAAAAGTTACACAACTAATCATGTATTAAATTTGGAATTAAAATGGTTATAATCCCAAATTATAAAATCATTATATTATCCCTTTTTAATGGAGGTGCAAGTAATTCTTACTACGATTTTGAAGATATATATGAAACCTGTAGTTGCATGTATGATTATAGTAGCCATTCCATTTTTATTTTTAAAGGGAAAAATAGCCCTTGGAGGTTGTGGTGACATTTTAACTGTTTTATAAGATGAGAAATGTCATAATTGAAGGGAATGTTTACCTTCGACGTTGCCTTAGCTCGTCTCTTTCCTCAAATGTACTCTTGGGCTCATAGCATCCGAGTAGAAATTCCCAAACTTCTCCTCTAATTGATGGATGGATTCCCTAGTTTGAAAAATATGATAAAGTGAGACAAATTAATCTTGAAATTTCCTCTGCATAAACTATGACCATAGCAAGCTACTATTTCAACTTCTACACTAGACTCCTTATATGCATTTAAAAATATCTACCATAATAATGGGAATTAGAGCTAATGTTCTAAAGGAATCCATGACAATCCGTCCCCACAAAAGATTACGTATTAATGTTCTAACGCTAAGAAATAGTTTGACCCATCTTTTAATAACATGATAAAGTTTTCCTATGCACCTAATAATCAACCATCGAAACGAAGCATGAGAAAAAAAAAATACATACCCTCAAACATAATAAAGCAACATTTTAATCATAAGAATGTAATTACCCCTCGGTGGATTCGGCTTAGAGTCTTGCCTATATCCAGATATCCTTCTGGAGAAAATGCTGCATGCCACTTTCTGGCACTTAATGTTTTGCCAGCCTGCAACGTGTAACGACAATAAGCTTAAATTTAAAGAACATTATACCAATTTAATAAAAATGAAAATCAGAATAAATCTGATAGTTCTCAATTGAAGCACATAACGGTAACCTAACGACAAATTTCTATATATAGTTCAGAAATTTGTCACGATCCATCATAAATACTTACCCAGTGATAAAATTATTCAACAAAGATTTTATCAATACATACCTAATGCAATTCATAATAGGCCAAAGATAGTTAACTATATACCTATTCCAAAAGTTACACTCATCAGAATCATTATTCACGATTTCTATTTATAATATATTTACATGTGAGTTTCAAATTTAATTGTAGAGAAACCACCAGGTTAATTATCTCCCATTTGAACAAAAAATTCATGTAGTTAATGACTTCTCAAACTAAATATCCAATCAATAATAAACTATTTTTTTATTTAAAAGAACCCAACATTTATAAATGATCAATGTATTCATAAAACAAAATTCAAACTAATATTTAAAGCATTTCTCATAAAAGATTAACATAATAATTTTTTGGGAAGAAAAAACCGACCTTGATCCTAAATCGAGACTTGGGAACATCGGTGCACTCAGGACGAACTTCATAGAAAGAATCAGCGGGAGCTCCAGGATCTCTCCACATCCCAAAAGGCCAAAGGTATTCTTAAGAAAAATATGTGAAAATTAAAGGTCAATAATTCTGATATGAATATCCTTGCCTACACCCAGGAGCTGGACCCCTTTGAAATGATTAAGCAAACCCAGGAAAAAAGAATACTTCGGTGAAGAATTCAAAGGGGATCCAACCAAGGTTCAATAGGGAGGACCAAGTTCTAAACAAAACAAAAAAAGACCCTTTTTTTGAAAATTTTTATTTATGCATTTTATAGTTTATTTAGAATTTATGGTTTTATGGGGTTAACGTACAATGATGATTGTGTTTGAGGAAGGGAAGTCCTAATACTCTGTCAAAAATGATTGTCAACCTCACATATCTCAACACTGGCCGTTTAATGCGTAAATTTACACAAACCACTCTTTCTCTTTCTCTCTCTCTCTGTAATTTTCCATTTTTATTTCACTTTTGTTTGTGCATTTTTGTGTATGATGTGTTATGGTTTGGTTATGTCCAAATTCAAGTTTCTTAGAAGAAGTTTTGTATACTTATTTAAGTAAACAATCTTGTTTTACATTATAATAATGAACATGAGCAAGTGTTTATAATTGGTCTAATTTTAGATACGATGGATTGGGTGGTTAAACATGGAAAGAGCCCAACCAAGTAGAGTTGGCATGAAAACTGTGATATTTGATGTGAATTTCTGCTACTTTTGAGTTTGGGCCATACTGCAACGTTGGCCAATGGTTAGGGCGCCATCATCAAGGCAAGGAGTGATAATCACTTGTTAAAATCAGGTTACTTTTATTTTAAAAAAAAAAATTAACGAAATTTTTAAATATTTCTTTAAAACTACGATTTCCCTCAAAGAACCAATTAAATAAATAAAATCAATTAAAAAAGCATTGGAATATATCATGAATCATGTTAATGAGTGTGTTTTTTATTTTTAATAAAAAATTATTTTTAATTTTTTAACCTGTGTCTTGGTTACCATTTTATTTAAAAATCCAAAACATTCTTGAAGGAAAGTTGGATCAACATTGAAGATGTTTTCACTTGTATGACTACTGCACTATTCTCACTCGCTCTACAATACATTTATTTTGTTATTTTTCATGTTTTTAATCTCTCTGATTAATATATATATATATATATATATATATATATATATATATTGATTATTTATCTTTTTCACAAATCGTATCATATTCCTATACATTTCCACAAAAATATTAATCTCAGCCTAATATCACAAAAGCTAATTTATTCACTACCGATAAGGCAAGTGATTATCTTTTTATATAAACTTTTGAAATATTCAAAACATGCAAAGCCTTTTTAAGTTAGTGACGGAAATGAAAACTTTGGCTGCTACATATGTCTCAATGCATTAGATGAAAATCATAGCTGAAAAAAGTAGATAAAATTTACCAAAGTAGAGTAGATCATAAAGGAGATCGAGAAGGCTAAAGAGTAAAAAGTAATCAAAGACGTAGAAAAATGCTTGCATGGTGTTACTCTAACACGTATTGGTGAAGGACCAAATAGAATATATGCACAACATTAATCATCATTGCCGCCACAAAAAATAAGCTTCATGTTAAAACTGAAGAGTATGGAACAGTTTGTGTGATTAGCTAATTTAGCCCCATATACAAGACATGAATATTCTTGATAACACTGAAGCAAAGCACAAACCCACATCAAGTAATAAGAAAGATTCAAAAAGAGCTCATACTCCAGATAATAAAGTGAACTTATGCTTTGCACCAGAATCAAAGTAAACCCAAATAGAAGGGAGAATAATAAAAAGTTGTAATAGCTTCCCTACCACAGTTCCATGCAACTTTCACCTACATAAACCCTCTTGATGGTTCTATTTCTGTCATCCCTCTAGCTTCAACATTCCTAGCATTTGGGTTGGTTGCAAATTGCAATACCCATCTTCCATCTTTTCAATTGCTCTTTGATACTCTCCCATGGCCACCTTCATTTTAAAGTCTAATAAAACAGTTCATGCCTTTGGCTGGCTCTGCCTCTTGCTGATGGTGCATAAGGGTGCTTCCTATGATTTCATTGTTGGTGGCCAAAAGGGCTGGAGTGTTCCCAGTGATTCCAATTTCAATCCTTTCAATCAATGGGCTGAAAAGAGCCGTTTTCAAATTGGAGACTCCCTTGGTGAGTTCTGATTTATTTGAATCATCTATAAATCTTATTCACAGTTTGGGACATTTTCAATTAGATCTTAATTGGATGACATTTATATTTATACTTGTATTAATGGATTATTTCTGGTGTATCATAGATACATGTTCTAGCACAAACTATCACTTCTTCCAAGGATGGCAAAAAAGTAAAGAATAGGACGTGATGTACACAATTTTAAGACTAGAATATGAAAACCTTTATAATAAGCAATATGATAAGAAGTGTCAAAATTTTCAACTGTAAAGGAAAATACTTACCCAAGATTTCCATTTTTACCTATGTTTATTGCAGTGTTCAACTACCAATCTGGCCAAGACTCAGTTCTTTATGTGAAGAGTGAAGACTATGCCAGTTGCAACACCGGTTCACCTTATGCAAAATACTCTGATGGTCACACAGTCTTCAAACTAAACCAATCAGGGCCTCACTTTTTCATAAGTGGAAACAAAGATAACTGTCAAAAAAATGAGAAATTAACAGTGATTGTGCTAGCTGACAGGAACAACCATGGCTCGTCAAACACCAACCAAACAAAATCTGCTTCTCCACCCTCACCACAATCATCATCATCACCTTCACCAGCACCTACTGGTCAAGAGGGTCAATCTCCACCTTCAGATACAAACCAAACACCAAGTCCTGCCAATGAACCTCCCCCTCCTAATGCTGCTGCTTCAGTCTTTGTCTCCTTTGGTGGCGCTGTTGGGGCATTCATGGCTTCATTTCTGATTTTATCTCTCTAAGTATGTTTGAGTGGTTGAGTATTAATTTCATTTTTTTCCTACAATTTTTCTTTTCTGTTCTTTGTTTCCTATACTTTGAGTTCAGTAATGTTGAACTGGTTCTTTGGTTCAAAGTTGGGATGATGTTTGATATTTGTTTGTGAAGATTGAATAATAAGATGGCAATAATTTACCCTTTTGTGTGATTAATGATGTAAAATGTTGTACATGTTGAAATGAAATTAAATCATTTTTATTTGATTCACCGGATCAATGATGGATGATGGATAAGTCATAATTTACCCACATCATCCTCTCTCTATATAAATATACACAGAGAGAGGAAATTTACTACTAAATATAATATTTATATTTTCTATAATTTATTAAATTTTAATATGATCATATAATGTTTAAATTATTTATTTAGACAATTTAATTTAATAATACTATGTGCATGAACAAATTTAAAAATATATACGTAATTTTGAGCTCTGCAGTGCACAAATGTTATTAAATTAAATTATTTAAATAAATAATCGAAATATATTATATGACTATTTTAAAATTTAATAAGTTTATAAATTTAAAAAAGATGCAAGATTGTAATTATTAATAATAATCATACTGTGCAAGAAACAATTACTAATTTATTTTTAAAATTAAAGGCACGCTTTACTACCTACAAGTGTTTTTCAGAGCTCCATTCACTCGCAATTTCATTTTGCTTAAGAAAACTCTTACAAAGCACTCGAGGAACATCATCAGTTCCAGTGATGCATGACAAGGAAATTCCTACTGAAAAATATAATAAAAGAAGCTAGCACATCAACTCTTCTGTTATATTCCTTTCTTCTCTTTCTCCCTTTCTCCTTTGGCAGAATAGAAAATGGGATCGAAGCCACACCAATCGACCATATTCGTCTCAAAGGACACTGCAAATAGCAAATGACCGAAAGCAAATCGGCTCCTTTGATCCAGAGGCATTTTTTTTAGTGAAATTATTAGGTGCTAAACTATGGTCATCATCACTTGACACCCAATTTTACAATCAAAATTAATAGGTACTCTTTTTTCAATCATAAAAGCAAGAACAAGAATCTACAGGAGAGGTTAATAATAGGAAAAAAAAAAAAAGAATCTAGTGGAGGCAAATGTCGGATGCATTATGCATCTCTTAATCCTCATCCTTGTCATGGTAATTTTACAGAAGTAGCTAGAAAAATAATATTTGTATGATTTATAGTATAGCTAATTACCTATAGAGAACAAACGGTTTAACAAACTCGGTATAACAAAATCAGAAACCCTAAGTTATACAAAATTTTCATCTATCTATCAAAAATTTTTCCCAAGCTCAACCTTCTTCATTATTCTAATAGTGTTGTGCAGAATCGAATCCAAAATTCCAGCTACCTGAAATCACAAAAAAGAAAAGACTTATTAATGAGATAACTACAAAAATAAAAGCATGAAACAACAATATCTGGAATAATGGCGAATACAAACCGTGAAAACACCCCCAATAATGGCACAGACATTTGTAATAAAATGTGAAAAAGACTTCTGGTTTTCTGTAATTAAGACCTGCTGACAGAAACAAATATTGTAAAACCTAAAATAAATTTCCTAGAAGCAGTACACAAATTTATTCAAAACTACAACTTCAGTAGGCAAACCTGCATGGGGGAGAGCTCAAGATGAAACTTTGCAACAGGAATGTCTACACTGTGTGCCACACTGCTGTGCGCTGTGTACTCGTACTCCTCAATTAATTTATAACCTTTTCTAGCCACTACCTCTGTTTTAACTATCTGAATATAATGCTCTATCTGCAGAAACATGAGTGCTAGGAGTATCAGCCATTTAGAAGAAAAGGAAAATAGGGAAGCAAGCACAAAGACCGATACATCCATTCTATCTGTATGTAGTATCTCACTCTTGCAAATGGATTTAAACATGCCATTATGCGATTAAACAATCTGATATCAGCCAACCAAAGTCAAATAGAAAAGTTATCGCTAAATTATAAGTTTTTCATATAAAAATATTGAACTTACAGTAACATTCGCTTCTAAATCACGAGTATTGATGAATGACCGACCATTAAGCCTGTCATGGCTACTACCTATGTATGGTATCAGGCGCTTCACATCACTCATGGCCCTCGGTGTCAATTTCCTTCCAAAAGACAGGTTGTTTATGACATGTGACATGTTCATCTGAGAAGCATCAAAGGAATGGGCATCTGATCTAGCTGAGATGATCAAGTTTCCTGGAACCTGCAAGAAGCAAAACAACTTATATTTCCTTCAACATTTTTTAAAAATTTAGGGGAAGAAACAAGAACACGTAGCTTATTTATTTCACTAACTAATGCAGCTTGTACTAGAAACAAAATATATTTACACGCTGTATTAATTGTATCAGCTACTTCCAGAGCAATGTATGGCTGACTTAATTCATGGTTACATCTGAAAACTATGAAGGAATAGGAGTTTTTATATAAATTACGGTTGAAGGTTAAACCTTCACCTTTTGGGAGTTTTACCTTTTTTACACGCACATATCCCTCTACTCTACATCCACCTGCTGATGGTGCTGGCCTTTTTGTATTCTCCGCAGCATTAGATTTATCCTCCAAAGCTAGCTTTTGAGATTCTGTTGGGAGAGATGCCACTAAATTCTCCATGAACTGCAGGCAGAAAAGAAGTGACATTTAATCAAATAAAAAAAGCATCAAGAAGTCTACTTTCAAGTTAAATTTGGTTCAAATTATGCTAACTTAAATATAGTGTGAACCTTGACTAGGCTTTCTGTATCACGGTCTCCATAATAGGACTCGTGTTCATGATGTCCATGGTCACTTCTGAAGGACAAAAAGCAGTCAACAAATTAGATTTAATAATAAATTCCAAAATTACAGAAATCCAATCACTGACAAGCATAGTAAAGTATTCAGGATGTGTAAAATATCATAAAGATATGGCTAAAATAAATTGAAAGACTTCTCAATACAATGGAGAACTAAACATCATAGAAGAATCAACATTGTCTACTAGAAATTTGATTCATTGGGAAGTTCAAGTCAAGGAGGGAAGTCCCAGTAACTTCTCAAAGTTAGCTTTAATTACTACAAAATTGTTCATCAAGATGATTTTTCTTTGAATACAGCTGATCCTCAGGAAATACAGCAGCACCATATTATGCAAATGATTTTTGTGACCTGCTCTGGGCTTACACCCATCTTATTTTCTTTTTCAACCAAAATGTTTGAATCAGAAATTTAAAACAAATATATCTATATTAAAACATGTTGAAATTATGGGAATTTAGGAATTTCAGGAAGAAAAGAAGAGAATAGACATTATTTGCCATAATGAGATCCAAAGTGACGACATATTATTTGGGTACAAGAGACATGCCTATACACAACCCTAAACTATGCAGGCTAAATAAGGAAATAGGGAATTGGGAAATAACCAAATCAAATAATAATGGAAATACGATAACAAAACAAAATCAACTATTCGTATCTGTTTTCACAAAATGATTTCATAATACTAACCATTTGCCAATGAAATATATAGTCCTTTCCCTTCCCACCTATTTCAATCCATCATTTTCATCTTCATGTTCCACTACTGCTTTAAATATTGGCTTTCATCACTAATCTCATTCTAGATTTGAGTTTTAGGTCCAGTCCATTCCCATATTTGATGGGGAAAAATATCTTCAGCATTAGAGTAGTGTTAAATTTTAACACAATCACAAGATTTAGCATATAATACGTTAAAAAGGATAAAACAGCAGATGAGCAGATGTTTGGTATCATCCAGAAAGCCAAGGCAAAAAAAAAAAAAAAAAAACTAAAAGGCTAAAACATATGACCTGTATATTATGAGGTTTGCGCAAGCATAACTTGATGATATCAGAATAATAACATTAAATTAATAATCATACATAATACATAACATATATATATATACAGTACAGATGATTGTTAATTTAAATATTCAATAAGAGGTAGGAATTCTTCATAAAAGATCTAGTTGATCAATTGGTTTTACCTAATGACATGATTACCTGACATCACTTCCTTTACGAAAGATTCGAATTGATGGATACCCTTGTATGTGATGCCTGTATATTGATAATACTGAGATATAGATGAATGGCAAATATATGGAAAGTAACAAGAGTTCAATAACAATATGAACAAACAAAAAGACCAAAAAAGTAATAAAATATATTGAAGAAAAAATAATGTCATGCTCAAGTGAGAAAGTAACGAAAAAAGTGTTTGAATTTTGCCTTCAATCCATGATAAGAAGATCTACAAAGCCTATTCTATAAAAAGTTTTCATGACAAAGCAGATTCTTGACATGATTATTTCCTATCTACAATGATAGAAGACAGCATGCACAAAAGAAATTGAAAACTTTAAACCCAAAGAACACAGCAACATGCAATTTCAAGTATGTCCAATTTCTGTCATAAGAACAGATTTTTATTAAATGTTTCAGTTTATGCATTTCTCTTGAAGGACTATGTATCTGGGAGAATATTATGAATACTAAAACTTGGTTTGGATGAGGTGAGTAGAGGGAATATCATGCAGACCGAAGACCTAGCTGCAGTGCACCTGATCATATATACACAAGAGAGACAGAGAGTGTAATGACGTGCAATTCATGCATTAGTTTTTATAATGTAATTTTTTTTAAATCATGCATTTAGATTGAATTTTATTATGTATTTTACTTGTTTTGTTTAAGTGACTAGTTTTATGTGTGTTTTTATGTAAAAGAGTAGATTAAAGATAAAACTTGGATAATCTGGAAGTTGAAATGAAGAGAACGAAATTTAGGAAAATTTTGGATGCTAAAATGGAAGACTAAGTCTGGGACAATCAAAGTGTACAAACACAACCAGGTTATGTCGCAGGATGCACTTGTGTTTGCAATACTAATAATACTTATTAAAATATATTGAGCTCTCTCTAGAAGCAAAAAGAAAGCATTGAAGGCTTATCTATAAAAATCTTAAAAAAAGAGAGAGAGAGAGACTTTTGATGGATGGGATGCACAAGTCTATTGTGATGGGAAAGTGATATAAGCGTGGGAATGGGGAGGGCGAGTGAATAATATCTTAATTAACTTGTTTTTTCCAAACACATCCTACCCTCATACTCATTGTCAACTTATTGTTGATATTTGTCTGGGTTAGTGAAAAAAATTATATATTTCAACATTTTAAGGAATTTGAAAACCCCTATTATTAATTTTTTATAACAGTTCTCCAAAACTGTTACTAGCATCACATATGCACTTTGAAAAATCTACCCCACAGCCTAAATTTCCTCCTGCAAATTGATAAGGTTCATGTTATTACAAGGATCAAAATGACAAATCCACTTCTTATTTCACACTTGCTGTTGCACTTGCTACCTATGACAAGAACCAAAATGGTGGGCCCATCCACATAAATTTATTTTGAGTTTGTCTTCATGTTCTTTCTTACAAATCAAACAGGGTATATGGCAGTTAACCACAATTTTCTTTCCAGGAATGTTATTTCCTCTTTTTCCTTCCAAATAAACAAAACTTATCTTGGCCCTTTACCTTTCTTCACTCATGTTCATCAGTAGCATAGCCTTTGTAGTTAGAGGAGCGTTAAGAACATACTCTCAATTATTAGTTTAAAATTTTAAATTTATTGGAAACTACAAAAGTAAGAGTGAAACTCATTAAATTAGGAGTGAAGCCCACAAAATTTGTGATTTTTAATAAATTTCATCCAATACTCAAGAGTGTTTTGAAAGAATGTGTTAGAGTGTTTTGCTAGCATTTCTCTAAAGTAAGACAAGCACTTCTTTCCTAGCTACAATTTTGCAATTTTGTCTATATATGATTCAAAGATGAAAATTATAAATGAAAGAAAACCAAATTTTATGAAATAATGGATATAAAAATTTAAGAAAAAGAAAAACTAAGTCAACTGTAAGTAAGAAGCATAAGCATTTGGAAAAATATAAAGAAAGAAAAGAAAATATAACAATAGTACCTCCTGCATAAATCACCTTCTTGAGTACAATCTATTTTAGCTAAAAGGATACGCCCATCCATTTCTGGATCATATCTAAATAAAATGTAATCACACACATTAGTATAGTTATGATAAAAAATGACTCTAACAATTCCACAAAGGAGATGAGAGTTCACCTTTTAAAATGTAATTTCAAGAAGTGTGAGGAACAACAATAATAACGTACCTCTCTTTTATAATTTTAGCCGTCTTCTCCCATGAAGGTTTCTGAAAGAAACAAGTAGAAGATAAATTCAAGTAACGAACTTAGGATCTCTTAATCACACCGTCATCCAATAAAGGGAATAACTTTTACAAAATTCTTTCATTTGACAAAAGCAATTGGCTAACAATATTATATAGACAGATGATATGTGGCTATAAGCATCTTTTGCTTGACATATTTAATATTCTGCATCATGACTTCACATTAGTCACTACTAAAGTGTAACTGTTGGTGAAGATGCATTACACATTTGAAATAGCCTTTGTCACTACTATTGGGCTTGTATTGAAAGGGGAATTTCTCTATTAAGGAAAAACAAGGCATTGTTGAAAGAGATACAAAAAAATCGATCTATTTAGGAAACAACAAATATATCAGATACCAATCTTATTTCCTGAAGCAAAGAAGAGGAAAAGAATTATGACAGAAATTATTACCAAACGTTGACACCAGGAACACCAAGGTGCATAAAAATTTACAACTGTAACAGGAAACCTGCAAAAGGATCATTAAAAATGGTGTAAACAATGCATATTACAGTGAAATTTAAGTGAAATGAGGGAAAAGGTACTCATGAGCTCTCACATAGCTAACACAGAAAAATTGAAAGAGATAATCTCAGAAGCATTCACTTACTGATGAACATATTTATCAAAATTATGTGACGTGAGTGAAAAAGAGCCTTCAACAGACTCTTCATCTACTTCATCATCATGCTTAACAGCATTTGCAGCTGTTCCTGAATGAAACTCAGCACCAGTGGGTCTTAAATTTGAATCAATAGAAAACTTACGAACTGTTTTTGTTATATTGAGCCTGTTCTGAAAATAAGAGGTGAAATATTAAGGACTAAAACATCAAGGAGTGAGATAAAGCATCGAACCATAGACAACAATAAAATGAATATGAAAATGGAGTGATAGAAACTTACTGTTCCCAGCACATCACTCACATCAACTGATGCAAACTCACATGAGAGTGCAGGAAAACTACAGAACAAGTTGAAGCCATCAGCCAGAGAGAGAGGGAGATAAATTTGCAAATAGTCAATAAATAAACTTAAGATACTGAGAATAATACTATGACTAGCTAAAGTGTCTAAATGAGTTTGGAAGAACTGGAAATTCTTAGAAAAAATGATGAGCTGACAGAGGGAAGTCATCAATCGGGAATGCTCTGACTTCATGTCAATTTCACAAACCATCACTATGCATCAAATATTGATATTGACTGCCAGCCTTTCAATAATCACTTTGTAAGACCCCCATCCCAACTCCCTATTTCAACCATGATCTGGTTTGAAGCTGGCACAGTTTCATTGAAAGGTCTTCCCCTCTTCCTTCTAAAAGTGAATTTCAAGCTTCTAAAATGTCAAACTACAAACCATTTTGTTTAATAAATTAACCAATAGTTTGCAAAAAACTTATCAAAATTATCTGTTAAACAATTCTGCTTTCTTCTAGCAAGAGTCTCAATTTGCAAATACAAGTAAACAAAAACTTGCATTCCTTGCTAATGCTACATGACAATACATGCCAAGACTAAAGAAAACCACAAAGCCACCAATAATTAAGATAAAATAGTAACCAATAGTTAAGAAGTGAGCATCTACCATCTTTAAAAAACATCCTATGTAACCAAAGAAAGCAAATACCTACATATGCTTCTACCTGATATTGAAATCTATACGCAAAAAGTCGCCATCAGAACTCTTGTCAACAATCACAGACGTAGATGTGCTAACAGACAAATAATTACTTAGTTCCTGAAACAGAATCACAATACAAACATCAATATGAAAGATAACAACCAATTCAAATATCAAATTTTCACAAAACTAAGTAAATGGTGTTCATAATTAAACGTGTAAGCAGTAGCTGACCTAATGGAAATTTACAACACAATTTTTATGTTCAACAATTCACAAGTCATAAACATGATGGGGAAGCTACTAACCATTCCAAATAAAAACATAATGGACAGAGCTGCCACTATGGATAATCCTGCTCCTGATAACGACGCCTCAGTCAAATCTCTCGGGATTTTTCTGTCAAAAGGAAGTCAACAACATGAACATAACAAAATTATTAATAATTGTTTTTTTTAAGGAACAGAGACATTCCCATATTATTCATAAAATCTACATCAGAAATGGTAATGCCTATAAGCCCATTCCCTAAATTATCAATAAAATTTAGAAAAAATCACAATAGAAGACTCAAATTTAGGTAATGAACATGTTCATTTCGCACATAGACACTGAATAAATGACATTATCTTGTTCTCTTACGCTATGCACTTCGGTCCAAACCTTTCGTTATCTTAAAGTGCTTAACAACGAAGAAAACGAAATTCAACCAAAATTAAAGCAGAAAACAAGTAGTGTGCAAATTCGCAAGCAAATTGAAACCGAAATGAAGTTAGGGAGATTCTGACCTGTAAAAATCAACGGATTTGAGTTTGCTTGCAGAAAACATGGTGGTAAAACAGTGGAATCAGAGAGAGAGAAAGAAAACACTCAGATATTGAGAGCGTAGTGGCAATAGATGATAGATCGAAGGAGCTTCTTCTTTTTCAGCTGTAGCTTCTTCGTCTTTCCCTCTCTCCCTCTCTTCTTCTCTGTAAGGGAAACGTTGGAGTATTAAATTAGATTTTGGACTTTTTATTTCGGTGTTAAGCATCTAAGCCAATATATACATACATACATATATATATATATATATATATATATATATATATATATATATATATATATATATATATATATTGGACTTTTTATTTCGGTGTTAAGCATCTAAGCGAATATATATATATATATATATATATGTATATATTACTAAAATTGAGTTTTTTTTAAGGTAATTTTTTTATAAATTAAAAAAATATGTCTTTTTACATATGAAATAATTATCATAATTCATTTTATATTATATATATGCAATAAATAAGATGATAAAATTCAGTAGTCTATTTTAAAAAATATATAAATATTTTTAATTTCTAAAATATTAGAAAAATTACAATCATTAATTTAAAAATAATATAAAATATTCTTTTTAATTTATAAGTACACTAAACACTTTTTTTAATTGTAATTTATTAATTGTAAGTTACAAATTTTAAAGTGTGTTTATAAATTTTCATTAATATGTTTATAGATTATTTATTGATAAGGTCAATAAAATTTTAATTTTTATTAATTAGTCTTTAGACTAATTTTTGTTGACTATCAAATATGTGAATTATGTTTTAGTTTAATTTGTAATATTAAATTTGAATGTTATTATGGCTCACATTAGTTATACTTAACTTAAATAGAATTATCAAAGGTATTAAATATTCAAAGAAAAAATTTTACATTTTATATAAATCTTATCTGGCTTTTAATAAAGAATACATGTATTTAAAAAATAAAACTAATTTGTAAATAATATATATTTTTTAGTTAAAATAAAATAAAATTTAAATGCATTATAATATATGTTATTTTAAAATAAAATTTAAATTTTATTTTGGTAATTTGTACCATTTTTATAACATGATAAAAGCACATATAGTAATACTTAAATATTATCTTTTGAAGTGTTTTAAAAAATTTTAAAATGTTTCTCTTACTATTTTAAAAGATAAACATTAAATAAATATATGTAGTAGAGTTTATAAAACTAAAAAATAAGGGAATTTAAAAAAATTTCATGAATATTCATTAATTCGTATAGAAAGGATAAAAGAGATTAATTCAAAAAATATTTAATAGGGGATGAAAATAGCTTTAAATATAATATTTTCTTCAAAATATTATATTTTCATATAATTTTATGTACATATTTTTAGTTAATTAATTTTATTTTAATAATTTTTTTTCTCATTATACCTTTTTACCTGAAGTATAAACAATTCTCAGATTTTGATTATATTGTTTTATATTCAAAACTCACAATCCGAAATGTTAAAATTCACAATAAGAAAAATCTCAAATTTTATTCTCTTCAAATTATAATATAATGTTTTATAAATTATTTTCAGATTTTTTCTAAATTTTTTATTTCTAAACTTTTAAAATTATTTTGTTTTAATTTCATTACAAATTCTATAAAAGATAATAATTTGAGAATTCTCAGTATAATAAAATCCACTAAGTGAAAAGCTTTTATAATTTTAAATAAACTTAACAAACTTGAAAAATAAAATAAAAGAAAAAATAGTACATAATTTAAATTAAAAAGACTAAAAAAATTAAGCTAAAAATAAGGTAAGCGAATTAACTAAGGGGGAAAAAAATATAAACTTTAAAAGGAATTAAAATTACAATTTTGGCTGTTAAGTTGTATATTGGACTACACTTCTAAACGTTTCGAATTACATAAGTTGATTTTTTTAAAATAACAAAGATATAATCTATATAACCCCTTGTTTCTTATAATTTTAAACTAAATCTTATTTTACAAACTACAATAAAGATACATTTTATTGTATGGTCAGAGATTAACTCTTTTTTCTTATACATACTAAAAAAATTAAAATTCAACTAATAAAAGCAACAAACTCAATTATACATGTATTATATATACTTCTAAGGATTATTAATGTATTATGCCAATCTTAATTAATCGAAATGAATAAAAAAGACTCAAGCGGGTTTAAATTTGTATTTAATTTAGAAGAATATATTAAATTGAATACAAAATCTCAGATTTAATTTCATTTTTAAATAATTAATAAAATAGAATAAGAAAGAGTCTCATCTATTCAACACTACAGAAATTTTGGTATTAAAAGGTACATGCGTCATCTTTTCGTAAAGTTTATTTATAGTTAAAAAAAAAAAAAAAACACTTATCTCTCTTTTATTTTTTATTGTCTTTAGTATGCGTTTTTTCCCCTAATTTGAATCAAGTATTTTTTACTAATATTTTTCTAAATCTAAACAAATGGTACAATTAGATGAGAAAACAAAAATGTGCATGCTAAGCAATTATGTCCAACAGAACCTCTTGAACTCTATTATTTTACTTTTAATATATTATTAATGTAAAATTTTCACATTTTTTAAAAAATAAATAAAATCTCAATATAATTTCAAAATAACTACAATAAAAATTAATAATCTATAGTTATTAACGGTATGCAAAATTTTTATTCTGTGCATACATTGAAAAAAGATAGAGATCTTCATATCCCCCACGAAATGGTGACAAGACTCCGCACGAACATAGCAGCCACCAGCTGATTAAAAAAATATGAAGGGTAAGTAATATATACACAATTTATTTAAATTTTTTTTAAAAATAACTTACCTAAATTTATCGATAAAATTTATTAGAATAAGTTTAAAATAAATTATGTTAAAAAAATTATTAAATTTAAAAGGTTAAAATTAATTTATAAATCCCTTATATTTTTCATAATGCCGCTAAACCAGAACACGTCAGCGTCATCGTTTTTTATTGGTAATTGTTATCATCATCTTATAATTCTCATGCTGCTATCATTACTTGAGCTGAATCAGCATCAGCATGAGCTGTTAATTCTATTACGGCATCGTTTCCATTCAACGTCAAGAGTAAGACACAATCCTGAGCAGCAGCAACTTTCGATTCCGAAGAAACAATGGCGAGTCGCATGATCCTCGGAGCAATTAAGAAACGCCCCGTTTTGTTCCCCGCATTCCCTGGAACCTCCATTTCCTCTTCTCGATACGTAATTGTTTTTTAAAGATGAAACTTGTTCGATTCGTTTCTTTCTTCAGTATATTATCATTCACTGTGCTATTGTTGTTGAATTGGGGGTAGGGTAGCACGCTCGTTGTGGCGGAACACGAAGGTGGTGCTGTCAAACCTCCTTCTCTCTCTGCACTTGCGGCTGCCACGTGTCTTCCTGATAACGACTCTTCCGTTTCTCTCCTCTTGGCTGGTTCGGGTCCTTCTCTTCATCAAGCTGCTTCGTATGCTGCTTCTTGCCACCCTTCAATCTCTCAGGTAACTCAATTTTTTTTATTATTAATATTTTCAAATTTGAGTTGAAAGTTGAAATATGTTAAAAATAATCACTTATTTTTGGAAAAATAATCCCTTTTTTTTTAAAAGATAATATTTATTTTTAAAGATAATTCCTATTTCTTTGTCTGAGTTGCCTGTTATTATTATGAAGATGATGAGTGATGACGAGTGTGGTTTTCAATTGGATATTACGTTATTGCTAATTTGCTATATATGGTTTTAATGCATTGAACAAATTTATCTTGAACTTTGAAGCTGAAATGATGAAAACTGAAAAGGGGAAAAGAAAATGGAAATGTTGAAATTGAGAAAGGGTGCAGGCTTTGTGTGGACAGATATGTGTTGGGAAAGAAGATTGAACTTGAGATTTTGTGTGGGTGTGGTGTAGGTTCTCGTGGCAGAATCAGATAAATTCAAGAGCCCTCTAGCAGAGCCCTGGGCTAAATTGGTCCATTTGGTTCAGCAGAAAGGTGGTTACTCTCATATAGTTGCTGCTTCAAATTCTTTTGGAAAAAATGTCATGCCACGCGCAGCTGCCCTTTTAGATGTTTCTCCAATTACAGATGTTACCGGGATTTCTGATTCTCATACTTTTGTAAGGTACATTTTGTTTTATTCTCTTTTTGTTTTAATAGCTAGAAACCTGTTGTTTATTGCAAAATCTGATACCGGTCATCTACTGTTGAATCTGTCATAGGGTTGGTGCTACAGCCAGATAATCTTGTACTTATTTGGTTATACGGTGTTGTAATCTTTACTCTCTGAATTCTATGCTGTTGGTTGTTTGCCTGTTAAATGAGACCCTCTGTTGAGTATTGTTATGTTATGAATTATTGACTGTTTAAGCTTTGGTAATGAGGGAGCCGTACTACTACTGTTCCAGGTTCTCCCTTGCTATAGTCAGGTTCATATTATTGATTTACGGAAGAACTCCATGCTTTTGGACTGTCTGAGAAGAAACTGTTGTGTCTTTTAGCCCATTCAGTCTGTATAATCAAGCGTCTAAAGTTTAATCCTTTCAGAGTATTAATGCTGGAAATGCCAGTGATGCATCATGTTCTTAATCTTCATTACTGTATTTATTATGAATCATTGGAAAGATTATTAACACATAATAATAATAATAATAATAATAATAATAATAATAATAATAATAGATGAGTCAGGAAGATTCAAATAAGAATTTTTTTTTGCTGCCCTCAGCTATAAACCAAGGCAGGTTCCACTCATCCACAGTACATGTTTGTAAAAACTATTTGTAAACAAAGCTCTGACTACTTAGAGATCTAATAGTAAGTTGGGGTCCTAAGTAGACAAAAGAAAAACCTGTAAATGTGGATTATCTCAGGACTTATCATTTGAACTCTGGAAGGGATTGCTCTTGGAGCTTATTGGCCATAGCTAGCTTCTAGCTCTGGATTGGCTAAAATAGAGCATGACAACAGCTTAAGCTTTTCTGAACAAGGATTCTTATAACTTCATTTGTTCTGCTGCTAGAATTGACCTCTATAGCTAATATCTTGGTAATAAGACAAACAAGCTTGCATGTGGTTAGGTGTATTTATAGAGTTGAAGAGATACCTAACACAGTAGGGAATCTAGGGATCTCTCTCTCTTTGTGATGTTGACAGCTAATTGATACAGCACACTTTGCTTCTTGTATGCGAGTTAGTCATAATGATCCTGCTTCTGTCTTAAGTATGAATATGTTTTGGGTTCTTTGTGTACCTGAATTTAAGATTTTGATTTCATATGCAGGCCAATATATGCTGGAAATGCACTTTGTACTGTCCGGTATACTGGAGCCAATCCTTGTATATTAACGATTAGAGCCACATCTTTTCCTGTTTCTCAGAAATCTGACTCAAAATCTAATGAGGCTTCAATATCTCAGGTTGACCTTTCAACCTTTGATGAAGGTCTGTTTTTCTGTTTCTGGTGCATGGACATTTTTAGTTTCTGGAAAATTGAAAGAGACAGAAATGCATCTTGCCCATCATTATCTGTTGACATCCTGGTTGTGTTTGTGAAGAGCAATGATTCAGCCTTATCATGGATAATTGTCCTTAGTCATTTACATCTATTTGATCAAAACCATCCTGTCAGACATGGATATTTGAACCTCCCTTGTGGCAAAAGAATCTTAAATTCTGTTTCCTCTTTGTTTTTTTAAGCAGATCTGGGCAAGTCTAGATATATATCTCAAACTTCTCAGGATGATGAACGACCAGATCTTGGGAATGCACGAATTGTAGTTACTGGTGGCCGTGCACTAAAGAGTGCTGAGAACTTTAAATTGATAGAAAATCTAGCCCAGAAACTTGGTGCTGCTGGTATTATTTTCAATATATGCTATTATGATACTTATTTTAATGGCTAGAGATTTGTTTATGTTTTGCCAGGTTCACCATATACTTCCTGATTTATGCCTTTGTCATTGATCGTTTGGACAATCTTATAATATCTAATTCCATGCCTTGACACATGATAGCATGTTTACTGTCTTCAATTTTTACATAAATTACATTTTATTCTTTGTTATATGAATTGAGTAGAATCTGCTAACTTCATTCTCCTTTGTTTAGTTGGTGCAACTCGTGCTGCTGTTGATGCAGGATTTGTTCCTAATGAACTTCAGGTAACAACCTTACATCCTTTCAAAATCAATCCCTTACCTTGCCCTGCAGTCACACACAAATATACCAAAGTTGAAGGAGAAAATATGAATAAAGTCTAATTTCAGACTTGTCTTTTTACACCCTTAGCTCTCATATGATTATACTGCTAATTCTCACGTTGCCTTGCATAAATGGAAAATATTGTTGAAGTTAAGACAGTTACAATTCCTAAAAGGCTGAAAATGCAACAAAACGGAACAGAATGTTAAAGTTCACATATCGCTTGAATGCTTTAAAAGCTGAACATATACTTTTTTTTTCCTGTCAAATAGTGCATTAATCATAATCATGCCATCTTTCATTCTTTTAGAAGCTTTTTATAATTTATAATATTAAAATGGCAGCCTGGTAAAATCACGACGCACAGGGTCCAAGAAAAAGTTGGATCTAGTGTTTGGATCTGTAGCAAGTAGCCTTATCTTGCATTTGCAAGAGGTTGATTTCACAACTTGAACCTATGACCTTTGGGTCACATGGTGACAACTTCCACTGTTGAACAGACCAGCTGGGCTCCCCTCCTTGGCAAAATTTTTTGAGACCCTATCTCAGTCTGATGCATAAATTAGTAGAAACAAAATATGGTTTCCTGCTTTCCTGACTTTGCTTTTGATGCTCAAGTAATGACATATCATATGGAGCATTGGGATATGCATGTAATAGGCTTTGCATTGAATCTCTGTAACCAGTTCATCTTATATTAATTTGTGGCCTAATGTAGTTCTCATGTCTGTGTTTCCGAATGGAAAATGATATGTAGGTTGGGCAAACTGGAAAGATTGTTGCTCCTGAACTCTATTTGGCTTTTGGTGTATCCGGAGCTATTCAACACTTGGCAGGGATGAGGGATTCCAAGGTCATTGTTGCTGTGAACAATGATGCTGATGCTCCTATATTTCAGGTAATGGCTCTCTTTTAAACGGATCAAGTACTCCATTTCTAAGTGTATTTATCACTTTAGTAGCAATATTTTGTTTCTTGTTGTTTGTCACTTTGAAAAAACCAAAAAGGCATGTGCAATGAGAAAAAGTATCAATGGAGTGAGAAGCTAATTTAATCTAATATATTTGACTAAAATTAAGAGCATCTAATCACTTTTTAATCTTTATGCAAAAGCATAAATGACAATTATTTTAACATTGAGGGAGTATTTTAAGTAAATGCAGCTTCTACTTGTTTTTGCCCCAAAAATCCCGAAGAAAACCGTTTTTCCATATTTATTTTTTTATGCCCAACTGCAGGTTGCTGATTATGGACTTGTAGGAGATTTGTTTGAGGTGATACCAGAGTTACGAGAGAAGCTTCCTGAGAAAAAATAAAACGTGAACATGCATCTTTGTATACTATACAGTTGCAGAATGTATCATCCTTGGAACCTCAATTGCATTTGTTTACCTGAATTAAAAAGAAAATAAAATTTATGGATGGACGATTACAATGGATACAAGAATTATTATAAGTATGTGTGTGGATAACAATATTTAAGCGCTTATTTTTATCATAGAATTTATTGACATAAGATAAAAATAATTTATCAAATAAGTTAAAAAGAGTTTATGGGAGTCATAAATTATTTTAATAATGTCTTCCAAACGCATTATTAATTACTTCACACTTGTGAAAAAATACTTGTATAATGGAACAGAAAATCAACATAATTCTACAGTAGTCTTAAACAAAATTAACATACGGAGTAAAATCAGGTTGGGCCATACCTGTTGCTTGTCCACAACAAACATGTTCGTTGTGAAGCGGCAGAGTAGAAACCTGAGGTCAAAAAATACCTTGGTGGCACCATATTTGTTTTAGACAAAGTACGATATTGATTCTGAATGAAAATGGCACCCTTTATCGTTTCTTTTGTCAATGCACCCTTTATCTAAAGTAGCATGCATTTAGGGGAATCAGGGTCCATAGATTATTGTTTTTTGGGCCTGATTGATCCATAGTCTGTGCTACAGGCCTTAAATCGTACGTTTTCAAGGAGAAGTAAAGTGAATGAATTCCTGAAACATGCATTGTGGAGATCAATCATTTGCATTTAAATAATTTTAAATACTTTCTTTGCCTCATCCTATCCCAGGCGCATCTGGTGTAGTGGTATCATAGTACCCTCCCACGGTACTGACCGGGGTTCGATTCCCCGGATGCGCAGTTATTCACTCAATAAACTTTTTATTTTCGGTATAAATTGCAATCTACTGTTCCCATTTAAAATTACAAATGCACAAGAGCAATGATTTCCTGAGGGAGTTCTTGAATGCAACAAAATCACGCAGATGAGAAGCAGAATTTTGTATATTTTAGCGTTTAATGGTAGCAGCTACGTGAGAAATTCTTACACTCAACCCATTTAAATCATAAAAGTCAATCCTAAGGAAAATGATTATGTTAGGTAGGTGGCACATTTTTATTATGGGCATCTCATGTTTTGTTTGGCCTCTCTCTAGACTTAATTAGCCATAGGGGAAGCTAAAAGGCATGGCTAAATTAAATGAGGTCTAGCTAGGAATGATCATTATCATGATACTCTCTTACATAATGCCAAATTTTCCTTAAAGTTTCTAATCATTTTAAAAGTTAATAAACTAGCTACCTACACCTAAAAAAGTTAGTTACATACGCATTACCAGAATAGTTTGGCTAATTTTTCCTTTAATGTGTTTGCTTCCATTGCTCCTACTTCATGCTTGCTTGGTTGAAAAAACCTTCATATCTCGGGATGTTAACTATATATATATGTTGCTTCTTTGCATTATATAATATGTTATATTCTCCAAGCCCTCCCATGGATAATTTCTTATTCTTATTGCGAGAGAGTTGTTGGACGTTGGTTAAACCTGGCTAATATAGAAAAGAAAACAGGGAACTTAATTACTGAATTTCCATTTACATGTAGCTAACATAATAAACAGGGATTCAAAGAAAAAATGCTAGAATAAAATAAGTGCATGTTTTGGCTAATTAATTTTTATCACTTTTCAATGAAATGTTAATTATAAGTTATTTTGAATTAAAATAAGTTTATTTAATTAGTACATTCGTGTGATAACTTTTGTTTAAGGCCATGAGTACCCCTTGTAATTTCTTTAATAATACTTTGCTTGAAAAAAATAAATAAATGAAGGAGAGAAGAGCTTGATATCATCACTTGCATGGTTTTAGTACTTCTATGCGTTTACGATTTGTTAAACAACAATGATTGTGAAGGAACCAAACCACCTAATTAATTAATAAACAATATCTTCAAATAATATTATAGTTTACTATAATTACTTGGGAATCACTTGATAGAATAATGAAGTGATGAACTAATCGACCAGACAACTTGGGTTGGAAGTGTTCGTTGAGGCAAACTACTCTTACTAACTGACAGTGCAGAAATTAATTAAATACGTACAACGTAGGCCAAGACAGTGTATACATTAATTGTTTTCCATTTTAAATGGATTAACCATGTTAACGCTATTTTAAATGTAATGATAATATTAGATATTTTTTGAAATATTTTCTCAATTAAAACTGATATTTCTAAAACATTTATACTATCGGCTTTGCATATGAAAAGATAACATAAAGCGTATATGAGGGATACTATAATTTACTATTTATTAAAAGTGATTTGTTAAAATATATTTCCTTTCCTTTACTATTTAAGATGATCCAAATGGCACAGGTTTAGTACTCAATTAACTGACACAGCCAGCATGTTTAGTTTCGGTCCTTTGGGATTGAGGTTTGGTCATGATGTTATACAGACGTGCAGACACATATTCTATTTTATATATACACATAAAAATCAATTTTTGATTCTTATATTTAATAAAAATTATGTAAGTTTAATCTTTCATTGGAAATTAAAAATATTTTAATTTTTTTATCATTTTTAAAGACTATTTTTTAATAAAGATTATTAGCAAATAATACTACATTTTTAGGGAACAAAAATATATTCAATTCAATTAAGGAATACATGATTAACTATTGATAATATTATTAATTATTTTGAGGAATCAAAATATATAAAAGACTATAAGAACCATAATATATTATTATATGATTTTTTGTTTATCTTAATATTTTAAATTATATATAGTCTTATTAAACAATATATTGCTGTAACATGTTATAATTTTTTCTTTCATATAACTTAACAGTTTATATAACATTTTAGCTCCTAAATTATATTATTTAATCTTCCCATGTTTCTGCTTCTTGAAGGATGGAGCCACAGATATAGACAGCACTTTACTTAGAAGATGATAAACAACAAATGCATTACTTCAGTTAATTTGCAAGAGATTTTTAAGGAGAGGCATGCAATCTGTCTATGGAGATCATCATTTTGGATTCTCTCTGTCAGAGTAAAATGATTGTCTTTGCTTACTTATTATTCAGCATACTCGTCCCTTTATCTTCCCACCTTTCTACTTATTCTATGCTTTCCGTGTCTCATGTTTCGTCTGTCATCAGAGTACGTCCTATATACACGAGTATATTTCAGTGTATATCTAGTAAATATTAATGTGCTATTATTGCACAGGACTTGGGAACAATAAGAAAAGGTTTCCATTCACAACGGAAAAAGGTTAGAAACACAATCCTTAACATACCATTTTAAATATAGTTTTATAAAAAATAAAATTCATTAAAAATTATAAAATTAATAGAGTTTACTCTTAATTTAATAAATATTATTCATATTTTATTTTAATAAATTTAGTTAGTAAATAAAGAGTTGTTTTTATCACTTTTCATTCAAATATGATTTTCTTTGTACTCTATAATATAGACACAGATGTACACACATGGAAAGAGAGAGAGAGAGAGATGTGTAGGTGAAATAGTTGGACAAAATACTAATTAACAAAGATAGTTCACTACCATTGACAAGGGAACTAAGCAAAGGTCTCTCTTCTTTAGTTCTGAGCAGTCACTATCCCTCTCGTTAAAACTCAATTCTTTTTGTCCTGAGGTATTGCCTTTCTCCTACAGTGACAAAACAAAACGGGATGTTGTTGATTCAAAATGCATAAATTAGTTACTATCCACACTCATGCATGTATAGAAGAATACATCACTGAATTAATAAGAGACTGAATACTTCATTTCAGCAATGGGAAAGGTATAAGGAAATTTAAAAAAGGAAAAGAAAAACAGTGAAAATCATTTTGGTGTGAATAAGACCGAGTTTAATTAGATTTAAGTTCGATTTGAAGTTGTATAAATTTTTTTTTTCATGCTTTTATTTATTTCTTATATATCTATCTTCTAATTATAGAAAAAAGTTATAAAACGTGTGTGAAAGGCTAGAATTTCTCCTTTTTTATATTTAATACAGTTTTAAACATAGAATCAAAACAAGACAAAGTTAAAAAAAGTGAGATTAGTTTTACAAAAAAAGAAAAAGAAAAAAAGAGAGAGTCAAAGATAACACCAGAATAAAAACTATTTCGTTCCCCTATATAGCCGTGCCAAACTAAGTTTATTTTTGTAATTATGCATTTTTCTTTCTTTTCGCAATAGAAAGAAACAAAAAAGAAAAAAAATAGAAAGAGTTATATTGTATATTTATGTGAATTCGATTGAACCTGAGAAAAGGTTTACTACTTCTGTCTGTTTCGGCTTGTCATGTCAATCTGTTGTTTCGCATACAAAACCTAAAAATACCATGGATAAATTATAGATATATACAACTAAATGATCTATAATTAATTAGCTTAAAACTTTTACTGGCAAGAAATAGATAGTAATAATGTATAAGAAGGAAAAGGAGAAGAAGAAAATTAAATTATGAACCTTGGGACAGTTTAGAGGAGAAGTTGCTGTGTCTTCCAAAGCTTCATCAATCAAAGCTGTTATCATATCCTTCCTCTTTTTGAAACTTGATCTCTTGCCATTTTTATTCAAAGAAAACTCCTCAACTTGTTTACTAGAAGTCACTTTTTTCTCTACCAAAGAAGCAGCATCAGAGACAAAGGAGGAGGAGCTAGCAACACCGGATAAAGACATAGAACACTTGTGGTTATTACCAACATGGTTATTAAAGAAGTCATCAAAGTACATAGTCCAACCACTTTCCTCAGTGGAAACATCGTTGGAGGAAGCAGGAACTTTGGTTAAGGAACTCATTGAGGCTATCAGAAAGCCAAGAAGAGAAGATGAGCAATGATGTAGTTAGTGGGGTTTGGTGGCCAGCTCTAAAGAGGCAAGTCTCCCAAGGATTACATATATAGTTGAAGAAATTTTTGGTGGGGTTGTTCTATTTCTTCCTCTATTCTGAAATAAATATAATTATAATATTTGTTTTTAAAATTATTTATCCTTTTGTCATATTAAAAGAATTTACTTTGATAACAGTAAAATTGAGTTATTTTCTTGTTTTAGAGATGAATTATTAGTATTATATATTATTTTAAGGAATGCATAATTTATTGTCATTATTTTTTTCTTAGATTTAATATATGTATTAGTCCTAAATTCTTATATAGTACTCTAAGATAACTATTATTTTAGCTTAGAGGGAATATTAGATTAATATTTTTTAGTTATATTAATTATAAAAATATTCATATATATATATATATTTATTAACAAAAAAAAAACGCTTAATTATATGAATGACAACTTTGGAATCTTGGTGTGGGTCATAGAAGTTAGGGGAGTTAAAATTAAGACAGAAAGAGAAGGGGATGTGTTTGACCTTTGTGGTTAGAGATAGAGTATGAGGCCAACATAGATTTGGCAAGAATTTGTTTATGGTGGAATTTTACTCTAATGATTTGAATTCGTCATACAGTTTTCTTATGGAGGTTTGGAAATGCTCATTCCACCATTATAGTTTTTTTTTAAAAATAATTAATATCCTTAATACATAATTTCGAAATTAAAATTTGAGTTTGGAGAGATGATAAATTACATAGAATTTTTCGAGAATGACGACTTTTATGTTCTTGTCTATTTTTACCCTGAATAATTAGTTTTGAATTTTTATTGCATTCAATTACTCAATCTCCTTTTCAAATAAATCATAAAGCTTCCCTTGCATTTGAATTATAATTCTAGCTATTTTATCCAGAACTACAAACATGCATGTTACTTTATATTTAGTTTATATTAAAAACTGTTAAAAAATAGTTTACTGAATATTTTCAAAATAAATTAAACTTCCAATAAATATTTTAAAACTAAGTTATTTTATCATTTTTATCAACGCTTTAATAGTAATAAATTTTGATAATGTAATAGCTGTTTATGTTTGAAAAGAAACATACTTACATACTCTCCTCGTAGAAAACTATTTTATTCATAACATGTTTCAGAATTCTTAGCATTTTTCCGGATTGAGCGGGTGAAAAAAAGATGCAGCCCCAAATGATACTCTCTCTCTCCTTTAACATCAGAATCTTGAAAATCTTACGAGATTTTAATAGAAGTTTGAAGTTCATATAAACTTTCTCTATGCTCTCTCTTCAAGTTTCTTTCTTCCTTTGATTGGATGATATACATCAAAGAATAGAATGAGGTATATATCAATAGTATTTCTTACAGCATAAACATTAAACAATAATATAATAGAAGAAATAATCATTTTGCCATGTAGTTGATGACCATTATTGAATGTATTAATTTGTATTTTAAAAAAAGGTTAATATTTCTTACTTAGATTTATAGTTTAGACTAAATTATAATTTATAAATATGCTTAATATTTAAGAACTGTTGCCTCTTCTTTAAAAGAATTAATCACTAAATAATTAATATATGTACTGATTTGAATATCAATTTATGCTTTAATTAATAAATTTGTATTTACTTTTTAATAAATAAAGAGTTTATTTTTAAAAAATAAAATAAAATAATAAATTCAATTTAAAAAGTGAAAGGTCAGGTTGAATTAATTTAAGTTGAATATTTTTTCAAAACAATTAAAAACAAACTGCAATTTTTTAAGGTAAAATTATATTTTTTGTTTTTAAATTTTTATACTTTTCAGTTTTCTCTTAATTTTTAAAAGTTTCAATTTGATTCTCAAAATATCAAAAATATTTTAAATAAATTCTTTTTTTATTATTAAAAATGTTATCACTAGCTATTAAAATGAATCGTTTGTGTTCTTCTTCTCATATAACTTCTTTCTCTTTAACAACATTCATTTTTTTTTTCTCATAATTGCAATCGATGTTATACTACTAATGTGAACTCCGATCACTTCGTATTGAGTGTCTCCACAACCCTTCTTGGGTGTGTTCCGAGAAGCTCAATTTTTAGCTTTATAGTAGCAAAATTGGTAATAAATTGGTGGAAACTCTGGTCTTTGATTTCATGAACCTATGTTGCTTGTTGTTGAGCTTGCCTATTTTGTTCACAAATAGTGATTGCTTCAATATCCTTCTAAGTTTTGAAGTGACATTGTTTTTGTTCTCAAAGGTTATCTTTTCTCTTATCTTAGATAGTGTCGGTGTCATGGAGAACATGAGAGAGTTGAAGGTCGCAACCCAAATTAGTTTCTTGAATCTCGAACTACCCAATTGAGCATTGAGATGAATTGCAACTAAAAAGTTGTGCTTGCTTGGTATTTGGCATCTCACTGAGTATTTAAGCCTTACTTCTTTAGTTTGTTAATCAAGTTGATTAACAGTGAATTAATTGGTCACCAAAGATGGGAGAGGAAGGAGCAGAGGTTCTTCTTGAAGAGTTTGAGCAAAATAAAAACTTGAGTGTGTGAAAAAAGAAGATGAATAATAACGATGATGGAGAGGGAGAAAGAGAAAGAAAAGGAGGAGAAAAAAAAGAAAAACGTAAAAATAAAAAAAGGAATCATAAGAGACGAAAGTCATAGGAAAGAAAAATAAATGCTAATTTTTAGTAAAATTGACTTTTAATAAAAAAAATTTAAAAACATTATTAAAAGTTAATGGCCAAATCAAATTTTTTAAAAATTAAAATAGAAAAAATAATTATATTATTCTTATGATCAAATAAAATAATTATTACCTTAAAATTAATTAAAATAGAAGAAAAAATAAACAACCTATCTTGATGCCTTTTGTCGTCCATATAAGACCATGTTTGGTATTTGATGACGTGGCTGTATAATTATTTTCTGGACCTGACCTATGAGAATTACGTCATTATAGATCATATTACTACAAATCTCATCTCTGTGTGAGTGGATCTAATTTCGCCATAGTTTTACCATCGTGTAGCTCGTCGATCCCTACATAACCTAACATAATCTAATCATTTTTACTATATTATTTCAATTACTAAACAGTAATATTATATATCATTATTTCTACGTTTATATATATACAAATCTACAAAAATTATTAAATGTTAACAAATATTTTCAAGAAAATTAAAACCTAACATAATCTACTAATTTATGAATTAATAATATTTCAATTAGTTAAATATAATATTAATAGTCACATAAATTTTGAATTTTTTTACGAGATTTATTTCTATTACATTTTTTTTCATATATATTAGTTTGATTCAAGTTATTTAATTCAAATGTTTAAATTTAATGCATTGACTACTTATAATCAATTTTTACCTTTCAATATTAGTTTGAATTGGATTAATTGAATTCCCTGATAAACTCGAAGAGCTTACACCCCGTACTTTCTTTCTTATAATATTTATTTATACAATTTTCGTGAAAATAGCATTTTATCGATATCATTATGAAGTGATGTTTTAGGCTTTATATATCAACTAAAATTTAAGCTGAAAAAGCTATGAATTCTACCATGTTCTTTTGGTATTAAATAAGGAAAACTATTCTTATATATGTAGAATATGATGGGAGCAAGAGTGTTATTGAGAATAAATTACTATCTGTAATTTGTCACGTTATTTTCAGTACTAAACTTGTTAAAATTGTAAATGTGTTTAGATTAATTGTAGTAATGGTTTTTTTTTTTAACTAAATATATTAAAAGAAACCAGAGAAACAAATGCAAATTAAACTAAAACACACTCGTCTAACATTGTGTGTATATATATGCGAGGAAAAAGTCATAATGTATTCCCCAAATATTAGTTGAGACAAGAACATTCATATACCAAAGTCGAAAGGACATGAATTCATAAGAAGGTCTGAGCTCAGCTAACGCTAGCTGCTGGCAGATATGCTTTCTGCCAACATGAAAGTACTCATACCCAAAATGTAGGACATAGCCATGCATGCAATCAACCGTGAAACCATTTCATAAAAACAAAATACCAAGAGAGAGATAATATCAATTTTGTAAACGTGTGTTAAAAATTAATAAATAACATTTTTTATTTAAAATTATTTATATATTTAATCATGTAATATTTTATAATTTTTAACAAATAATTATTATATTTAATTACACGTTAATAATCGATTATATATGTATGTAATAATTGATCACTTCAAAAAGAAAAGGGAAAAAAGGGCTAGACTTAAAAAAGACATGGACCACAGGACACATGCAAATTTTCTAAAAATAAAATCTTGTGAGCATTTTGTCTAGGACAAAAACACGAGCACTATCTTGCGTAGTCTCTGTCAGTGAAACCTTTCGTAGCTGACGTTTCTAGGGTGGATATATATCCTCCCATTACTGAGTGTAAGCTTTTAAAGGTGACAATGAGCAGAGACAACCAGCATGTGACTAACAAATACCAAAAAGCAGTGTGTCAGGAACATTTGATTGCCAAACACAAATCCGACTCCTGTAAAAGTAGCAGTTTTAGGCTATTTATTAGGAGTTTCTATAGTGTATAATTTAATTATATGTTTATGTATCGTCAAAATTTGACTTTATATATTTTTATACTATAACTTATTACTACTGCCAAGCCTTATAATTTTGTAACAACAAGAATATAATTTTGTTGGAGGAAGAAACGTTTTATATCAATTTACATCAAAGCCAATGACTTTTAAATGATTAAATATTTTAAAATTAATGTGGATAATAATTAATTTAATTATATTATTATTATAAAATTAATGTGGATAATAATTAAGATTATATATAATGTAATAGTTACATTCATATAAAAATCATATTATATTTAAAAACATGTAATAATCGTATTATGAATTTTACATTGAGAACAAATAAAAAATATTTTTCTTTAATTAGTTCG